ACAAATTTCAAACGGTCTTGTAGGCTATTGAGACAAAGTTAGGATGGACGGTTATGGGAAAAACCGGGGAGTTGAATAGTGAAGGTTCAACATTCTTAGTTACATTCAATGTTGAATAAAGAGGCTTGTATTTCTGATTTATGGGCCCTCGACTCGCTTGGTATTACGGACCCATCCGAACAAAAGAGTAAATTGGAATTGTATGAGGCTACCAGGCAACATTTTCTTGATACTGTAAAAATAGAAGATGACCCGCTTTGTAGTGTCTTTGCCTTGGTTGGAAGGGCACCCTCCCCTGTCGGATAATTTTGAGTTATCGCTTAAAAGGTTGCACGGTACGATTAGGCAACTTGAAATAGATAATCTTCGCCAAGAGTATGAAAATATATTCCAAGAATGGCTCAAAGAGGGCATAATAGAGGAAGTACCCGTAAATGAATTAGATTTACCCCATCATTATTTGCCACATAGACATGTTGTTAAGGAACATAGTACTACGAAGTTACGGCCAGTATTTGACGCTTCGTCTAAAGTAAAGGGTTTTCCGAGTCTCAACGATTGTCTTGAAAAGGGATTAAACCTTATTTCATTTATTCCTACAATCTTAAATAGATTTCGCCAAGAAAAAATAGGGGTGATTTCTGATATTCGTAAGGCCTTTCTACAAATTGGCCTGAATTCTAGTGACAGAAACTTCCTCCGATTTCTTTGGATAAAGGGTGAAGATGGCTTGAAGCATTTTCGTCATTGTCGAGTCGTATTTGGTGTAACTAGTAGTCCATTTTACTTGGAGCTGTTATTCAATATCACTTAAATTCAATTTTGGAGAAAAATGATGCAGATGTAAAATATATTCCTTCCAACATTATTGTTAAATTAATGAATAGTTTCTATGTTGATAACTGTGTAACAAGTGTCGGAAGTGAAGATGAATTACAGCGCTTCATGAAAGTATCTTCAGATGTTATGGCAGAACGAAAATTTGAATTACGGGGTTGGGAATATACCGACTGTAGTTTAGAAACAGAAACTATTGCGAATGTATTAGGTTTGTTATGGGAAAGACAAGGCGATACTCTTCAAATAAATGTTGCTAATTTACAAAATCTTTGTTTCGAGAAAGTTACGAAAAGAAGTATTTTGGCAATAGCACATAAAGTATTTGATCCCATCGGTATAACATGTCCAGTCCTTATATTACCTAAGATGTTATTACAGCGTACATGGGAAACAAAAGTAAAATGGGACGAAGAAGAAGTTAACACCGAAATTAAAAGTAAATTTTTGAAATGGGTAAAAGGACATTTTCTTTTGAAAAACATTAAAATTCCAAGGTGGATACGATATCAGCCAAAACAGTGTTCAATCCATGTTTTTTGTGACGCCAGTCAAGCAGCGTATGCGGCAGTAGTTTTTATTCGTGTAGAAGAACCTGAATCAGTTAAAGTACAGTTGCTTCAGGCTAGGTCTAGAGTTTTCCCCTTGTGGTAAAAAGGAAACTACTATTGTAAGATTAGAATTGTTAGCAGCAACTATTGCATCTCGTCTTGCTGCAGACGTTCTAAAAGACTTTGAGGCCAGAAGTATATTTTTCTGGACAGATTCAACTACTGTCCTTGCATGGATAAAAAGGGAAGAACAATGGGGGACATTTGTAGAAAATAGAGTACAGGAAATAAGGCTTTTGACACGTGTGTGGAGGATTGGAGGCATATACCTGGTCACCTTAACCCTGCAGATCTTCCAAGTAGAGGGGTGTTCAGTTCGCCAACTCTCCCGGTCAAAATGGTGGGAGGGTCCGAGCTGGCTTTTAAAATCGCAAGAAAATTGGCCGAGTGCCGAATTTATAACTGATGAAGCGGAAATAGCCAGCGAGAAAAAAAAAGGCAGTGGTTTCATCTCTAGTGTCTACTGAAAGGTTTAGTTTGAGTGAGCGATTTTCTAGCTATCGAAAAACAGTTAGAGTTGTTGGTTGGATTCAACGATTTTTCTTTAATTGCAGAAATAAGAAAAAAAGGAGGAAGGTGAACTCACTGTTGATGAAATTGATTTTGCAGAAAAGGTTGTTATTCGCTTGATTCAATCGGAATCGTTTCAGGATATAGAAGACGCACGCTTACGAACTCTTAGTCCATTTTATGATGCGGGAATTGTAAGAATTAAAACTGGTGCGTTTCGAAGAGATGACACGTTAGAGTTTAGAACACCTATAATATTACCAGGAGAACATCCATTAGTTAGGAATTTAATTATGGAAGAACATAAAAAGAAAGGACATGCAGGTGTACAATATATACTGAATACCTTAAGGGAAAGGTTTTGGTTGTTATCTGGCAGAAGAACGGTGCGTTCTGTTTTGAGTAAATGCATTACTTGCAAGAGATATTCTGCTGCACCTGTTGACCACATATCAGCCCCACCGCCAATAGAGCGAGTAAATGATTCAGCAGTATTTCAAGTAACGGGTATAGACCTTTGTGGTCCTTTATTGTTGAGAAACAAAGAAAAGGCATGGATTTGTGTTTTTACATGCGCCGTTTATAGAGCGGTCCATTTGGAGTTGCTGACTTCTCTATCTACAGAAGTGTTTCTTCAGGCTTTTCATCGGTTCGTGTCACGAAGAGGTAAACCCACAACTGTGTACAGTGATAATGGAACTAATTTTGTAGGAGCTTCAAATGCATTTAAATTAATAGATTTTGAACAAATTAATCGGCAGGCAGCCAATGAGCGGAATAACATGGAAATTTATTTCCCCTGGTGCTCCATGGTGGGGTGGTTGGTGGGAAACGTCTGATCGGAATGATGAAGCAAGTCCTTAAAAAAGTTCTTAAACATGCTTGTTTAAATTATGAAGAAATGTACACGATACTGTGTGACTGTGAAGCGATTCTTAATGACCGACCGTTGACAGTAATTCCTTCCGATCCTGAATTTAAAGCTTTAACTCCTGCCGACTTTTTAAAAGAAATTAGAACTAGTAGTTTGCGGGATATTACGGTATTAAATCAAGCGGTATTAAATCAAGTAATTTACAAAGAAGATTTCAGTATATTCAAACTGTACGAGAAGCATTTAAAAATAGATTTCGTAAAGAATATTTGGGAATTCTCAAGGTTTCGCATAAAAGAGCTGAAAGGAAAGTTACTATTAAATTAGATGATATTGTTTTGATCGGTAGTAGTGACAAAAGACTTTTTTGGCAACTTGGTCGTGTCATAGAACTACTTCCAGGACCTGATGGAATAAATCGGCTTGCAAGAGTAAAGACCCGAAATGGAATTTTGCTTAGAGGAGTTCGAACTCTGTATCCTTTAGAGGTAGCGCAAAATGATGTACCCGTGAAGCTGCAGAATGAAAAACAAGATTTTAACTTGTTGTCTTCTGAACAAGTTAATTTAAACTCAACATAGATGATAAATCTGTCAGGCCTGTAACACGATCTGGTAGAACTGTAACTCCGCCGGACAGACTGGCATATTAATTAAGGCTCTTTGGCATTTTGTTTTACTTTGATGTGAAAGTTCACTTTTTTTTTTCCTTTTTTTTTTTTTTTTTTTTTTCCTTAGGTGGAAGGATGTTAAATATTTGCATAAGTCGCCTGTAGTAACGGCAACCGCCGGCAATAAAAGGAGGTGCTTTTCTTGCTTAGTGGCACCGCAGTTCCTTTTAGTTCGAGCCAGAATAGACCTGCCCGGGGAGAAGCCAGGGATGAGAGAGATTCCGGTTTCCGCCCTGTTCCGGTTCCCGTCTTGTTGCGGATCCAGTCCTGTTCCGGTTCCCGTCTTGTTCCAGTCCTGTTCCGGTCCTGATCCAGTCCTATTCCAGTTCCAGCCTGGCCGTTTAAGTCCAAAACACGTAGGAGCGGATGTCTGAATTCAGCGAAATGGAGATATACGCCGAAAGGGCTAGATGGATTCTGTCTTTTAAGGGAAAGTGTTCTTCACCGTGCCGGCATAGCTGTTACTTTAAAGCACTTTGAAGTTTTCCACCCAAGATGTTAAGTTTTTGTTTGTGATGTTAAGTTTTCATCAGTGTTGAAGTTCCAGTTTAAATAAACCTTTAAGTTTTAGACAAGGTTTTTGTGTTCTTCAGAAAATTTTAGATTCGAAGTCAGACACAGCACATAGGATTATCATCGAAAAATAAACGTGACTTCTCAAATAATGACAAAAATTGCTGTGTGTTCTTCGCATTAATTTTGGAGTGAAGTTAATTTTCTTGAGCAAAAGAAAAAAGACGAAGGGAGCAAAATATAAAATATACATCTTAAATAAATCTTTACTGTAGTCATCATATGAATTTGAAAGAAACCTGGCCACATTAGGAATTTAAAGGCATATTGATATTTAAAAAATCAATGAATGACTGTTAGGAAAATTGTATATCATTCTAAATATATATTGTGCTTTTGTTATGCTACTTTCTCTCAGCATTACCTGAATGAGGTAGATAGCACAGATTAGTAAAAAATCTGATTATGACTCATCTCTCATTCTCCTTCATTTGTATCTATCTATATTATTTTTGTTTCATAACATCATGTTATTATTTTTATAATTAATTTCTTAAAATAATTATCTAATATTAAGCATACATAAAATAACAAATAATACATTTATATATTTATTTGATTGAATTTTTCATGTCATGTCTTCCATGTCATGTCTTGAAATGAAGTTTAATTCTATTAAAGTACTGTGTGAAAGTATTGTTCAAAACAGATAACCTTCACATAATTTGATATTAAAAAAATTACTTACCTGGCTATTGTTAATTTCTGTATGATATTTTAACACTTTATTTTTTTAAATTTTAGTTTTTTAAGAATTTCATATTGGAAAGATTTTAATGTTGAGTTTATAAAACAATGTGTTAGTCAATTATTCTTTTATGACACATATTTTATTTTATTGTAAAAAATTTTTATCATTTGGAGTGAAATTATAATTGATTGCTTGACTAGGATAGTAAAATTGAAACTCAAATTTCTTTTCTAGTTCAGATGAAGCTATAACATCAGTATGTGACTTTACTGTTCATAAGGAATCTCGGAGGTATAATGTAAGCAAGGTTTCATTTTATTTTCAGTATTTTTACTATTTTTGTAATGTACTTAATATGCTTTTATTTGTTGATTTTAAATGATTGATTCATGTAGATGATTTTCTTCATGTATGGCAGTGCTATAAAACCTTCTAAAATTTATGTAAAAATTTTCAAGGTCTTGCAGAAATTATGGGGAAATTAATGATTTTCAATTGCATTCTAAATTTTCTTTTTTAATCTGAATAGCTTGGAATAAGTGTTCCCTCCCCCCACAAAGGCATTATTTCTAGGGCATTTGATTATGCACACTGGTAAATGCTAGAATAAAAACAAAATTTCTAGCTCCACTGACTGCACATTTTTTAATCTGAAATAAATCAGAAAAATTCTAAAAGAAATGTTTTGTTAATCCACATTAACAATTTTAATCAATATTTTAATGTAGTCCAATGTTAATATTTTGTTTTAAACATTATCTGTTTTTTTTTGTGGGGGGGGGAGAGCAATAGGTAAGTATATGATATTGTCTTAAAGTTTAACATAAATATAATGCTGATTTTCATATGATTACCTGTCCTTGAACCTTCAGATCCACCTAATGATTGTTTTAGAAAGATATAAATCTGGTGCAAGAGAATCATAGTTATCAGTAAGACTGTTTTGTGCTGTCATCATCAGTAAAGTCCAAAATTTATGTGAATTCAGTGAAGGACAAGTCATCATGGCCTGACACCTGTAAAAGGATCATTTTATCAACCAAGCTGGTTGAGTGTTTGCGTGCTGTTGTATTTAGCGTCTACAGCATTACAGCATATGAAATACACAGCACCAGTTGCCAAGATGTTCTTAGTTCATGCCTTATCAGTTTTCTAAAGTTCAGTTGGCATGTTCCATAGCAGCCTGATTTTAAGCAGGGCAAAATATTAAAACCAATGCACATAATTCAGCAGACAGTGTTAGATGTGAAACATTGGTACTGCATTAAAAGGTTCATTTGTTAACCCATTGCCATTGTTGTTTACACTTGCAGTGGTCTTGGGAGCATCATCATTGGGCCACTGATCTCTGGAAATGAGTTGTCTGATTAGATGAAACTCAGCTATTTTTGCATCATGTCAATAGCAGAGTCAGAATTCGTTGGTTTGTGTAAGAATAGCTATATGACAGGTATAGGTTATTGCAGATGAATTACATTCATTCAGTGGCTGTGTTTTCACAAACAGCGATGGACTGTTCCACAACTGTTTGCAAACAGCACCTTCTGCCAAAAGATTATAATAAGGGTAATGCCTTCTGCCAAAAGATTATATCTCCTGGGGTTTCAGAGAACATGCCTCAGCCTGCTTTCCTGGTGACCTAATTCCTCAGATCTCAATCCAGTTTAACATCTGTGGTGTATCATCATAGCTCAGAGGGTCATTATCCTCTGAGCTCATGATCCATCATCGTGTAATTTATGTGGACTAATAGGCTTGTTACTTAAAAGGAATACTTTGGCTGCAGACACATACCAGGAGTTCGGTGAATTCATATCTGCACATATCGAAGCTGTTGTGTGAGCTCAAAGTGGACCAACAAGGTTTTAGATAGGTGATGCTAATGTTTCAGCTCTTCATTGTGTATATGCACACACATAAGATAAAAAATATGTAAATTAAATTCTAACATCAATTTTCAATTGTTCCTTAACTCTGTATTTTAATTTGGGTAATTTACTACTACTTGGGGCTTTTGTGTTTTTTCGTGATGTGTAAGACAGATGTAAATCATTTGCTTCATAGAACGTGTTCCACAAAAGCAAGGTATCACTTGAATCTTTTTCTCATAATTAACCAGCTAATGGTTGATAATGTTAACCTTGATTTCAAAGTAGTGTCTTCTTTGTACATAGTTAAATTACTATAATTATGTTTAAAAATTCTGGGTCAAATGACAGTTTGCAGATTTGTGATACTTAATATTGAATAAAAAATTAGACAGTGAATTCAATAGACTATCATTTTGTATTGATTTTCAGTTAATATTTATAAAAAGAAATTTCAGCCTGAATTTGATTTGTCTGATGTTAACTACATACAATAACACATAATACTATGATAGTGTTAGTAGCATATTTAATTAATTTTTTTTAATATTGTAAAATATGTGTGACTAAATAGTAAAGTTTGGGTTTTCCAGCATTTTGTGATTATTATGTTTTGAATTGTACCTCAATGTATTTATAAATCTTCTAATTTCATGTATTTGTAGGAACCCGTAAAAAGAATTTTAGGTTTGACAGAAACATGTTTAATTGAAAGAGATCCACAAACATATTCAATAGTTACAATAAGGCCATTAGCAAATGTGAGTATCAGTGAAGCAGGTACTTGATTAAAAATTATTGTTTTTAACTGTATATGAGATATCCAATTTTTCTCTTTCCAGATTTATGCTTTAGTAAGGCATCCGGATAATCCTCAAAAATTTCTGGTTGAATATATTTCTGGACAAGTTAGGTCATATACTTCTACTGAAAGGTAAGAATGGGAAAGGATTTAGTGTGCATGGATTAAAATTTTTGAATAATATCCTATCCTGAAAAAAATCTCTCATTTTTATTGTTTTATTTTAGGGATGCACTTTTAGCAACTCTTTTAGATGGTGTGAGAGCTTCTGGAAACTGTGATGTTCATGTTAAAATGCAGCACACAAATCGAGGCCAAAGATTTGGACCTTTTTATTTGCCAGTAGATGAAGAAATAGAAACTAATCTCCTTCGCTTTTTAGTTACACTGCCAGGTAGTTAATATTAAAGTGTTTTTTGATAGTTAGGTTAGGTTATTTAATTACGACAAAGCCTCGAGGGCTATCTGCCTAAAGGGAGGGATGCCTTCGTGGAGGACTTTCTAAGGGAAACTGGCTCGTATACACGTTACACATGGGGGAAAACCACAAAAACACCCATGCAGCCAACCCGTTCGCGGGATTCGAACCTCGGACCGAACTACCAGTGTTCAGCAACTTTTTTGATAGTTAAAACATGCAAAATTAAATTGAGGTTACATAGTAATGAACCAACTTTTAGGGTTTTAAATTAAATTGAGGTTACATAACAATGAACTTTAAATTATAGAAAATTCAATAAAATGATAAACTACGATAAAGGTTTTAATGAAAATATGAATTATAGTAGTAGATTCTTCCATTTGCAAATTAATGTAGCCAGAAATGGTCTAAACATGAAAAAAATTGATAGGTCTGTTTTAACCCTAGAGTGCTACCCTGGATGAAATCTAGTCAAGAGACAAATAACTATGCTCTGCCTTTCCTAAAACAGGAAATGATATGTGTGATTCAGTACCTTTATATGACCTTGGCCGCCATAGATGAGGGCATTCCTTCTTACCGAAATATTTCTGCATATGACATTTTTAGAACAATATTTGTCTCGCAGATGAATGGTTAGCTGTAATGTTTACATTTCAGAATCTGCTTTAGATTTATTTCTCTATTTCCTTCAAGATATGAGAGTGTTTTCACAGAGAAAATTTTTGGGGTAGACTTGAGACTATCTGAGATCTGTTAAAAGAACTAAGCAGTGAAGAAAATTCTATTTGGGAGGATAAATTGGGGGAACATGATTTTCTCTGATTGGTAAAGATAAGTCAAAGTGGTCCTCTGTTTCTAAATCGAGCAACACAAGTACAGCGTCTCTCGGTGTTATTCAATTTTTTAAAGGACCATAGGACTGAGCCACAAAAGGGACCATAAACACTTTAGATCAGATGTGCAACAATATATCATGTTGTACAAAAACTTATTGATTGCCTATATGTGTTTCATGGCACAATAAATATCAGCAGAATGAATGCATATGTTATATATTGTCCATAATATGGCTCAAAAATCCGAAAAATATTATCAAGAAAGAAGTTTGCAATAAAGCCAAGCGAAGATGTTCTTCTTCCATGGATCAAGAAGCATCTCAGCATTATCAACTCTGTCTCAGTCAACAAGAACAATTATAAGGAAACTGTTGAAATTAGATTTGAATGTTCAACCTCCCAAATCCACAGTAAAAAAAAAAAAAAAAAATGCATTTTGCCTGTACAGAATGATGCACAACATTTGTCAAACATGTTCCATAGCAGTGTGCAGAAGACATCATGCTGTGTAAAGATTGCTTTGAGAATAAATGAATGATACTTTCTCTCTTGAAGTTCAAGGAGTCATGAAATCATCTGTAGGTAGTGTATTTTTATTCAAGTTAGCTTTTAAAATAGGTTTTAAAACACATTTACGCAAACTTTATATAGCAGACAAAAGGTTACCATTCCCGTAAGGTTTTCCATTGATAACATTCTAGGGTTAAAAATCAAACTGTGATATATATAAATATGGACCTACTATATATATGTAATAAAAATTTTCACATTGGATGATGTAAACATGATGTTGCATATGCATTAATATGTGATTGCAGTCACGGCAAGTCAAACAATATTTTTTATGCTTGACAAAACATTTCTCAGGCAGATAAACCATACAAGAGATGCACCTGATCTTTAATATTAACCTTTGTACGTTTCACACTTTTATAATATATTTGAAGTAAGAAAGATTAGTGCAATAGAGTAAGAAAGATAAGTACAGCTCACAAGCATGACAGAGAAGCTGAGAAAAAATTTGAAGATTCCATTATTTATGTTATGGAATTTATAGTTCTATTTTATTAGTTAATTAAGGTTTTGAATTCAAAAATTTTAATACAGTAAAAAAGGAAGCTGCTTTTTCTTTCAAAACCGGACTTGATCCGGCTTGATCCGGACATTGGCATTCAGTTCTCTTTAATTAATTAACTGAAGGGAAAAAAAAAAAAAAAACTCATTCATTGCTTCATATTCACTAATTTCAATGATCTTAGATTCATAATTACTAATATATGTATATTATTTAGTATGCTTGACAAGTTTTCTTTTGATTTTATTCAGTCACTGTATGAGTTCTAAAACTCCTCTATTCTTTTTTCATTATTTCACTCTTGATTGCATTAATATTTTCTTCAGTAGTGATTGCATTTTTTTAATATTTATTTTTAACATCAGCATTTGAATATGCGCAAGCTGTAACACATTTCTGAGGTAGTAAGAGGAAAAGCATACACACAAAAAGAAAAAAAAGGGCTGCATCAGGGTATGTTTTCATGTTTCAGATATGTGCTTACATGTGTAGGAGTTGTGCAGAGTTAGATAATGCTGTCAAGTAAAAAGAGGTTGAAAACATTGCAAAAAAGAAATACATAATGCATTAAATTTTTTTTTTTTTTTTTTTTTTTTTGCCTTTAGTCAGTATGGATGATATAAAATCGAAATATGGGGAAGTGATGTATGTGTCTTACAATGGCATAAAAATATTTTATATGTAAATAATTTTTTTTTGTTCCAGAAAATTATCAAGCAGTAGAACTTGTCCAAAAAAGAGGTTCACCATATTTAGCAACTGACCTCACCTCACCTCACCTTCACTGACATCATTATAAATCAGAATTGCAACATTTTAATGATAATATTTTTAAAGGTGCGGAAATACCTTAATAATTAAACAAGAGATGAAGGATTGCTCACATAATCAAAAATTATGTAAAAATAATAGTGAGCAACCTTGACATACTTTATAGTATGTAACAGGGTGACCAAACTTCAGTTTAATGAGTTGCATGCTAGAATTTAGAAAGATTGTGGTCACAGGTGGACTTATCAAGAGCAGCAACTTTTATTTTGTACTTTTTTTGATTACCTATCTGTACCTTAACCAAAACGTTATGAGCTAGTTGGCCACTTTAGAGAGCATTAACGATTTCATTGATAAGTTTCCCAAAAAAGTTTCTTTCAGCAACAGGGTACCACTTTGGTAACAGTAAAAATTTTTTGCAAGCTATTGTATTTAAAGACAAGATCCATTCTCAAACTGGAGATGCCCTAAGAATTTCATAAAAGAGCAGTCACTGAAATTTAAAAAGCAAGAAATATCAGAAATAGAACATTTTTTAATTTTTTTCAAGGGATCCTCCTGTAATTCTTTTACATTGTTTTTCTTCCTGTGAATATAGTGATCAGCTTAAAAAAAAAGTGAAAAGAGAGAATCAGATAAACTCAGTATTACAGACAATTATTGTATTGCATTAATAGCCAAAACAAATGCTGTATGTGCTACAGGTATTCCTGTGTTGCCACATGAACTGTTTTTTGCTAACAATACTGTATTACCTCATTAATACTTTTTCACAAGTTTTTGATGGGTTGCAGATAATTAGAAGGTGCCAGTTATATCATTGTAAAAACAGTGAAACATGTTTTGAGTAAAAATAAATATTTCGAGTAATTTAACAATAATATCATATATTAATTTTTTTATTTAGTGCTAATGGGAATAAATAATTTTTGTTGCTCTTCTACTGTATTTGGGAGAGTGCAGAGTATGAAAGGCAAGTTTTAAGCTTTTGTACATGAACATGCTTCCTTCAGGAAAAAACTAAGGATTTCTTCTGATTACTAACTTTTCTTCTGATTTTGATTCTAAATATGAACTGATTTTTATTAAACTAAAAAAGAAAGAAGATATAGCATTGTTTAACAGAAAAGCTGTGCATTTGTATAAAAATACACTATATATATATATATATATATATATATATTTTGTAGGGGGGAGCTATTTTTATACAGAAATTATTTAAAATAAACTATCAGTGTAACAAAGCTATTGCATGAAAACAGTTTAGCTCCTTTGCACAACTTTTGTGAGAACCAGCCTATGGAGATACAGGATAACCCCAAATTATTTAATTCATTGCAAAATAGATCATCAGATATGTTCCCCCCTGATGTAAGTTGTAAATAAACATATTCATAATACCATTCTCTGAGATTTGAGATGCATTGTCAATGCAGCATGTGGCTAATGTATTTGTCTTTTCTGCTGTCCAGTTATTTCTTACCTGTTCAAAAAGCAGTATAGCCATGATAAGAAGTGGCTGAAATGGCATGCAATTTAAATTGTTTAAAATTACTTACTTAAAAAAAATTAAGTTACTGAAGAAAGAAAGAAAAAAAAAAAAAAAAAAAAAAACACGCTGCAGCAAAATTCCTATTTTAAGTTAGAATGATGGATGCTTCCAAGACAAAACTATTTATTAATAGTGAGAAATTTGGCCATTCGTGACATATAAGCACCCAAAGAAGTAAACAGGTTTACTTATTATAGATTGAAAATTATAATTAACAAATTATTAAAATAAATAAAAATATTTTGGTAGTTGGTTTGTCATTGTTTCATATCAAAGGTCTAGTTTTCAATAATTGTATATAAAGTGCATCCATTTATTATGGTAAAAAATGTATCTTCTAAACCAGAGTTTCTTAAACTGTGGGTTGTGATTACCATGGGAGTCGCAGGCCCTGCAGCAGAGGGTCACCAAAAATTTTAGCAGTTTTGATATTTATTTAACTTATTATAATACTTTTACAATTACCAAATATTTTTACACAATGTATCTGAATATAGATAAAGATAAGACAATACAGACAAAGAAAAAATGAAAACATTTTGATGCATATTTTTTTTAATAATATAAGCGTTCATTTTGCTTGCTTTGCAGGTGATGCTGTCATTTTGTTTGTTACTTATTTAAAATTTCACATTGTTCTATGTCTTAAAATTATAAATTAAAGTTAATGACCTAAAACTTCAATAGTATATTATAGTGCGAGTGAAAATATTGATGGTTTCACTTACACGTGTGTTGGATTCGCACAATACTTAATGGGGTCCCAAAAAATTTTTGTAAACATTATGGGGTCCAGGGGTCACGAAAAAAATCTCAATGATAAAAGAGAATCGCAACTGAAAAAAGTTTAAGAAGCCCTGTTCTAAACAAAAGAGATTATTATGTAGCTGAAGGTATATAATGTATGATGATGGAATTATCATTTATTAACTACACACTTGGTACAAATTGAGTTTGTGCAAATTAGCTGTTTATAGTATTGCATGTCTGATATATTACTGTAAACAATATTAGAAAGATTATTCTATAAATGTTTTTGATATCAAATTAAATGCTTTTACAACTAACATTAATTTTCATGATATCACTACTTTGATAATTCCAGTCAAATAATAGTATAATTTTTTAAACAGAATGTAGTATATTTATTGTATAGTGTATCTCAAAGCTTATGGAAGCATATTTTTATATACATGTGTATCTATTAATATTTCTTTTCTTTTTTTTTTTTTTTTTTTTTTTTTTTTTTTTTTGTCTCTAGTTAGGTGGGATTTTGCAAGAGCTGTGATACAATTTAATAATAATATTTCATATAAAGGTTTAATTCATGCATCACTTCAGGAGGTTAGTTATAATTTCATTTTTGCTAATGTAATTTATACTTTTTGTAAATTTCAGTTACCAGTTAAAAGTTTCAAATGTGCATGTTCCTTGAATTTTGAGTTGTTCCCGAGGGGGGGATGTATGAATTGAGGAGAATAAGCTTTTTACTGTGTTTCTCAACTGTAATGGGGCTATATTCTGATAAAAATAATTATTAATTTAAAACTGCTTGTAATACAACCAGTAGGTAAATTTGCAAACTTACTGGTTTCATAGATTATCCTAGTTTAGATTTAGATGACTGTATGAGTACAAAATAATTTACAACAGAGCATGTTTTTATGATATTCTTTACTTAGTTTGATTGAATATTGAGAATTTCTGAATCTACAAGTGCTTTTGATACTTTAATTTTGCGGCAAATATTCACATAGGTCAAAAGAAAGTGAACCTAAATATATCTAGAATATTAAAGCTAATTCAATTGCTGTCTGGAAATAATGCCAAAATTAACAGTCTTGTTGAATTAAAATGCAGACATGGTTAAAGTGAAGTCAAAAGAAATAAAATATGCAAGGTTGACATACTAAAATCACATTTAAACTTCAATAAAATAGAAGATTTCACAGATCCATCTGCTTCATCATTTGAAACTAGCGTCTTAATCCAATTCTTTTTTTTTTATATACTGTTAGATACAAGGATGCTTGGTGTAGGTTTGCTGTATATCTTAGGATTGATATCCAGATACAGTCAAAAGTCGTTAATTCGGACACCCATAATCCGGAATGTCTATAATCCGGACCTCAAAGCTAAAAACTTTCTGCGCATGCGCCGCATTGGCACATGCGCACAGGCGTTTTACGTGTGCGCGTAAGACCTTGACTACTGCGCATATGCGTGTGCGCAAGTGCAGAATACGTTTTCGCCTGCGCGTTTAATGTATAACGGACGGTGTAAGCTAAAATTATCTAATTATCTATTTCAGTTAATGTTAATGATTGCGTTGTTCCATAATCTTCGAATTGGATCCCGCTTATTATTTTTTGCAGACTGTAAGAGCAATTTTATAAAAGTAAACTTGAACTTTCGATTATGTCAAATAGAATTTCCAATGTTGGAACTTCCAAAGGATCTACAAAACGAAAGTATGTTTCGATGTCCAACAAACAAAAAATGGAATTGCTGCAATAAATGGATAAAGACATGAAGAATGTGACAGAGAGGTTAGTGAAAACGAAAAAATTTTGATTGACAAGTTAGTCGGTATTCTTGGCCCAGCAATTAACGGGACTTGAACAGCGGAACTTTGTAACTGAACAAGAAATTATGTCTGTTTATAGAATTAAAGAGAAAGTATTATCACATAAAACGAAGCAACTTAAACAACTTACATTGAAAGAAATGTTTAATAAAGTAAACAAATAAATATTAAGCTTTTTTTTTTTGTAAATATTGATACCCTTTAGATCATAATTGTTCTTTATTTCATAAATTACGGTTTCATATTTTTAATTTTAGAATTTCTTCATGCCATCTTACGAGATTTAAACTGATGATCTATAATCCGGAAAAATCGATAATCCGGAATCGCCGAAGTCCTGACGGGTCCGGATTAACGACTTTTGACTAGATTGAAAGATCTGTTGATCTATGTTGTGACAGCCATGTAGTGATTTCTAGTGCTTTTCTGATTTTAAACATAGCTTTTTTGTCAGGTTGTGTGGTGATTCTGGCCTTGTCTCCAAAGAGTATTTAACCAAAAATGTGTTATTAAGCAATACAGTTGCTCCTGTCTCAAGAATCAAGTAGAAGTAAATTCATTCAACATTCCTTCACCAACATGTATCATTTTCATTTTCAAAAGATTTGATTATGAAGTTATCTTTAACTCAGACATTTTCTGATTTTAAATACAACTGTTTTGCTAAGTTGTCTGGATGATTCTAGACTTGTCTCCAAAGAGTATTTTACCAAAAATGTGTTATTAAGCAATGTACTTGCTCTGACACAAGAATCAAGTAGAAGTAAATTCATTCAACATTCCTTTTCTATCCTGTCACCACATACATTGTAAAGTATTTCTCCCACCATCTTAGCATGCCTTTGTGATGTAATGGCCAGCGTGCTCAGCGCATATTCGAGAGGTCCAAGGTTCGAGTCCCAGCGAGAGCATTGCTCATTTTTCATGTTTTTTAGTTTTGAAATAACCTAACGTCTCTACAGTGACACCCAAACTAAAAAAGGTGGTGGATGATGATTCTCCGCCATCAGGATTTCGCGACTGGGTCCCCTAATCCCCAGTCCCCCTTTAAATGGGGGAGTATATAAGGTATTTCTCCCAGCTTCTTAGCACGCCTTTCTGGTATAATGGTCAGCACATTCAGTGCGTATTCAAGACGTCCGTGGTTTGAGTCCCAGTGAGGTCATTGCTCATTTTTCATCTCTCCTGCTTCGAAATAACCTAATATCTCTACAACATCAGTTTCATTTTTAAAAGATTTGATTATGAACTGGTCTTTAACCCAGATACATCCATCTAAAAATTGTTAAAAACAGGCAAATTGGGTACCATCACATACATTAAATACATCAGGTGTTTATATTATGCCCTTCCACTTTGAAAATACAAACATAAATTTAATATATCATTTCGACATCTAGAAAATTATCACTAAAAATTGCTGAGCACAAAAAGGTATTTACAAACTCTGGGCTAACAAAAATTGCATATTAACAAAAAGTAGTGCATCTGTGGTTAAATGCTGCTTGGAACATTTAAACTCAGTAACTGAATGAGGAAGAGCCAAAATCATCAGCAAATCCTGACAGAAGTAGCTGAAAATAAGAGAAGCACTAGAAATTGCCACCAGATCATGTTGCAGAAGACTTCTCTTTTTATCTATGAAAGAGCTAGACAGATATTTTAAGAAATACTGCAACTGTGCACATTCCTACAAGAAGCAACAATGAAAGAAATCAAGCCATTTATCTAGGTGGTGTTCACCAAAAAACTTTGTGAAGGAAACAGTACAAGGCAAAAACGTTATAGAAAACATGATGCGAGAAAGAAAGCAAATAGAAAACATTGTGATATAAAACATCCTCATTGAAAATAACGCAATTCTGAAACATTGCAGTTTTAAAACATCATCACAGAAAATATCATAGTAAAAAATAAAACACACATAAATCGTCACATGATAATGACATCACAAATATATGACTTTAAAATTTGTAAATGTATATTCACGTAATGCTTTCGGAATTCAAGAAGGAATGAGGAATATTTTTAACTGCTGTATTTAATATTTTTGAATTAACTAATAAACTTTTGCTGGAAAATCAAGAAATGAAACAAGCATTAAAAAACTGAAAATGACTAGAAAATTAATGCTATGTATAGCAGTCAGCAGAATTTTAAACTTAACCATTAAAGGTGATTATAAAGTTCATTTAATTAATCTTTTTTAGAAAATTGTATTTGTATCTACCCCTAACATGTTTCTTCATAACTGTTGAACCTATTTACAAAGGATCAACTGTATGCTGTATGTGAAAATGTTAATGACACTTGAAGAAAATGAATGGACTAAAATAAAACAAGACTTAATATTTACTAAAAGAATATAAGATTAATAAAGGTGAAAGAAAATTTTATAGTTTGATAATAAATTAAATAAAATTTATTATAGTTACTTATCAGATGTGCAGTTACTCATGTACCATTCAGTTATCAGGACCAAATTTAAAAATCAGGGTTCATACAGTCCTTAAGAATCCTTAAATTTTTTGGAATTGATTTTTGGTCCTTAAAAGTCCTTAATTTTGGCCAAAATCAGCAGAAGGTCCTTAATTTTAATCATCTGAAATTTCTGTCTGTTTTTATGACTGCCATTTTGAGTGTGAATTAGCATTTTGGAGGAATATTTTTCTAATAAAGAACTCTTAAACAACATTTCCCTTTTGGGGATGTGAATTCTTTTATTAAACGGCTCTAAATTTGGCGACTTTTGGTATATTTTGGCGATTTTAGGATCAGTTTCTATAGAAAATTTTTAATTCCGAGATCTGAGAATTTTTCGACCAATTTTTTTAAAACATCATAACGTTGATAAATCTCATTAAAATAATGGTAATATATTGAAATTATATATAAAAAATAACATTAAAATAAAACATTCTATTTTTCTCTGTCATATTATAAAGTTTCATTTTGGCAACTTATTATACAATATTATGAATCTGATAAATAAGGCATATTGCTATAAAGCATAATTTACAATAAGCTCTTAGCAAGAGCCAAATAGCTATGTAATTAATTAAAAATGTCTTTTTAATGTTTTCATGGTAAGCATTTTTTTTCCATGCAATTGTCTCAGAATTTCAAATTCTCAGAATATGCAACAGCTTTCTCTATAAAATTAATTTTGCACTTTTCCTTCTGATTTTCCCCTTTCTTTTTTTCCAAAATATTTCTGGCCTTTTTGCTGTTATTGAATTGGTAGAGGTAATTTTTCTTTAGGATTTTAGAACATTGCAGCCTGGGAAAAAGTTTAGAAGGATTTGAAGGCCAAGGTTTAAAGACCCACGAGTTCTAGACGATTCCAGAAAAATGTGACAGAATGAAAAATGTCTTCCATGGTATTAACACGTAATGGATGTATTTTACAGAAAGTTTGCGATGAATTTCTTACCTTTTGGAGAACGTCTGGAAGAACAATGAAAGCATAATTATTTGAATGTTTTACTCCTGATACTAGTATCTTTTTCTTAACATGTATATCTTTCCTTTATTTTCTCTACTTTCACTAGACATAAGCATCAAAAATGCTTCTAATCTTATCAGTGGGCAGGCATTATAGAAAGGGATTTTCTATTAATAAAGAAATTGAAAACTAATTTAAAAGATTCAACTAATATGTTTTAATGCATCATACACAGAGCTGCCACTAGGCATTTTCCCACCTGATGCAATCTCTGTGGTTCCTAAATTGTAAAAGTTTTGCTATTTCTTGATTTTATTGTTCGGTGTGTCACTAAATTCTAAAAATTCTGCCACACCAGCTTTGTAACAGGGCTTTACCATATATATTTCATATTTCTTTTGAATGTTCATATTACTAAAGAAATAAAATTAGCCACTTTTTTCTATACATTCTAAATGCATTTAGTGTTTTTTAGAATAACATAAATCCTTAATTAGATCCAAAAATTCTAAAAGGAAGCGTGTTGAAGAAAGAAACTGAATGCATAAAGAAAATTACTCCTCAAAGATATGTGCATTATTATGTAACTTACCCAATTGTTTATAATTTCAGCCTTTCCGTTTATGATTCAGTCTGTGGTTTGGGACTATTTAACTTTTACCAGATCAAGTAAATCCTCGTAGGTACCTTGTGGAGAGGTTGATAAGTTAGGAGATAAGCACGCAGAAACTAGCAAGAGCATTGGTTTGCATATTGAGACAAATCTCTAATTGTTAGAAAAGATGCTTAAAGAGAAGGAAATCGATATAAACTAGCCAAAATGTTTGGAAAGGCTTCAAATTAAAATTAAGGATAAATATTTTGTTAAGTGTTGGTTTTATAAAACATTTATGTTTTGTAGCGTTTAATGTGTAATCCTAATTCGTTTAAGAATCAATGTCATAAATTATATGTATTTTAAACTGTGAAATTTTATTAGATTTTGATTTTAATAGGCTTTTTTTAACAAATATTGTTAAAAATAAAATTTAATAGTGACCATGAAATCCATAATGACTAAAGTTATCTAATTACCCTAATTTAATTATTTATAACTAACTGCTTACCCTTAAAATTGCCTCTCATATTAACGCGAGTTATTGCTTTCATTAACACTTACTGTGGTCACAAGATAAACACAAAAAAATTTAAAAATCAAGTCAAACTTATTCTTTGCATCTAGTGAAACTTAAAAATAATACAAAACAACCTATCATCTCTAGTACTTTAATCGCTTATTGGAACATTGAAGTATATTAACTGGGCTACAATCCCTTGGAACTCTACACAAAGCTAAAACACTAACTGCATCAAACAGAGCCTGACTAACTTTCAACACTTCACAACTGTGTCTATATCAGGCCTTTCAGGTTTGTTGTAATGAGCAGGTCTCTCTCTAGACAAGCAATAGCGGTAACAACCTCCAGTCTTTTGTTATGAGTCATGCTGATTATGATCTTACTTCTCATTTTAACCTATGCCGTTTGACATAAAATTTACCTGCTATTTACTAAACCTCTAGACTGACTAAGTATGTGACAAAATGAGACTTAAAAAAATCAACATAAAGCTAACTATTAGTAAAACTTAAGGTAAATGTCATCTTCTTTCAAATATGTCCAACTATTATAAATGTAAAATATTTAATGCTAATTGATAAATTGTATAAAGTTTATTTTATTCTCAAACTTATTAATCATTATTTTAATTAATTCATGTTTAGTAATAATGCATACTATCTATTTTATTTTTAGGATGGTATTACAAAAGTGAAATTCAGGAATAGAATAGTATTTTTAATTGAATTTATTCAGTTCCTATTTGCTCATAGGTCCTTAATTTTTTTCATTAATGGTCCTTAAAAGTACTTAATTTCCGTGTGCAGAAATATGTACGAACCCTGAAAATGTATACGTATGTGTATTGTGTATACACAGACTTACATTTGTGCTTACATATATACATGCATACATGAAAACACATCCATCCATCCATTCATACATGCATACATACATTTCTGAATCCTGTCCTAATAACAGAACAGTACCTTGTAATCTTTTTAGACTGTATGTTTCTTAAAAAATTATTGATACAACTTTATAAAAATTAATTAATTGTTGACCTTAAATAGTTAAGTATATAAATTTAAAATTCTGTAAATTATGTAACATTAATTTTGTACTCATTTTCAGTTTTCAAATGCTTAAGTTTCCTTCTTGCTTTTATAACAAAAATTTATTATTTTATTGAAGAATATGAAACATAGAGATTAAAAATATTCCCCACTCACAGAAATGAAATATAAGTGGATTAGCATGGGCCCCCTATACTTCTTGTGCCCGCGGGTATGTGCCCAATGACACCATGCGTTAAGATTGCCCTGGCTAGGATCCTATAATTTTGAAAGTACTCCACTGCATGCTGTTCCATTGAAGACAAGTCCTATAATAATAATTTTTTAGAAATGTAGTTGAAAAAACAGATAAACAGCAGTTAAAATTATATAGTTTGTTTAAAAAATTGAACCACCTTTATCGAGAATTAATCGGGCTTACATGAAGGGAAAGGCTTATCCATGCTATCCATTATGCCTATCCATTATTGGCCGTACATTATACTCTTTTGCAACTGTTTTTGTTTGATTTGAATCTAGTCCTATCATAGTTTGTGTTTATAATGGAATTAAAAATCTGTTTTTTGCTTAAAAATCTAAAATTAAAAACTATTTCAGTTACCTGAGTGTTCTGGTTAATCAAATTTTAGGTAGTCAGCCTTTTATTGTACTCACAGTAGTGAGACTAATGAGTCTGCTACTTTCTCATAGCTCTTCGGTATTTAGGTATATGTTGGTAAGAAGCCTCATAATTGTAGTGTTTTAAATCGCATTTCTGTCGCTAAGACTAGAGTGGGAAGTCTGTAAGTAGGGTAACTGGTAATAAAATTTATAAAATGTCAGTTGTTAAGGAAAAAGAATTAAACAATTGCCATTTGTAATTCCCAGACTGTGAGATATTCTGCTATAGTGAGGTATATGCAGTTCATTTGATGTTTTTTGCCTTTTTTTGAAATCGAGGGAGATCACAAGGGCAGGCTTCGAGGATCACAGATTGAGAAACACTTCCTTAATGTATATTTAATGGGCTGCCTGGTTAGGAAATGGTCATCTTCGAGAATATTATCATAATTACTATTGCTTGTTTATGCTATCAGAAATAATTTTACAATGTTCATGCTTAAAGAACTGCGTAAATTACGATAATTCTGCAATTTTCACGTTTTTGAAGCCATTATGCATACATATTTCATTTTTCCAAATTTTCCCTATCTAATTAAATTTTCTGTTTTTAGAACAAAGAAAAACTCATACAGTCTGCACTGAATTCCTTACTTGAAAAAGATGGTGATGTAGAGCAGTCTCCTCCAGAAGTAATAGAAGCTCAGTTTCAGTGTATTAGAAGACTTGTTGCATCAAAAATAGGATTTGCTACTTTTACTCTTATTCCATCGTAAGTGTGATTTCTTTTATCCAGCAACATTTGAAGTTAGCATAAAAGAGTGAAATATACTCCAAAGAGCCAAAACATTATGACCACTGACTCAGTAATGCATTGCACGACCTTTGGCATACAAAACAACTGCAACTCACCTGAACTTGAAGGAAACCATAATTAGTATATTCATATAGGTACATTTTTTTGAAAATACTTATTCTGAGTCTTCAAGCCATTACAATCTGTCCTCTATCAAATTTGCTTAGCAATCTTTCCCCATCACTTGTAAAAGTAAATGCAAGAATGATTCCTTACATTCTCTAGCAGCAGTTAAATACTGTTTCCACTTAATCACATGCCTTCTATGTCATCCAGACGGGTTCATTGAAAAATATGGTGATGATCATAACGTTTTTGCTCATCATTATATATTTTGCATTCTTAAAATTACTTTAAAAATAAGAATAAGATCAGAATATGTTGTTTAAAGTTATTAAGAAGCTTACATTATTTGCTGCTAATAGTAGAGAAATTTATGTATTTCTGTTAAAAAGCTTTCAAAAGGAGTTACTGTTTTAGTATTCTTAAAAATTTCAGTTTATCTTAGTTTACGGTGAGTGTAGAAAGTATTCGTACAATAAGTGTAATGATATAAAAATGCCTCGTTGATAAAAACTATAAACTTTAATTCCACAATAAGTAATTAAATAAATCTAATGAGTTATACTTTAATATTTCCACGTGGAATTTACATGAAATGAATGCATGCATAAATGAGACATTTGCAAAACAAAAACAATCCATCATCTTGTGGTGTAAAATGTATTTGTATATTATACATAATGCCGAATATTTTCATAAGTACATTTAATACCTTGCAGGATGTCCTTTAGTGTGAGTGATGGCTTTGAGTCTCCTTGGCATTGATTCAATCAGATTTGGCATTACTGAGTTGTATATGAACTCTCATTCTTGTTTAAGATCAGTTTTTAAGTCACTTTTATTAGAAATGTGTCTGGATCTAACATTTTTATGAAAAGTTTCCCATAAATTCTCAATGTGATTGAGGTCAGGTGACTGAGGAGGAAATTTTTTAAACTTTGGGGTGTTATATAATATCCAGAGCCATGTATTTAGGGCTGTATGCTTGGAGTCATTATCATGCATAAAAACATATTCACTATCCAAGTCTATTTTTGTCACGTAGACCATAAATTATTTTTCAAAATATCATGTCTAGGAGGTGGTTCATAATGCTATTAATGATGACTAAATTACCAACCTCGGAAGTACTCATACAGCCCCAAACCAACGTGCCTGCACCTCCATGTTTCACTGGTGTTAGTAAATTTCCTGAATACATTTCTGTATTTCATTTCCTTCACACCATTTGTCTCCCATTCAATCCAAAAATATTGAATTTACTTTCATCTGAAAAAAATATGTTGTTCCAGAACTCTGAGTTTTTATTAATGTATTTTTTGGCAAAGTATAATCGTAACTTCCAACTGCTCTCACTCACAAAGAAATTTTATCTCTTTATATGGTCCTAGAAACATTATTTTCTCCATGCATTTCGAATTGTACTTATGGATACTGCTCTTCCCATGTTCCTCGATTCTCCTGGGTAAGTTAGGAGCACTTACTTTCAGATGTTTTTTAAATGAGCATGTCAGAAACCGTCTGCCAACAGATCTAAGTAGCTATGGTAATACTGAACGATTACTATTTTGCACTGTTCTGAAGGTAATCAACTTCTGAATAATTGACTACACAATGAAGCTTAGTCTACTGACTAAAACTTACCTTTATGAAGCTTTAAGATTACTTCTCTTTCATTACCTTTTATGTTTCTTAACCTTTATGACTCATTAATTTAGATGTCAAACAACAAAAGTCAGCATTATATTTTCAAATTTTCACAGCGCTAGTTTCGATGGTTTTACCAAACCATCATCTTCAACTGCATTGAAACTAGTCCTGTGAAAATTTGAAAATATAACCTTGATTTTTGTCGTTTGACTCCTGAATTAATATTTGTTTGGCGTGTTATTGTATCTTTCTGACCCATATTAGAATTTTATGTTTCTTATGAAAATTAAATTTACACCTGGTCATTTTATATAACCTGCAAGATAAATGATGTCAGTTATCAATGAAAATCTGACTGAACCAATTAGAAAATGCTACCAAAGTTGTGCATTTGTTTGAATGTACAAATACTTTTTGCGTGCCAACAAATCCCCAATTTTTAGTTTCTTATATATTTAAAAGCTAATTCAATATCTTTTCTATATATATTTTTTCCCCTCACTTGTATTTGGCAAATGTTGTTTATTATTCGTTGCCTTTTGGAGAAGTTTTGATAGAATTAGAAGACCAAAACAATAGTTTCTTTCATGAAACTACTGTTGTATGAATAATTTCTACAGTCACTGTACAAAAAATGCTCAACAGCTTTTTTTTTTTTTTTTTTTTTGTTAAGCCATATAAATCCATTTATAAATGTGTAGCTAATTTCTAATGGCAAAACTTCAGTATGTATTAATGTTGCTACTAAAAAGTTAGTGAATTATCTTTTTTCTCTTTGAGGAGAGATCATTGAATGCTGGTTTTTGCATTCTAGGTACAATTCATAATTATTGAATGGGCAGGGTATATTACCCTTTTCATGGTTAGGGTATTATAAAAATACAAGTAATTTCCCTTAAAATATATTCTGGGAATCTATTGGCAGATAATTTTATGTGCTGTGCCACATTTAATTGACTTCTTGTTTGTTTACTTCTTTCCCCCCTTTTTTAAAGTTTCCTTTTCTTATTATTTTATTCTCTCTTTTCCTGCTAAAAGTATTTAATTTAATTGACTTCTTGTTTGTTTACTTCTTTCCCCCCTTTTTTAAAGTTTCCTTTTCTTATTATTTTATTCTCTCTTTTCCTGCTAAAAGTATTTAAAATTTATTTTAGAATTGAAACTTAATTTTTTGGCACAATTTAAAAAATGTATCAAATTATTTTTTTTATTTTAAAGATATTAAATAAACCAGTCTGATAAGAACAATAACTGGAGCTTTGGCCCCAGTAGAAGTAACTGCATATTATATTGTTGCCATTCTGCAAAATTAAGTTCTGCCTTATCCGGTAGCCAAGTTTACCATTTTCATTGGTCTTCTTTCAGAGCTATTTATGAAAGATAACAATTCTTGTGTTTTTAAATTGTATTTTCATCTTTTTGCTCATTTAAAATTAACCATTGTAAATTAGCAAACATTATTAAATAATTGTTTTAACTAGTTAAATAATAAAATTTGCTATACAGTGAGAATATATGGTGTTTATTAATTTAATTATAAGTATTTTAAAGTGAAATATCCCAATTATTTCAGATCCATATATAAAATTTAATTAAAAGTTTTTTTAATATAATTTTTGGTCAGAGATATTAAACTATATTTTGTTTAAAATAGCTAGGATATGATGTGTTAGAATAAGTGCTTCTAAATAAGATTTAAATCAAAACTTATGAACATCTTTGGAAATTTATTGCATCCTTGTTCTGTACGATAAATTATTTTTTCTGGAGAGAATATAAAGTTATTTTTTGACATTAAATTACTATTCTGTCAAAATGGCAAAGCTCCGTGGTGGAAATTAATTATTTCTTAACCATCAATAATTCTTTTTTCAAAACTTGACAAATATTTGATGCTTTAGAAGTGATTAAAACTGAATTTGAACAATTTGTTTCTTAACAATTAAAAATCATACATTGTATATGTGTAGTAAATAGAAATACTATGCAGACAGGAGAAAACTATTTGTCTAATCCTTTACTAGCTTCTTGGAAATTTGAGGTGTATTACTGAAACCTTTGATTCCATTCTAGTTTAGAAGCCATTCTAGTTATGATTAATAAAAGTTAGTTGTGCCTAATGCAGTATTATAACACATTTCTTGAGAAATATGTATTTGAATTTTAATACTGTATCTTCTGATTTCTAATTTCTTAAGTAAAGTAATGGATCCGCTTATAATTTTAATTAAAAGAGGGAAATTAATAAAGTAAGCATATTAGTCAACTTCCAAGAAAGGTTAAAAATAAGTACATATATTCATATTGAATTTTACTATTTCAATAATAGTTTTCCTTTGCTTATTTTCTTTTGTAAGAAGTGTCTTTGAATTATTTCATCAGTAATAACACAAATTAATTATTTTCCCAGCATTTGTAGTTTTTTAAATCATGTTTGTATTTTTTGACTCATTATATTTTTTTCATTTAATATATAAATACATATGTTGAGCTTCAGTATTTTGACGTTTTGTGAAATTAGATAGATAAGCAGTTTTAGAATTTAAAAGGTTTTAATGTCTTAAAGTATTTTCTCTGAAATGCTACTTGTAATTATAGTTTTGTTTATTAAGTGTACTTAATTTTTTTACATACTTTTTAATGTTTTTTACATCATTAAGTTTTTGAAACAATTAAGATCTTTTTTACTTTTTAAACTCTAAGAGTTCTAAGTAGTTTCTAATAGCATTTTATTTAACTTTCAGATTTAGGGAAAAATTAGGCATAAAAGTTGTGAAAGCTTTAAAACGCAATAATGCTGGTGTTGCTCATGCAAGTATTGACATGCTGTGTGCTCTTATGCAGGTGGGTACATTATATATTTATCAACTTTTGTTCTTTGTATGAATGATTAATTTAGGATTTAAATGAATATTGCAAAAATAGATTTAAATTAATTTTACTTTAATCTTAGCTATTTCTTAAAACTATAGTATGAGAATTTAAAAATTTGGAATGACTTTTTTTGTGATGTTTAATGTGAATAAATTTGTAAAAAGCTGAACTGTAAGGCCCATATCACATGGCGTTTGTTTCACACGAACAACAATTTCGGACAATTTTTCTGCCTGGTTTACTATTGAAAGAAAGATGCGTGACTTTGTCCTTCCTTTCCAAAAAAATTGCAGGTTGTTCATTTTCAACCAATCAGCTATCAGCTGATAACTGGGAATGTGGCGGCGCGCAATGAACTGGAAGTTGATCTGTCAACGCTATCGTTATCTTCAGGACATATGTTTTTATTTTATTCGGCTTGTAATTCCTTATTAAATGTAGTATTTCATCTCGATGTACTTCATCTTTGATATGATTTAAATCAAATTCCTCGTCATTATAAATATCACAAATACAAATCAAATAGTTTTCTGGTTGCAATTTTCTAATTTCGGCTATGCATAATGTATGCTTTACGCATGCGCGCGTTGAAAGAAATGTTTAATAAAGTAAACAAATAAATATTAAGCTTTTTTTTGTAAATTTTGATATCCTTTAGATCATAATTGCTCATTATTTTATAAATTACGGTTTTGTATTTTTAATTTTATAATTTCTGCATGCCATCTTACCAGATTTAAACTGGTGATCTATAATCCGGAAAAATTGATAATCCGGAATCACCGAAGTCCCGATGAGTCCGGATTAAAGACTTTTGACTGTATATCCTTCTGTGATAAAAGAAAGTATGGAATTAAAGTTAGAAGAAAGATTTCAAATAACGTAAAATATCAGCAAGTTTGCAAAATGATAATGAATGGATGAATTTTCTAGATCCTAAAAATAGAACATCAGTTTAACCCTGTGAGTGATATGGCTTTCTGAATCTGGTCATTAAGACCTGCATATAAACAGCATTTATTAGCTAAATTTGTATAATTGCTTACCTTAGTTTCTGTTTACATAAACTTCATTTGTTAACCACTTCTCTGCTAATAAAATTGCAGAAATCCGCCCAAGCTTTGTCTATTTTTATTACAGAATTGCTCCTTGAGATGAATTATATGTGAAAATACACTCATATGGCAAAGTAAAGTATGAAGAGATAAAAATTACAATTACCCCTGTAATTAACTCTTTTTAATACATTTATTTAGGTAGCAATAAATATCTTATAGCTTTACATTTACTATATATCTGTAAATTTTAGCTACAACTTATTATTTCATCTTGATATAGTCTATTTTAAAACAAGGAATGGCACGGGAAGGATATTTTTTTATGTTTATTTTAAAACAAGCTACAAGCAAAATTTAAAATATGGAAATTACAATAATATACTGTATTTGATGGCATATAAGACACATCCTTATTTAGAAGGCCACATACCACAATAACTTAAAATGTGGTTTCTTTTAGTTCTCACGTTTCATAAAAGCCAAATAAACAATCATTGAATGCAATTACCAAACATATTTTTATTAAGGAAAATTAACAAATGGCAAGCTATTTTGAACATGATATGTAAATTTCAATAATGAATAAATGAATGAACGGTAGGTGGTGGACCGTAAGGCCTTGCTGCCTGCTCTGTTTCCATGCACTTTGGCATTAGTTTAACACTTCCTAGTTTATACTGAATTGTATAGCTTAATCTCTTTGTTTCCTGTAGTCATATTTTCCTGGGTATTTTTTAAAACAAATAGATTTTAAGCACCGATACCGAAACACGTTTATACAGAGTAGCACCGATACCGACACGTGTGTCGGCTCGAGTCAAAGAAAGTCTGTGTAAAGAAGGAAAGGCTCCATAGATGTAATGTGACCGTCGAACCTGTTCGACTTCAGACTTTGAGCTTCGGCAGCTTTTTGGCGACAGATATTTCACGTATGCGCAAAATAATTATGGCAGATGTAGAAAAAGTTATGTGTGTCTAGACCTTTATCCGGGCTAAAAATAACATTCAGTATTGAAAGTTAACCTGTGTCCTACACGTATAAGACACAAGTAATTTTTTTGAGACCAAATTTAGGAAAAAAAGTGCATCTTATATGCCGTCAAATACGGTAACTCAAAGGTTATTTTATATGCCTATAATAATAAGGTTTAGTTTATTTAATTATGGCAAAGCACACTAGGGCTATCTGTCTAAGGGGAGGGATGCCTTCGTGGGGGACTTTCTAAGGGAAACTGGCTTGTATACACGTTACACATGGGGAAAACCACGAAAACGCCCATGCAGCCAGCCCTTTCGCGGGATTCGAACCTCGGACTGAACTACCAGTGCTCAGCGACTTTACCGCTCGGCCGCTGGTGGGCCTCCTATAATAATAAGATTATAAAAGTTTAATAATTTTTAATAAAACTTTACCAAGTGAAACTTTTAGCAAATGCTATGCAAAGTATCTATAAGAAAGCGGATTGTACTGTAGGAATTCAGTAGCAAGAAGGGGGGAAAGGAACTTTAAACTTGTTTTTACAGAAATAAATAATAAGGAATGGTAAAAAAATTATAACTTTGGAAATGAGATGCCCGTAGCAGGCACAAACAGGAAAATCACACTGTGCACTGTGCAATCCCATATGATATACAGGTAAAACTGTTAAATGGTTAAGATGATATTTAGATCATCAAAAAGAAGTAAAACACAATATTTGGGATTGTAATCAAATTATACCAAGTGATAAGAAATTTCATGACCTTCGATCATGCCACTCTTGGGGGGAATTAATCTCCTTTAACTGAACATTTTTGGTAGAGGACAAAGAAGCTTACAAAAAACTTTAATATAGATTTTGTTATTTTATACAAAAGGTTAGAAATAACAGAAGTGTATATGACATATTGGTTTTGAAGAGAAAATATGGAATTCATTAGTAGTTAGTGAATAATATATTTTAAAAAATGGAAAATTTATGGGCAAATTTCTGTCCAAAAGACTTTGTCAATCAAAATCTCTTTCTTAGAATACTGCTATAAAAATTGTATTTAAAAGAAGAAAAATACATTTGAGAGAGGCTTGGAAAGTAACAGAAGAATCAAGTTCAGAAGATTTTTATGAAGAACAATATGAAAAAGAAAAAGAATGCATCTGAAAAAACCTAGAAATAGAATTTAACAAGGTAAATAATGTTTGAAATATGCTGAGACACATAAAAATAATGACAGTTTATATTTTTTAACAAGAGGGATGATTGAAGCTCTGTTAACAAAAGGCTAATTTCTTGGGCTCTAACGGGTACATAATAGCCTACAAACTAAATTTTTATTATGAATAGAATGGATGGTGAGAATATGTAAACTAAAGCAGATTCTTTTATTAAAGATTATTTTAAATAATTTTACAGCATTTAGCTTCAAATTATCTTGCTACATTTCCTTCATTAAAGCCAAAGAGCAAGTTATTTTTCCTTTCATTTGCTCTTTTTTTTTTTTTTTTTTTTTTTTGCTTATTTTGAAGTTTAGTTCATTTGTTAATTATGTGCAATTATTTTTATTTTTAATGTTATTTCATTCTTATTGGAAAAATTTTAAAAAAAAATTCTGTATACAAACCAAATTGGTTTTCAGATATTGCACACCCCTTTAATTTTTTATTACTTAATAATAGACAAAAGCCTTCATTTTATGAGTGTCTAGCAACAAGAAGTTTAGTTGTAGTTGTGTTTGCTAAGTAATATTTAATGAAATTTAATTTTTTTAAAAAAATCATGTCATAATAAGGTATAACTTCAAAAAAATGGCATTTTGGGGGGCAAAAATTTGTAAAATAATACTGTAATGTCAGTAAATTTTTATGGAATGATTTCTCATATTATTCCTGAAAGTTTTAAGCAGTTTTCTCTGTATTAAAGATTTTATGGGCTTATACAGTTTAGCTGTTTGTGTTGCTGCATTTTGAGATCATAACATTGTCATATGTAAAATTTTGTCTATCACATACAGTAAAGCTATAGATTAATATATATTGATAGAAAGACAATGATCTTTATGATGAAAATCTGAAGGTATTATTTATAATTTTAAACTGAAACAACAGACATTTTATTTTTTTAAAAAACTCATTAATTTAATATTATTTGTACCATTCTACTGTAAAATTTTCTTTTTCATAATAAACTATATTTTCTAAATTAATTTAAATTGATAAGCTCATATTTTTTAAAATATATTTTCAGCCCATGCATGATGATTATGATTTAAGACAGGAGCAACTAAACAAAAGTTCTTTGTTATCTACCAAAAAATTTTTAGAAAGCCTGTTGGAAATGTTTGTGGAACATATAGTAAGATTTTTGTTGTTTTAATCTTACTGAATTTTGTTTTATAATATAGCATGTATCAATGTAATTGGTCAATTACATAATTATTCTATAAAATATCATAAAATAATTAATTACAGTTCTAATTTTATACCAGTGTTCAACTTCAGTAAGCAGACACAATTTCAGTGCATAATAAAATAAAAATTTTTAAAGTTGTTTAGTAAATGTTGATTTAAAAATAATATATTCTACATTCATTCAGATTCCATCAGTTTCCGGGTTTTTGGAAAAGCAAACATATAATCCTGAGTAATATAAGAAATAGCTTAATATAAAATTTCCACTTATGGAGCAATATCGTTTTGAACTGTTATATTCCTTCTGCTGGTAATAAAAAGCCATTTCAATTGCTCTTGTAAAATTCACATCAGATGTATTTAATTAAAAATAGCTGTAGATAGTTCATCTTGATTGGGCTTTTGAATGCAGGAACTTGTTTTTTTAAGCTGATTTTATGCAGGCTATTTGTCAAATGGTTACTTCTATGATGATATCAGACAGTTTTATTGCTTCCATACAATAATGAAGTAAAAAACTTAAGAATTTCAATATCATTGCCTGTTGTATCCTATTGCCACATTTACATATAAAATTTTAAGCCACCTTCACTGCAGGAAACATTTCTAAATTCTGAATGTGCATGATAATCATTGCAAACTCTACATTCACAGACTAAAAGAATAAATAATATTCATAACAACAAGGCTTACATTCAAGAGATTCCATTCAGTAAGGTTTTGCAGCATTCTAACATAATTTAAGCACGTTTAAAGTTTGAAATAAAATGTTCTGATTCAATGCATCAAACATGATACAGTGGGCCTATGGAAAATTATGTGTATTATGATGTGTTTGGAGAACAGAAGTTAAATGAAACTTGTTTTAACCCAAATGACTGTAAGCAAATATATAGGATGATCATGGTATTAAGCATTCCTGTTGCTAATATGTATCAGGTTTAGAAATTTCATACTTAATACTAATTCGATTTAACTGATTTCAACCTGTCTTTTTTCTCATATTAATTATTAGTGTACCAATAATAAGTGGAATTTTGAGTAGTAACTACTTGAAGTATATTCATTGTATGTTGTGTGTAATTTAATTTTAATTTCAGAAATTTTCAACATTTTTTAATGTATTTGAAGTAAAAGGTTCCATATCAAGTGTTTCATAGTTTGTTAATCCTCAGTATATTTAGATGGCAATTGAACTTAACAGTGTGGGATCCCTTCCGTACATGCAGAATTCTTAATTAAAAGGAAAGTCAGGAGAATAAGGAAAAATATAAGCATTTTTTAAGAAGTCGGAAAACTAAAAGTTTTTTTTTTTTTTTTTTTTTTTTTTTTTTTTCCCATAAAGATTAAAGAAACGTATGCATAACACTCTTCTGAAGTAATAATTTTTTTATTTTAAATGGCAACCCATAAATAAAAATTACCCTTTTTAAAGAGCAATCAGGTAAAAATTTATTATAATCTTTGCTTGTCTTGTAGAAAGTATTACCCACCTCACATTTAATACAATTTTAAAAAAAACCATAGCTCTCTTCTCCAGCTATTAATGAACTGTCATTTATCTCCTTGGATGTGTATTTCCAATACATATTTCTTTCATTCACTAAAAAATAATGATTAAGATCAATTAAATTTTTATATTATATTTAATTATTCATTGTATTGTGTAGTAAGTACATAAAGTTATTCCATTAATGTAGCTTGATTTGGTAATTGATTCATCATGCTAGTCAAGTAGGGTATTTGGTTTGGTCAAGGATGATCAAGGAAATTAAAAGTTGAGTGTTGGTGGGAATCCTGAATTTTATTTGTAACTAAAAAGTGCATTTATCATTAACTTTGGTTTTTGAACTGGTCAAAAATTAATGTATTGCAGAGCTTGTAGTATCATTATACATAATAAACTTAATAGTGTTCAGAAATTGCAGTATCCATATGCATAGGTTTAATATTGATTTAAAGATTTAAAAAAATCAGTTATATTTTCACTCTATTGAATATCCAAGATAATAATATGAATTTTAAATCTGGAAAATATGAAGTTACATTATGTGTGTTTGCTTGGAACTGGTTTAGCAATTCCTAAAAATGCTAAAAAATTAAACTACTAGTCATTCAGGATATCAGTGCATATGTCATAGCCAGTGTTCAACAGTATTGACAGGAACAATATGAGATGTATAACATATTATGACATCAGACCACAGAAATGAAAGGGGAAGGACATGTGTCTCCAAGAGTGGTACTGCATTGTTATCATATTAGTTGAAAAATGACATATTTAAAAAGTAGGATATTCTACAGAAAAGTAAGCTTTATAAAGTACCTCATCCACACTTTATTTTTTTTTTTTTGGGGGGGGGGTACAAAAAAGTGCCTTTTTTTTTTTTTTTTTTAATGTGATTCTGTTTAACTGTTTTATTTGAAATGATTTTGTTTTTTATTTGCCATGATTTTTGGCAGTGTTTGGTTAATTTAACAATATTTTAATGTAACAAATGAAAAATATCATTTAACGAATTTATAAGCAGTATGTTTTTATTTGTTGTACTTGGAAGTTTACAGAATTTTAAGTAACAGTGTAATTACTTTTTTTGCATTAAACCCTATTTGAAAAGTGCAAAAATCTTTTAGCAGACTTTATAATTTATTTAAATTATGTTTTTAAAGTTATGATAATCAGAATTTAATTTCATCTTGTTTTCTTTCAGGATAAAGGAACTGGTGCTTTAGTTGTATCTTCCATGTTAGACTTCCTTACATTTGCATTGTGTGCTCCATATAGTGAAACAACTGATGGTTCTCATTTTGATACTTTACTTGCAATGGTTGCTGATTATGGGCGCCAGCTTTTTCGTCTTTTTCAGGTATAATTAATATATAGTATTTGTTATTTATCATTAAGGGAAAAATGATATTTTTAATATATTCTTGTTAAGTCTATTTTGTATATTATGTAATCTTTTTTAAAATTAAAATCATATTGAAAATCTAATATGTTTTGAATGCTATATTCTAGCATAATATTTTGTTTTATAAACCTTTGCTATTGGATATATTTATAATATTATTACGTTAATTTTTTTCTTACATACGTTTGTACGGGGTTCGTGTGGATTTGGAGTGAATAATGACAACAGCACTTGATGAAGTAACACACTTTATTGGCCAGTATTATTCAAGACAGCTCAAATAACATGTTTATAGTCATCAAAGATCTACTATAAACTCGCTGGAACAATCAGCAACACAGCCTTCAGGTTATCAGGCTACAATGGTGGAGAAAGCTTCACTACAAAGCACCAGAGTACAGCTCCCGATTCTTCTCAATCGTTCTCGGAACTCTACGTACTCTTGAGACTCTCCACGCTACAACTCGGGATGCATTCGTCGATACACTAGAGTATAGCTCCCGATTCCTCGGTTCAGTTGTTCCCGAAGCTCCACACACTCTCTTGACGATGCACTAACCGCGATACACTAAGAGATTCTTTCGGTGCACCTTGATGACCGATTTAGTACTCATCGACTGTCTATCAACTCGATGGACTCTCACTAAGTAACTAATTTTCTGCGTACCAGCAGGGTTTATATAGCTTTTGGCTTGTGTTCGAGAACATTCTGGCCTAAACCAGTAAGAATTCGTTCCAGAAGGTTATCCATTTGTCTATGGCATATTGCCAATTTTGACGCCAAATGTCACCAAATGGGCAATTTCTTGCCAAATGTGGCAACATTGCCTTCCCTTGCCATTTTATGGCAATCCTAAACCTGCTTTGCGGGAAGCTATCTTACCACACCTGGACATTTCGTAACACTATTCTAAATTTGAAATTAAATTGACTGTATATTGAACATATTATTAAATAAATAGTGTGATCTCAAATGATTTCTAAGAGGCTGTTCAGGGTAAAATTATCTTAAATTTATATTTTGTCTTTGAGCTAAAAAATTTATATTTTGGCTTTGAGAGCATAAAGATTATACATCTGACCATTGCTTGTAAACAGTCCTTATGGGCACAAACTCAGACTTAAAACTATTTCCTTAGAGTTAGGTGCATAAGAATTAATCAAATCAGCATACCATAGCAGCAACATTGTAAATTCATTGTTCTCCTAATTCAGAATTCTGTATATTGGATAACTGTAAATTCAAAGGAATTTAAAAACTATATAAGCGAGTTTTCCTTATTTTTTATAAATAAATTTTGCTAGTATGATCTTTTATTAATTTTAATAGAATATTGTTGGCAGCTTTTAATATGTTTTAAACCTTTTGCGTTAAGATTTCATTTGATCTACTAAATCGCTACATTTGGAGAGTGCTGAAAATTCTTGTGTGTGTGTGGCCTTGAAAGATCTCCAAATCTAATATCAAAACTAGCAACAATACATATTTCTGTTTATTTTCTGCTGCTTTAATGCTTTTTCTGAAACAGGGAAATTGATTCTGATTTTTCATGAAAGGGAAATGTAAAATAAAATTTTTACCTTATAACAGCCTCGAAAGTCTTTTTTTTAATTTAGTACTTCCCACTTTCTATTGTAAAAATGCTGTAATGCAAGTAATAAATTTTTGTGAAGTGTGTCATTCAAAATTAAGAACTACTGTGTAATTTTTATGTAAGGCTGGTGATGCATGTACTTTTATAATGTCAAAACTGAAAGTGAAATCTTTTATCCAATTTTAATCTGTATTCTTCTAGTGATTGCTTGATTCTTTTTACGTATAAATATGCAGCCTAGTTTTTTCATCACCATTCATCAATTAAGTGTGTATTTGTAATTACTAAATTTCAGGAAAGCTAATATGTGCTTAGTTTCATAATGTTATGCCAAAAATATAGAAGTATAACAACCTACCTTCACTATCTCTTCCATGTAACATTCCAGCTCCATGTTTCATTTTCCATTCATTTTTATTAAATGCAATACAGCCACATCTTTGTCACTCATCAAAAATGACCGACAAAATTCTCAAGCACCCATTTTATTCTTCGAAATAATCACCATTGGCTTCAATTACATGTTCCCAACAAGACACGAACCTATAAATGCCCATTTTGAAAATCTTTTTTCTTGAATCCAAAAATTGTGATACAACTTTGTGATATCATCATGTTTCTGGAACTGCTGTCCACACACGGCAAAAACAGGTAATAGTCCGATGGGATGGTGTTCAGGGAATAGAGTGGCTGAGGCTGAACTTCCTAACCCATCGTTTTGATCACCTTTGTGGTCGCTTTTGCTCAGGTCTGGCATTTTTATGGAGAAGAACTCTTTATCTGATGACCAGTGCTAGCTGCTTCTGGTGCATTGCAGCTGAAACTGTTCATAGTTGTGATGAGTAGACCTTGACTATTCTGTTTTTTCTGCTTTCTAGACATACACAGTGGACTATACCAGCACTGATCCACCAAACACACAGCATTACCTTCTTTTGGTGAATGCCCGGTTTAGTGGTCAGTGAGACCGAACCAAAAGTTGACCAATGAAGGCTATCATACATAATCAATTTTTCATCACATGTCAAGATTTAGTTCAGAAATAAACATTTTTATTGTGTTACAGCAACGACAAGCAGATGTTCAACCGTTGGAGCTTGTTTTCCTTGGATGGGACATGAGAAACACACTTGCTTAGTTTCCATGTCATCCCAAAGTTATGAAGATGTGATCGAATGGTTTTATCAGATACTCCAAACCTCTGTGCAAGCCTGGCAGGTTTGATGAGGGTTCTGCTTGATTTTCTCCTCCAGCTGGACTTTGTTGAAGGGGGGGATGGATGACTAACATGAGGCTTGTCTTCAAGGCTGTCGTCTCCGGAAGAAAATTAGCTGAGCTACTTTGAGCAGTCCATTCACTTTCTGATGTCTCTCAAAATGAGGAGCATATTCTTATAGCAGCTTCTGCAGCTTTGTTTCATAATTTTTACTCATAAAGCAAAATAGGCCTCAAGATCTTTTTCAATGTTTTTTTGAAAATTTTGTTTCCTACAAAACTGACAGCGAAATGTGCAATACACTGAATTACTTAGTAATGATTACATTCTGTGATTACAATGTAAACATACAACATCATCAGAATCAATTTGACCACACTAACTTGCCAAAAGTAACTGTTCACAAAAACCACACAAACTTTCTTGGTTATCTAGTATACAAAGGATATATCAGTTTCATATTCCTTAACAGGGGTACATAAAGTGTAAAGTAGAAAAACCTCTGCTGTAAAAGCTTAATCAGCATTTTATATAATGTACTGAAAGTTTTATTTAAGTTATAAATGAAAAAATAATGCTTTTTGATGGCTATATCTTACAATTTTGAAGTCAGTGGAGGAATTAATTTAGATATATAGATTTAAATATTGTTTTAAGATATATAAATTTTATACGTAATGCTTAGAAGAACTTATTACTTAAGAATGCTTAGAATTATATATAACTTTTTTGCCATGGCATGTATTTAAATGTATTATGAATAAATTTTATCTCTATGTGAATATTTTTATCTTTAACAGCACACATCTTTGGCAATAGTTAAAGGTGCAGGTCTCCTTATGAAAGCTATCATAGAGGTAGGTTCTTTGATACTTATAATTTTACAAAATTTTAAATAAAATGAATATTTCCAACTTTTATGATGAGATAGACTTATAACTTAATTTGCTACGTATATGTATAGAAACAACTATTTTAAATGCTTAAATTAATCTAAAACTTTAAATTTAAGTACTGTAAGTATCAATACAGTTCTTTGGATAATGTGCTGAACTAATTTCAAATTCAGCAGAAGTCTGATAATTCCGAACTCGTGGGATTTAATCCTTTCCGTACAGGTGTGTTGTACACACCGCAGTAGCATTCAGTTCATCTATGGCAGGTGTGACGTCTGCATTTCAGAGGTTTAGCCCTTGGTTAGACTGCTGTGACATATATGTGACAATCACATGGACTGAAATGTAGATATTTTTAATTCAAACAGAGGTGCTCTATGTTCTTGGTACTGAGATAAATGGGAATTATGATGCCTGAACTTTGACCTTGGACTATTTCATTTGATTCTGAAAGGTAGATAGTAAGATTCAGTAATATAAACAGGTATACTGAGTCAACACATTTGCATTTTTTTATGTTTCTTTTGAGTGGCTTTTTAAGGGAAGCATATCTCGCGTAAGTTCAGTTTTTATTTAGTTCCCTCTTTTTGTAAGTAGCATAGGGTGTTCTTTCTTTTGTGTGAATGTTAGTTTTTTTTTTTTTTTTTTTTTTTTTTTTTTGTTCACTAAGATGTCAAACTAAAAGCGATATTTATGATGCCATTTTCCTTTCAAGAAAGGCATTTTTCATTCCTAATTGTTAATAAAAACAAAGAGAAAATGAGAAGAAGATGCATTATTTGAATATATCACACAGAAAACAAATTTTAAATTTCATTGTAAATAGGTATATATATGTGTGGATGTGCCTGTGTAGGTCTGTTGCTTTACATTAAATATTTTAATTGTTGTTTAACAAATGCTGAATGTTTTATTTAAAATTCCTCTTTGATTGTCATTACAGCTGCAAAATTTATGCATATTTAATTCCATAAATCACCAAGCATTTGCATTTTCTTAAGTATATTAAAAAATTGAGTAAATTTGAAGAAAAATATATTTTTGCCGAATTTTTTGGCAAAGTTAACCTTAGTGATCAAGCACCTGCCATCCTGTCGAGATATCATGGAAGCTGAATGCTCCATTTCATAGCAAGAAGCTAGATCAGGCTGCAGTCCAGAAAGGGTGAAGTGATGCTACATTATCAGATAAAAATTGTAATCAGTTGTAGAGATGTGGATGAGGTCTTGAAAACCTATGTGAAGCTATTTAGTGATGGTGTAGGCCCAAATTTTTTGCTATGGATGACAATGCTTGTTTGCATCGAGCATATCTCTTTTCAAAAATACTTGGAATAGTGTCAAAATACTTGGAATCTGAAGTCATGGGTGGGCTAACTTACTCATCAGATGTGAATCCGTGTATGTTGGGAATGCTTTTAGGCAGCTGAATTGCAGTGCACCGAATGGTCTTTTCACATATTCCAGGATATGAAAAGTGCATTGTCAAAAGAGTGGCTTGCAGTTCCGCAGTACCTGGTCAACAGTTTTGTAAATTCTATGAAATCAAGATGTGAGATTTTCATTTTTGTCACATGTAAATTATACACCATATTAGAAATAGGAAGTCATTTTAAACTTCCATAAATATGATTTTAATGTTATATTTTCAACTGACAAACATGATAATTTATGTTAAATAGCACTTTTGTGCAAATTGATTGTATTAATTTTTTAATAAGTAGCAGTAAGTTTTATGTCTGCTGATATTTTTTTAAATGTATTATGAATATGTATTCTGTTGATATTTTAAAAATTATTTTGATGAGTAGCACATTAAGATAAAAGTCAATATTTTATTTTAACTATTTTATAGATTTCTATGATTACTACAAATATTTTATATTTTTTTCATCTCTGAAAAGTTAGAAAAACTTTTCTAAAGACTAGGCTTTTGCATACATTTTTATGAGATGCAAATAATTTATTGATTGCAGAAAAAGAACAAAGAGGTTATCTGTTGAATTTTAGAAATATATCTGAGCATTTAAAAATTCCCAAACTAATTTATCTGTTTTTAAAAATTCCTATGGATATGTTTAAGATTTCTGGTTCTTATAAAAATATTTCACTAAAAAGATGTTAAAAAAAGGAAAATATCTGTTAATCAAAATCTTCATTATCTAAATTTTAAAAGCTTTATGAGCAGTTTAGTTATAATATTCAATTAGTTACCATAAACTTTCTTTTAGAATTGGATATGTAATAGATCTGTTATTTTTTTTTTTTTTTTTTTTTTATTGAAAAAGATGTGTAAGTTATTGATTTTGTATTTAGGAAGGGGATGTTGAAATATCGGCAAAGATGCAAGAACTGTCATTAGCAGAAGGAGCATTACCTCGTCATTTGCATATAGCAATGTTTACAAATAGCACTGACACTCGTCTGTTAACTATGCAACAACTATCTCGTCATTTAGTTGGTTTATGGATTACTGGGCATCCAACTGCAATGGGCCTGCTTAAGCGAATATTGGTGAGTAGAAATGCAATGGAAAGATATTTTCATATAGGGAAAAATTCAGTGTATAAAGAAAAATTTGCGCACAAAAATATTTATAAATGTGTGAAGTTATTGTTTTGCCAGTATAATTGAATCACATGTTCAGAGAATAATTATGAAATGTTATTGTGTTTTCAGAATTTGTAATAACACAGAATTAAAGCAACTTCCATTTTACGTTACTTCAATTTTTTTTTCTTGCATGAAAAACAGATAATTGTTTTACAGTGAAAATTAATTTTTATGTAAATCAATCATTATATATTCCTTTCTTACATAATGTGTGAATAACAAGCTTAGCACACTACATTTAGACTTAAAATGCTGAAATTGCTGTTACAGTTAAATGCTATCACATTGCTTTTCTTCTCCTCCCCCCCCCTTGTATGTGCTGTTTTATTTGCAGTGATTGAATATATTAAAATATTTAAGCATGTGTAATGATATTTTTATTACTTTTAGCCAACTGGACTGCTTGCCCATCTTGATTCAACTGAAAAAGTACCTCAAAAATCTGTTGATTATATAAACATTCGAGATAATTTGCAGATTGCTGTGGTAAGTTTCTTTCAGATTCACAGTGGAAAATTAGATCAAATAAATATTGAAAAATACTGAAATTATTTTATACTAACTTCTAAGATTTCCACTATATCCCGACTTCCCAAAGAAAATGATTTTTCATAAATGTTTATTGAATTTCTGAAAACTTGGCTAAAATAATATTTGTGTTGGACTGTTATCTGGCATTTGTGTGTGAGATGAATGGCAGATACATTAATGGACCTGCTGAGAACAGATGTGAATTGTACCATTAAAAAAATATTTTATCATGCATCACGGGTTTCTGCAAGACTGTTTCCCAAGATCTTTAACTGATGAACATGAAAAAAAGAGGAGATTTGTCACGAACTAACAGAATTATGGAATAAATCGTTCTGATTTTTCTGAATTCTATAACAGTTGCAAAGCATGCTTTGCAAGGCATCTCAGATTGAGACTCACTGACTTTTTGGCTATGAGAATCTGCTGACTATAGATGGATATGAGATTTTGCTGACATTTCAGGGCTAACATACTGTCGCCCAGGGTGTACCGTGAAACTTCTACAGATTCCTAGCAGGCTCAATTCCACTCACAATATGAGTGGAACGAGAACTTGCAATCACCAAGGTTCAGCACTTTGGTCAAGACCAAGAGACTTCATCACTAGAAAGGTCACCTAAATAAAAATAACAGTATATTTCAAACCAAAGCACTACTTGAAAAAGCTTTCACCTGCACTATAAACAACAACCTGAATTATGTAATAATATTTACAAATATCCTCTACATTATATGCAATACATTATTCATGTTATACATCACAGGTATAAACATACAAAGGCTTCTAAGAAATAAAAAATTCAAACTGCACTGGACGAAAGCTCATTCAGAGCAAATAGGAAATTAATTTGGCGATTTACCAAGAAAGTGTCCAATAATGTGGAAGTTTTCCAATATCAACTTGCAGCACCTGAATCACACCTTAAAAGCAGATAATCAGTTGGCATTACAGCAGAGGTAGAATGTGTGTGATAACACTGAAAATGGTAGGCATGTATATAAATTCCTTTGTAAGAGGCCATAACCCTTTTCCATTTTGTTATAATAGGCACACAATCTCATAAACTGATTTTTGCATCTCAGGGTCTTCTTGAGCATTACATTACTTCTTGCCTCTTGACAGCAATGCATAATAAACATCATCCTTGTCTTAACATCGATGGAGCAGGAGTTAATTGCAACTACTTAATTATATGCAGCTATGCCTGTAAATCAAGTTCCTGTGTTATGTCCTCATTCTCAAACTTATTAGTAAATATGTACTGTATACCTCTCAAACTCCTGTAATCTCTTTCTCTATCTCAGTTGAGGCTCCTTTATTGTTGTTTCTAAATGGAGGGGGATGATGGGTCTATACTTGTTTAACTGTGTTAGCCACCAGTTGTCCCCATCTTTCATCACCTGTCGTGCTATAAAGCTGGCCAGCCAGTATAGTGGTTAATGACACTGATGGGCCTGGGTCTGAATCTCGGGGAAGGCATGGATGTTTGTAAATGTGTAGCTCCTGTGTGGCAAGAGAGTACTCGAAATACATAGCAACAGGGTTTCCATGCTACAGGGAAAACCGTAAAAATGTAGTGGAATTCAAAAATTGACTAAAAAAGTTATGGGAAAAATCAGGGAATTTAAACATTTTAGTCAAAATCTAGAAAAGTCAGGGGAATTTCATACGGTGATCCCAGAAAAAGCAAGTTTTGCACCAACGTTAGAAGCGATCACCTTCTTGTCAAATTATGTATCACATGAGCATCATTTGGGTAGCTGGCATAGAGCCAATTTTTGCAGCTCCAGTCAGATTGTCTTTTAGAAAGGCAAAGCAAGTTTCTAACTACTTTGGTTTCCAGTAATCTCGAGAATTTAGGGACGCACATGTGCAGTACGCGTTGAAAATAAGAAAATATCTTCTCATTCTCATATAAAACTAAATCAGTTTATTCCTATATAGTATATGGTATCATGGAGGTTAGAATATCCTTCATGTATTCTGTTCTAACCTACATGTACGGTACACACAGGATTTGGTGATATTATGATAAGCTGTAAATGGGTCATTTTGGCCCATTTGGTGTTGGCGACAGTTTTCAAAATCGTGCGAAAGCCGTAGCTTATACCAGGATTTTACTGTCAAATCTTTTAAACCACCTTTTTTTTCTTTTCAGTAAAAGCCTTATTTGTCATTTTGAAGTAAAATAAAAAAATAGTAATAGGTCATCTAGGCTAACTATTTAATATTATATAATATTTGCCAAAATATCGTTGATTATTGTAATTCAACTTAAAATTTATTTTAATGTAATTCATATCATTTAATGTTGTTTCTTTCCTTTAAATTTATTTATTTATTAGTAAATAATTGTTTCAAATTTCAGAAAATTTTCTTTGGCATAATCTTGAAACTAATTCTGGCAGTATGATGACATACCATCACGAAATTTAATGCACGCATTTTTTGCGTATGTATGCTACTAAATAAATATAAAATACCTGAATTTATTTTAAAATATCATTAAATAAATTTCTTCCTTTCGTTTATCTGCAAAGTGTCTGCAAAAAAAGCCATTTTTTAATACAGATTGGGCAGAATCTGATCTCAACCTTCAGTGGAAAAAACAACTTCTATTATAGTTATAATAGTAATGCTTTGGGGATTTTATAATATATATATATACATACATACATATATATGTGTGCAGTATTTTCGATGTGCAGTTAGGTAGATGGATGTTTAGTAGCTTTAGATAGTCAAGTGGAAAGATGGAAAGATGCTGCTGACACAAATGAATTTGAAGAATTCGTAGTCTTTAATTTCATGCATATTGAACCATCTTAGTAGACATTTATCCAATCATAACGAAATATGATAATTTCTATGTACATTGTTTTTTTAAAAAGTATGACGTAGGTGTTTTAGCAAGGAAAAGCTGCGTGATGTTGGCAAAGCAGAGGTTAGGGAAAGGAATAATGTAGTTGTTTTGCAAAGAGTATTTATGCTAAGTAGATGCAGAAAGTACTTGAAACTGTGATTGTTAATTTTAGGTTGTTATGTAACATAGAAAGATCTTGAATTTAGGGGAACAGATGATGGAACAGAGGAATTTAGGGGGAGAGCTTAAAATCTAGAATCGTTAATTTTGAGGTCGCTAATTATTTCATAAAGCAGCCACCTTATTTTACTATATCTTACATATATATAAGTCATGTGTAATTGGCAAATTTTTGTGTTTTCAAGTGGTACCATAATTAATTTACCTTTTAGCACAGCTAGTGTGCACTACGCAGATAGACTGTAATCTTCTTAAAACACATCTGAAAAACCTGAAAAAGTCTAAGAATTTCATTCTCCTGTCTGAATGCTAACCATACAGCAAGCTGAAAGTCTTCTTGAGAGGTTCTTGAGAGATACTCAGACCTTCCCTTGAGATGTTCTTACTGAAAATTGGAGCAGAACTGCATAGTTAGTGCAGCAGGACTTTACAGCCTTTGATGAAATTCTGGTATCCCTTCCACTTCTATCTGTACCTGAGCTGCTATGAGATGCTGCTCAGACAAAATAGTGGTTAGTAACACTGACTGCCATACCAAAGGGCTTAGATTTGAATCACAAAGGCATGGATGTTTGTAAAAGTATAGTATCTGTGTGCCAAGGGGATACTCAAAATACACGGTGAGCTGAAATATGTTTGGAAAATTGGTAGTAAACGAAGAGGAGTGGGAGACCTTTAGGAAGCCCGCCATGGATTTTTGTCTTAGAATTGCATCCAGGATAGAAGCTTAGAAGTTAAGAAAGTCCAGCAATACCTAGTATGCCTATATAAAAGCTCAAGGGCCAGCCTTGCTTCAACCTGTACCTGTGCTGCTTTGAGCAATGGAAACTGTATTAGAGTGTTCATGTTGGTGTTTAAACATCCAGTTTTGAAGAATATTAAGTGTACATGGAACTTAATTATAATGGAACAGTTTTTACAGAGTTAATCAACAATTAGCAATATTTACGTAATGTTTTGGAACAGACCCTATGTTTCTTAAACTGATTTAAGAAGTGCATGCTTTTTGTGTAAAATTTAAATTCACATTTATGCAAATATGCATTGTCATTAATTTCATTCAGATTAGTAATGTGGGTGATATTGGCATTAGTTTTGATCCACTGCTATTCATGTGTATGTGATCACTTAGTGTCATATTAGTTCATCCCATATTGATAGCTTTCACTTTTTTAAAAATTATGATGAAGATTTTATTATAATTTATTAAACAATAAACAGTTGTTTCAGGTTTGACTCTGTCGATTTAACTAGCTGTTTTAATTTCTGAGATATGTATATTTTAGAAAGTTCTACATGAGAAGCATCCTTCTCTGCTTACTTTTCTTCATGTGTGTAGCTCAGTTTGTTGCACAGTTTGTGAAAAGCCTCCAACATGGTGAAAGTGAGATTTGAGTTGGTTGGAAGAGCTTGTTTACCATAGGAGGATGATATTTGATTTTTAGGAGTTTGGAGATATTAAAATAGTTTACTTTAGTCATTATTGTTATTATCTACGAGGGTTGGAACTTTAATAGTGGCAACTATTTATTTACAAGGAATACAAAAGTGATTCATGTCACGATGTTTTACAGTCCTTCAATATAGTCACCAGCATTGTGTACAACCCGTTTCCAGCGATGTGGAAATCGCAGAATAGCTGTAGCAGCGCCTGTTTTGTTGATAGTTTGAATGGACTGGTCTGCTGCCTCAAGAATCTCGGGAACAGTTTGGAAGCGAGTGCCACGAAGTGGTTCCTTCATCTTAGGAATTAAGTCATAGTCACAAGGGCTTAGATCTGAGGAGTATGGTAGATGGTAAAGCACTTCCCAGCCCCATCGCTTGAACAAATCAGTCACAGCTTGCGCTGCATGTGGCCGAGCATTGTCATGCAAAATGAGAGGAGCGTTCTGCAGAAAGTGTCGCCATTTTTTTCTCAAAGCTGGTCGGAGATTGTGCTCCAAAAATGAGCAGTAATACTGTGCAGTGACGGTCTCCTGTGGGGGAACGGTATGCGTTAGGATGACACCATCACAGTCGTACACGAGAATCATCATAACTTTCACATTGCTGGGGTTCTGACGAAATTTCGAACGTCGTGGTGACCCGTGATGATGCCATTCATTTGATTGGCGTTTCAGTTCTGGCTGGTACGATCAGGCCCAAGTCTCATCCAGCGTAATGATACGGCATAAAAAAGCATCTCCTTCGCACTCCAGGTGGGTTCGGGCAGCATCATATCATAGCCATTTCTGCATGTCCGTCAATTGATGTGGAACCCATCGTGAAGCAATTTTTCTTGGACAGGCATTCCTTCAGAATGTGCAGCACAGTCGTATGCGCTAATCCTGTTTGTCCGGCCAGCTGACGAATCGTTTGGCGACGATCACTGTCCATTAGTGCGGCAACAGCTTGCACGTCTGCATCGCTGACACTCGGACGACCTGGCCGCAGCATGTCTGCCACGTTTTGGCATCCTTCATTGCATGCTTTCACCCATCTTGCTACGGTTCTGTAAGGCAATGCAGATTCCCCGCAAGCCTCTTGAAGCCCTTGATGACACTGTCGTGCTGTACGACCTCTGGCATATTCAATTTTTATCCAACATCGTTGTTCTTGTTTTGAAAACATCCTGACAACACTAACTTTAGACCGCGAGCTAATACAAGGATCCGTTCTTCGCGTCACTCCGCATGCGCGTGAGGTAGGCAGGACGAGTCTTTTTGCTGAGAGGTAAGGTAGGTATGTAGTTCACATGTGGTATACGCAATATTCTTTGGTTTTGTTGCGTAGCGTTTTTTCAGCTGTGTTGCCACTATTAAAGTTCCAACCCTCGTAATATGCAAGATGTATATTGCCCAAAATTTGTTGTAAAATAATTGTATTAAATTAGCATTCATTATTTTTCTTGTTGGGATTGAAAGAATATTATAGGATTTTATTTCAGCTATATCCAAAATAAATCAAATTTTTAATGCGAGCAGTGTAAATACTGTTATGTCAAGAACAGACTAAACTTGTATTTTATAAGTTTGAGTGTTCTCTTCACCCCCTTTTTTTCCCTATTTCTATTAATGAATTTTTATTTTCTAAGAATAAACTTTTGTTTATTAGAATATTTCCTTGCAAAGGAATATGACTGAGCAATTGATTGTATCATTTTTTCCATTAGCTTCGTATCCAAAACTGGTATCAAGATGCAGTAATTATCATTGCAATATAGAGTGTTCAATTTAAAAATGAACTACTGATTTAAACTGTGGATTGCACATATAGTAATTCCTATGTTGTTTCCAAAGTATATCTCATAAATTTGTGTTGTTTTCTTTCACTTAACATATATTTACTGTTTTTTTACTGGATATTCTAAATTGAATGTTCTGTGTAATTCATTTAAGAAGTTTTGATTTATGTGTACATGAGCTTCTTAAATAATTTATGTCATTATGCATTGCATATTTCAATAGTTATTTAGAGGGAGATAATTGTTTGCAAAGTTAAGTATTATTTCTTTAAGCTTTGCAAATTATTCTTTGGTAAATAATGAATCAATTCCTGTATATTGTAAAGTTTTAAACTGTATTTATATGTAGCAGTTTTGTTTTTTAAATGAATTTTATCTTTTCAAGGATCAAAGCCAAAAGACTGGGCGTAAATTACCACCTTCTATCCAGGTCCTTGAAAAACATTTAGAATTTGTTTTGCAGCATTGGCGTGCAAGAATTGGAATGCCAAAAAAAGAGGTATGGGTATTGTTTTAATTATAGACAGCTAGATTTTACAAAAATATGTGTAATAAATTAGGTGTGCTTTAAATTACTAAATTTATTTGATCAGATATAAATATGAAATTTTTAATCTACCTTCTGTCCATAAATAAGAGCTTGCTAGTCAAAGTATATATTTTCTTTGCAAGCTGATAATTGGAAATTCATGTATTCCTGAGGTAAGAACATTTGAAATTTTAGTTTGCTTAAAAATATAATTTTAAACAGTACACTTTGGATATTGTAGTCTGAAACTAATTGTGAAATTCTTGTTTGTGTGTCTTAAGTTTTTATGTTCATTTTTTTCTTTTAACGTTGCAGTATATAGAGGGTGGTTAAAAAATAGTTATAAGATTTATTTCTTTAAGCAATGATTCTAACCGTGTACATTCATATACAAATAAAGAAATTTAGAACATTTTCAGCACTAGAGTAGAATTAGGTGGTGGTGGGGGGAAGTTAATTTTGTATATAATCCATTGTAAAGCTGAAATCTATTCAATAAAATGTTTACTATGCAGTAATAATCTGAATAAAGAAAAGCCCCATAACTTATCATCAGAATTCAGCGAGATATCTAAAACTATTATATGTAGAAGATTAACCGCTGAGTTTATAATTAGTGATCTTCTACTCAATATATATATTTTAAATGTTGGAATGTGTTACTTTTATTTTGTATCCGGAGGATCTAGATCAGAGGTTCATGGTGGGGTTCAAAAAATTTTAAAGGGAGCCAGCCATTGATGATCAAAGGTGTTGATAGCCAAATATGCATTGGCAATTAATCAGCATGATCATTATTGAAAAAATTCTGAAATCTTTCAGATTTTATATTACACCCAAAGGGGCATTTTTTAAAAATGTTTTGTGTGTTACCTTTATTTATTAAATATAATATTCTTCACACTTAAACCATAAAATTCAATTCAACAGCTATATCACAAAATATTTAAAAGAGCATATCTTTAGAATTTCTGATACTCAGTCTCGCGTGCTGGAGATAAAAAAAAAAAAAAATTATGCAAAGTTGCCATTGCTAGCTTTCAAATCGTTGAGTTTTGTAATCAAAAACTCATAAATGCTTTACAAAATATGAAATAATAAAACAAATTCAAAATATTTGGTCTTCCTGATGCCCATATTCAGGTGGAGACGTACATTATTGAAAATTTGATGGCTCTAGGTACCGTTGTTTTATCATAGTGCAAGAAACGGACATACATTTATGCAGATTCTTCATTATTTAATTCTTTAAATATAATACAGGGCTCTAATATTTGGTGGCAACAATTTAAAAAGTGGTTCACCATTTATAGTGACTCAACACAAAATGCCAAAATGAAATTAATAGCCCTTCTGGGCAAATTGCCCTTTTGGGTTAACAATTATTAATAAAATTAATAATTAATTGTTTATTGATATTACACCCAAAGTTATATCATGCAGTAAGAAAGACCTTATAAACTTAAGTATAAGAAAAAAATGTACAAAAATTATTTAGCATATTTTTTAAATTCATATTTTTTAATATATGAATTTTTTTATGCAATAAGTGCAGTATGAATGAAGAAAAGTGCAGGAATATAAGAAAAAACAGTAAAAAAAAAATGTGAAAAACTCACAACTTCTTCAGAAGATGTATTATTATATATAGTCTGCTTGACAAATATAAAAAAGGATTTTGATGTTTACTTCCAAGACATAGAAAATTTTAATGTGCCTGCATGCCTTTTAGAATCTCGCTGATCTTCAATATATTTGATCTTGATATTATGATGCAATAAGAGCTGAGTGCTTTAAAGGAGATGTTTAAGTGCAAGTCTAATATAAAACACATGGGTATTCTAAGTTTTGGAAGTCATCTAAGAGAAAAGTTCCAAAGTAAAAGTTGTTAGAGAAACAACACCAACACTGTTAACTCTTCCCTCTTCTTACATAGTGGTAGAAAGCTTTAGTCAAATAGGTAATTTACTGCAGAAAATAAACAGGCTGAATATTTTTAAACAAGGTAACTTAAAAATTACGTTAGGCAATTATATGGCGAATATTGTTAAAAAAAAGTGCATCAAAACATTAATCATAGCCATTATGTTAATTAAAATCAAACTTTTGTGCAATCAGAGTCAGAGATTTTTTTGAAATAATTTTAAACACAAATATAATGTATCATTTGATGCCATATGTCTTTCTCCTAATACAACTTTATTTTCTTTATCTTATGTTTTATTTTTGTGATTTTTTTCCTATTCAAATGTATGGAAAACTGCAAAAATGATTCTTTCCTTGTCATATATGAATAGGCATCAGCAGAAAGGATTTTCTCTTCTAGTAAAAATATTGAAAATCGACAGTTTAAAAGATTTATTTGATACATCTAAACCATTTCATAAAGTTTTCTGGAGTTATTCACAATATTGAAATTAATAAAGAAGTAAGATTAGCTACTTGTTCTGCATGTTCTAGATGCATGCAGCTTTTTATAACAATTTTTTTTTTTAGTTCAACGTGAAAGTAAAGAGGAAAACTGTTAGGGGGGGGAAATGATTACATAAAGCAAAAAAGAAATTCTTTCTTCAAATGGATGTTGATGAAGATATTAAAAAATTAACACATACTTTAAAATGTGGTTCAGAAACTGGTAACAACATTAATTTGTTATTGGAGTAAATGAACCTATAGAAAAAGGGAAGAAAATAAATAAGCAAAAATATCCAGAAAATTTTCAGAATAAAATTACATAAGTATTTTATCATGTTTTAGATGTTTTGCATCTTTTAACATACAGTTTTTTCAAAAGCCCTACATAATTAAATTATATATGCAATTGTGTGTTGCTTTAAACTGCAGAGGCTCATTTTTGTTTTTGTTTTTTGTAATTTCAATAAGGATATTTTTAACGAGTATTTATATAAATAAAATGACTTCTTGATAGGGGCCATATAAATTTCTTTAAGATTTGCTGAATTACATTGTGAGAAAAATTATAGGAGCAATTCTAGAAACTCATGGAACCTGTATGATTTTGCATCTTCACAAAACTGTCTTTGCATTTCATTTTGCTGGTTTTCGAATATTTTGATTCTGAAATTTAAACAAAACAATTTTTAAAAAAAATTTTAAACACCATAATAAAATTTATGTAATAATAAAATTAATAATCTATTAATAAAAAACATAATAAATAATAGCATAGTAAAATTAATAATTTGGTATTTTAAAATGGAAAATTTCCTTAAATTGTGATTGAAATAATCCTTCTTTTAGCAAATAATTTAAAAAGAAAAAGGATTTTTTAATAGCGATCATATGAATCTGAAGATATGTTTGGGAGTTGTAAGAGTAAATTAATAATTTGTATATCTTTATAGGATAAAGTACAACAACGTCCAATAGTTCTTCGCAAACGAAGGGAAAGAGTAAAAAATGAAGCTAATTGGCCGATGTTTTATTATCAGTTTAATCAAGATCACACCAAACCTGATTTAATATGGAATTATAGAGTATGTATAAATTTATTTTTGTTTTGTTCATTGCTTAGTTCTTCCATTTGGTTTTCTTATATTTAGTCTGAAGAATTTTATTAATAAAATTTGTAATACTGGAAAATGAAATGGCAGTTTCATTTAAAAACTAATATGAATCCATGGCTGAAATTTGCCAAAATTTGATCTAAAATTGAAATTGGTTTTATTGCAAAACCATTTCTCTTCCCAAGAGAGATTGTTACAGAGTTATTCTTTTTCAAGGCATAAAAATATTCTGTGCTATGGGTCAGAATTGTCATTTAACTAAAAATAAAGTAAATAATTAAGAAACGAGGCTAGAACTTTTAACAGTATTTGTAAAACTAGATATATATTAACAGATCAAAAGAATTATTAAGTGAGGTATTAAATGCTTTTAATTTTTATAAAATTTTGTTTTATACAATTTGAATCATTGATGACAGATGTTAGATTCTGGTGAATGTACTAGGTTTAAAGCAGGTCTCGACAACCTATGACCCATGGATCAACGAGTGATATATTCATAATTTCAAGGGATCCACTTGAGTTCCAAAAATAAGTATAATATACAAAAATAAATTCTAAAACATAAATATGAAATGCATACTTGAAGAGTACGTAAAAAAATAAACCAAAAATAAATACTACTACTAATAATAATAATATTGTTTGATTACAAAGTTACATTAATGAATACGCATTTTTATTTTTAAAAATAAAAACTTGTAACATAATTTGAATAATTTGAAGGACAAAATGATAAGATTGGCAACATTGATCTGTAATTCATAATTCCTAAAAATTTGCTTTGCCCTTTTGCCACATTCGATTCAACTTCTAAATGCGAATAAATATTTTCACACATGAAGTTTGTTTTAAATAACACCAAATGAAGCACAACTACTGAAAATTTAGATTCTTGAATTTTTCTGAAAACAATTAACTATAAGCTCGACTTAATTAAATCGACATCAGAAGTTCAGTATGAGAGGAGCCATTGATATTGAAGAGAAAAATAAAATTCATTCAGTTATGTTTATTTTTATAATACTTAAAATTATAATTTTAATGTTTAAAGCATATTATAAATATTTTGTCAACAAAATTTATTATTCACCAAAAAATAAATAAATTATTATAAAAATGAGTAAAAGTATTATAAAATAAATTTTATTTTTAGAATTATTATTTTAAATTATGTTTAAAGTTTAAAGCATATTATAAATATCTTCCCAACAAAATTTATTATTCACCAAAAAAGACTGCTTTTAAATGAAAATATCACTGACCCAAAACTTCATCTTAATACATATATTTTATTTGATTTTGACCCTAAGCCAAAAAAGTTTGCCGATGCCTGGTTTAGAGGAAATTCATGTTTTGAATTTATAACCTTGTGTTTGAATGTTTGCAATTTATAATAGGCATATTAGCATTCAAAACATCTTCAGCAGTCTTAGAGTATTGTTATTTGATTAAGCATAAGATCTTTAATTTATTTTTCAAATTAGTCAGTCTGTAATTACTATACAAGATGAGATTATATTCCTTCTTAATAATATATGTAATAGATGCAATTAAAAATACTTTAAATTTATAGCTATCTAGACTATGACAAATCATTCTCATGGGAGTTCTTTGATTTCAGAAATGATGTCCATATACATTAATGTCCGAAATTATCACATACATGAAATCACAAATTTATCAGAAATTATGAATTATAATTTTATGAATTTGTGTGGAATGATACGTGACATCATAACGCATAAATATAAAAAAATCAAGAGCACTGCATGTGATATTAAACTGTAGGACGAAACAATAAAAAATAGTAATAATATGCTACAAGAAGAGTTTGTGCTGGCAAGAAACAACCTGCCTCCTTTCCATATACCATATGTAATCAGACCGTATTTGAATAAGACAGAATCTGCTAATAACTGAACCATTATTTATTATGAGCTATTGAAATAACAAAACTAGTAAACTAACATAACCAAAGTAAAAATAAGGTAATGACACCTTGTTTAATTAAAAGAATGTATTGTTGAAAATGGTTATATCAGCTATGCTGTACTGATTCAAAGTAAAATATTCCTTGCTGTGTTAGATGGCCTTGCTTCTTTCAGAACACTGGCCTTCGGATGAGGAACTGGTTGAAGAATCCATCACTGGCTGAAGCAGTCAGCTATGGGCTCGCCACTGGTTGCTGTTACACTAGTTCAAAGAATAGTTTGACTTATATACTCTTAAGATGGCTGTGTACAATGTTTTCTTCAGCCAAATTTTTATGCCTTACATGTGGTGAGATAATAAGATACCAAGGAGGTAGTCTCCTCCTGGGACAGGATATTGGTTAACATCTCCTCCAAAAAGAATAATTCACAAAAAAATTAAGGCTTATGAATTTAATATGGAATCTGATTACCCCTGACTTGTGCACACATATCACAACATCTTTCCATGCTAGCAACAACCACAGTTGTTAACCACAGTTCAGGAAATTAAGTTCCCCTCCTCCAGCAGTGCATTTATGTCTCTAGGAGGAGGTTGTCTCCATGCAAATGCATTTTCAAAGATATTCCATCTTTTCATTTTTTTTTTTTTTTTTTTTTTTTTCTATTCTTCTTCTCCGTTGTCATCTCTATCGAGAGATTTCAGTCTGGTATTCATTCAGTGTCTTCACTTTAAAGGTATTCGCTGACAAAGTTTACTCAATGTGTATGAGCATGACCACCCGTATATAAAAAGTCATAGCTACATGCACCTCTGAAAAGTGTGACATAGGATTCTAAGACCTCATCCAATATCTGTGGTTGATCTGCTATTGAAAACATGTAGGTAGGTACATCCCTAGATTATTATTCCTCCCTATATCATAGCATCTGCATTACTAAGGTGATCACATTCAATAATGTTCAAGGGAAGATTTTGCTTTCCTAATTTCCTCCAAATGTTAGAATCAGATGATCTGCATTTAGAATCAGATGTTATGTTAAACCTAGACTCATCAGTAAAGAAAACATAGGACCATTTTGGAGTTCACTCCAGTTTTGATGTCCTTTGCACCGATTGAAGCCATTGGTCTTTTGTTGTGAAAAGAGTGAAACCCATACCCTTGGCTTTCTGGCAAAGGCCTTTCATATTCAGTTTACCATGATACAACAGTTACAGTGACGGGTGCAAGCTCTGAGCTTAACTGTTGTGTAGTAGATTTTCTGTTATAATGGGCATTTATTGTCAGATATCGATATTGAGAAGGGGCTGTTATTCATTTATGACCTTGTCTGGCCTACTTACAATAGTTTCTGAGTTCTGAAAATGTTTCTATAGTGTAGAGACTGTCTTGAAATAGTCACACATCTCACTGCTTTCGTGATTGTCTACCTTACTTCTAATGGCTAATGAATTTACCAAGTCGCTCTGAAACTAAATGCTGTATTGCAGAAATTCACTCAGATATTCACTTTGCACAAAGTGCTTGGTTCAGTATCAGATGAAATAACATCTTGATTTGCATATCAGAAACTATTTAAATACCTTTGGTTGGTTAATGCTAAGGCTTCTCTTTCACATATTCCCTGCAAAAACTGATTACACCAATTGGATATTTCTTGGAATATCATTAATTTTGAGTATGTAAAAATGAATTTGGACATGAATGTATTATTAGGATGTGATGATTAGCCTTTTTTTTTTTTTTTTTTTTTTTTTTAGTAATGCTGAATGAGAATAGTAAAAGAAGAAAACTAGTATGAACCTTAGTTATGAGCTAAGATGTCCATGCCATTAAATTCAACAATAAAAGCAGCAAAAGCAAAACAGATGAGATTCGAACCAACATCAGTACTATCAATGTGCACCGAAATATAAAATGACATATCTGAAGTAATATAAAGAAATTATTAAAGAGGAGGAGGGGGAACCCTTTTCTGTGTTTAATTTTTTCTTCTCTATTATAAAACATACGATGTTTTTGTTGCACTAAAAAATAAAATAATGTAAGTAAATTATTAAGGGAATTATTAAATTATTAAGGTAAATTATTAAATGGAAAAAATTTTTGCCCAGTGATGGATAATCTAACTCAACGTTTTTGGTCTTTTCCCATGTACAACAAATAGCTCTGCCATTTGTTGGCTGAATGAGGCCACTCTATGACACTTTAATTTCTTCAGACTGTATTATGCATTTATACTTTTCTCATTAAAACATAATATATAAAGCATTATGATTCATTAAACAGTATTTCTTCTGGAATCTTTGAAAGTACATATTTTGCATGCATTTTCTCATTTTTTAATTAGAGGGTCAAATCATTTGCTAGCAGCTACTTGATGTCTCATGCATTGGGACCAACTGATACTGTAAAAGTTTACTATCCTATTTAATTTCTAATTTTAAATATTAAAATATGCATATCAATTTTTACAGCAGCATGCTTTTTGTTAAATGCTCTGAAAAACAAAAATTGATTTTTATAGTTGTCAACATATGCTTAGTTATATTGTGACTAATAATTTATCATAAATCAGAGATTTCAGAATTGAATTGTAATATTAATAAACATCCAGAACTAAGAGACTTCTAAGACAAAAATGACTAATATGAGAAAGATTACATTCAATTAATTTAAATTTCTTTTTGGCAAGTTTGGTTTAAGATCTGTTAATAATTGGAAGCTGTATAATTATTTTTTTTTCCTTTTTAGTCTTGTCTTTAACTAAAATGTTATAATGTTTATATACTTATGATGGATGAAGTCTTTAAATTAAGTTTTTAAACTGAGAGAAAATAATAAAAAAAAGAAAATCTCTTCCTCTGATTGAAGAAAAATTATTCTTTCCAATTAATGTAGGTATGATGTTACCGTTATTTCAAGTTCTGATCTCTCCAGTGCTTTAAGATTTGATTCATTTAAATTTCTGTTTCATTTAAAAATTCATTCCAGTGTGTGAGACAGCTAACATTAAGATGCAAATTTTTGTCTCCATTATTATTAATAGCTACATGACAGCTTAAAAATTCTGAATGATTTTGGAAAAAACTACTAGAATTAGATAAACTGTATTAGATTAGTATTAGATTTAGGGAAACCTTGGAACCTGCAATTTTGGAAGATTATTTTCAGATTTACTCAAAAGTTATTTTAATCATTAAGCAAATGTACATGAAAAATTTAACTCTAAAGAAAAATGAAATCTGTACCCAATTTTGAAGAATTTACTGTAGAATATTATATTGTCTTAATAATTTTCTGTAATCTTTCTGAATTACCTTTCTAATAAAATTTAAAATAAAGATAAAAAGGAATTTTTACAGCAGAAATAATGTATACTGCAATGATGAACATTGGTCCCTTTTCTTCAACAGCAAAAATAAATTTTTGTTTCTGTATAAGAGAGACCCATGTCTGATCACCTTTGAAATACATAAGTATTTTATTCAAAATTTGTATTAAAATAAGATTGTTTTTTTACCTAATTAAAAAAAATTGCATCATTATTGTAATGATTAAAATTTTTTTTAAAAAAAATATTTTCTATCATTATGTATTATGTGTTTTTGAGTAAAAAAAAAAAAATTTTTTTAAGGGGGGGGGGGGGAATTATTGAACTTTTTTAAGATTTTATTTTATTTTAATTATTTTCATTATAGACAAGAGAAGAGTTAAAGGATGCCTTAGAAAAAGAAATGAGAGATTTCAATTTAGATAGAGAACTAAGTAGGTCTACTGTGATTTCTTGGAATCATACAGAATTTGAAGTACATTATAATTCTTTAGCTGAAGAAATAAAAATTGGAGATTATTATTTGAGACTTTTGTTAGAAGAAGATGAAAAAGATACTACTGATAGTTCCTACATTAGAAAATCGTAAGTATGGTTATATTTAAAATTGTCTTTTCATATGTATTGCTTATCATTAAATTTCTCTGTAAAATTTTAGTATTCATAGTCTGTGTACATAACCATTTTTAATTTGATGTGAAGTAGCAGGGATAAATTGAAATATTTTATGATTACTTAATGGATTAAGGTAAAAGTTATCTGTTTGAGGGAAAACATGTATTTAAAGAGTTTTTTTTTTAAGCTCTTAGTCTCAAAACAGCATTTTGTGTCGTTTCACTTTCTGCGTTGGTTCACTTTTCAAACTGTTGCCACTAAATATTATCGCCATATATTATATTTGAAAAAACTAAGTAATGAAGAATCTACATGAATGTTTCTTGCATTGGGGAAAAACAACTGTACTTAGAGCCATCAAATTTTGAATAATGTAGTCCTCCAACTGAACATGGACACTTGGAAGCTTGAATTTTGTTTATTATGTATTTCAAATTTTGTTAAACTCTAACGATATTTTGATTAACAAACACAATGATTTCAAAGCGAGCAATGGCAATACTGTACAGAAATAAACATTTATACCTCTAGCACATGAGACAGTGTATCAGAAATTTTAAAGATATGCTGTTTTTAAATATTTTGTGATATTTCTGTTGAATTATTTTATATGGTTTAAGTGCAAAGAACATATTTAATAAATAAAGGTAACACGCAAAATGATTAAAAAAACAACCTTTTGGTCGTAATATAAAATGTAAAAAACTTTTTTTTTTTTTTTTTTTTTTTTTTTTTTTTTTTTTTTTAAAGCTTCCTGACATTTTTGTGAGGTAAAAGTTGTAAAAACCTTGTACTGCCAGCTTAACTGTTAACAGTTTGACCTGTGATGAACTATTCACACACCACAACTATTCAGCTTGAGATGAACTTTCAATGTCGATCCTTCAGTTGTAGCCAGTTTGTCATTTTTCAGTACAATATTGTTTTTTTTTTTTTTTTTTTTTTTTTTTTTTTTTAGGTTGTTAGGTGTAGACTTCTAATGTATTTCTCACTCCCCGAAGGAAGATATAAAAAAAAATGGAGAAAAGGAAATTTTTTAATTACTAGCTTATAGGAAAAATGAATATCATATTTTAAAAAATATAAAATCAAATCATCATTCAATTTTCATTGTTTTTGCTATTGATCAAGCCTTCATTAGAAGTACAGTAAAAGCCAACTATGTGGCATTCAAATAGGTAGAAATCTGGAGTAACCTGAATATTTTAGAAAAGTTTTTTTCCTTGAAAAAATTTAGTAAATCAGAAATTTGAAATACTATCATAGAACTCATTATACATATATATTGTCCTCAACAGTATGATTTGGTGCCACACAAGACAGTCATAAAAGTTCATTTTGGTAAAGTGTAAACTTGATTAATTCTCAGTAAGCCAGTTTAATTTTTGTGAAGAAGTATACAAGTTGCACTTTTTCTTCACATTTTGAAAAAATGTTGGAACAGCATCCAGTGGAGTATTTAAGAGGATCCAGGGATTAAAAAAAAGCCACAATATATGACTTGAACAATGGTGATTTACGATGAAAAATTATGATCAATTTAAGTTTTTTGTATGCTACATTCGTAATTTGTATCTGTGTATTATCTAACAAAATGAAGAATGATCACATCATGTAAACTTCTGTTGGAATGGTTGGCAATATTTCTGCCAACTATCATGTTCAACTGGGTTTTGTAACCAGATCCAATATTTCACTTACATGGTGTAAGGCCTACAAATACGTCAGCTTTTAGATCTGAAATGCATTTTTAAAATTTATATAGTTTTAACCGTAGGCTTTTATATTCAAGGTGATAAAAAATATGAGGATTGTTTTAGCAATTTTAGAGCAGAATTTTTTTTTTTTTTTTTTTTCTGTTCATTTGGCTTTTCTATCATGAATTTCAATTTCTGTGTGCTCAACTGTCCGACATTTTCACATATTTGGAAATGGGCATTTTCCAAGCTTTCCAGATAGCTAAGTTTTTACTATATTATATTCAACTTTATCTAAATGTATGGTTTTATTATTTGGTTCATAGCTGGTATAAGTTTTATCATCTGTCTCATTATCTGAGTTAGTAACACAGTTGGATATTTTAAAAATTTGTGATAAAAATTTTTACACATGAAATGTGTATTTGAATTAACTGTTCAAATACTTTTAAATCACTTTGTGCATTAACTTCTAAATAATTTTATACTTTTAGTTTATTCGATTATGAAGAAGTTTAGAAATTACATTTTTTTACAAATGCAGTGTAATTCAGAATGAAGGCATTTCTTAAATGTAATATTATTTTGAAATATACTCATTTCCTAGAAACATAGATAGTGAAGTGTTTTCCTCTATCATATACAAATTTTTTGGCAGTGAAATAACATTTCCACTATTTAGTTACTCGAAAATTGAGTGCAGTAATAGCATAGCCCAATGAAATTGTTAGAATAAGTAGAGTAGGATTGTGTTGTTACTTATGTAAGATTAACTTGTAGCCATTTAATCACTGGTTACCACATTATTTTATGTCATTATAATAATTATAAATATTGAAGGGTCATTTAAATTTAAAAAAAATGTATTAAATGGCATATTTGTAGTCTAAAGGGTTAAACAAAGTTAGTATATTTTTGCATTCATTTTTTACATTCTAATGGATCCACTGTGTTTTTAGCTCTGGCTGCTATTATCATTTTTAACAAATATTATAAAAGAAAGTTGTGTGAAGATCCTTTCTAAAATCTTCACAACATAAATGTAATGTTATGCACTGATAATTTTTTGTTTAATGATATAGGCTTATTGAAAGCTTTGATTGGGCCGTGTTTAGTCTTATTATGAAATTTAGAAATTCTTTTTGTGTTATCATTCCCCCAGTTGCATATTGATCAGGTTTTTATCTTCTTATCAAATGCTTTTAATTTGAATTTTATAATCATTGCTTGTTGAAGCAAAGTTATATTTTTGTATGCTTCCTAAAAATAAAACGTCAATTATAAAATTGATAAGTTATGGCTATCTTGTAAAGCAAGGTCAGTTGGAATTGAGTTAACAATGATTACATTTTCTGAAATTTTAACCAAGATATATTTCTGTATCAATTACATTGTTTTTAAAACTGATGGTATAAAACTCAGATTCAGATTCTAAATTTCAAATTATATAAAATCTTCATATTTTATAACTAATAGTTGTATCTTTCACTAGTTTTTAAACTTTTCCAGGTATGAATTTTTTAATGACCTATACCACAGATTTCTTTTATCTCCAAAAACATCAATGAAATCAATGTGCTTACAAGCCATGGCTATTGTATATGGTCGTCATTTTGAAGATATTGGCTGTTTCAATGATACACGGTTTGTTATCAGTATGCTAGATAGAGTGAGTGTGGTTCATTTGATCTATATAAAAATTCTGATTAACCCATTATTTTATGACAAATTACTTTTAAAAAATGTAGTATTAAAACAAATTTAATTCATGTGTAAAATTGTGTTTTCTTTTATTTACAATTTTTTAAATATTGGTGAAAAAATAATAATATTTTGATCAGCGTTCAAACTGCTAACCCTATCCCCCTTCCGCAATCACTTGAGGGTCGAAAGTGTGATCTTGGCCCAACATCAGTACATCAATCAATGCATTGTTATTGGTCATCAAGCTAGCCTGCTAGTGTTTAAAAATGACTTGCAAGAATTTCAGTTATTACGGAGAAAAATCACATTTATGTCACACGTGCCTCCTTTTGTTATTATATTCTTCCTTCCTAGACTTTGAGAGAGAAGGAATTTTTCATTATTTTATATATGTAATGAAAACAGGCACTCACTGTAAAGAAAGTAGACTCAGAAGTATTAATGTTGTTGAAAAACTGATTACACAGATAAGTAGAAATATTGATGACATAGATAGGTAGAATGTTGAATCTATAATGAACAGCTAGAATTTTGATTGCGTAGAATGTTGATCCATAATGAATAGGAAACTGGTAGTCGAGGCCAATTAAATCTTCACTTTTATTTCAGTAAACATGTTGCACCCACAAACAACTTGGCACGCTACTTTTGCCTATTTCAAAATGCTTACATTTTTGATAGCTTTGCAATAAGTAGACAGCAGCAGTCTAGGTTGAAATGTAGAAAGCAAATGCGTTGTATTCAGGATGAAATCTTAATTCAGACTGAGTTTGTAGTGGTTTTCAGTGCATTTTGATTCGATAACTATACTGCTGTAAAATTATTATTGGCTGTTTCAATTTTAGTTCTATTTACATAAGCAGTGTTATGTAAGAGTCATATGACATGGATTAGTCTGGAAATTATGCAGTGCAGAAAGAGATTACTATTTTTAGAATAGAGAGGGAAAATGATTTAATTTAAGCATTGAGATGGTATTGCTAATAGTTTATTTTTTACGTATTTTTTTGTCGTACATATTGTAGAAATATTGACGGGGTAGGTACATAAAATGTTGAACCCGTAATGAACTGCATGAATTTAGATTACATAGAATGTTAATCCATAATGATTAGGAAACTGGCTGCTGAGGCCAATTAAATCTTAATTTTTATTTCAGAAAACATGTTGCAGCGATAAACAATTTGGCACACTACTTGTGCCTATTTCAAAATGTTTACATTTTTGATAGCTTGGCAGTAAGAAGAGAGCAGCAGGGAGTAGTCGAGCTAGGCTGAAAAGTAGAAAGTAAGTGCATTGTGTTCAGGATGAAATCTTAATTCAGACTGAGTTTGTTTCGGTTCTCAATGCATTTTGATTGGATAATTAATACTGCTGTAAAATTATTATTGGCTGTTTGTGTTTTAGTTCCATTTACATCATCAGTGTTATGTAAGAATCATATGTCATGGATTAGTTTTGAAATTATGCAGTGCAGAAAGAGATTCTATTTTTAGAATAGAGAGGGAAAATAAATTTAATTTAAGCATTAAGAGGGTATTGCTAATAATTTATCTTTTACATATTTTTTTTATCTTATATATTGTAGAAATATTGGCGGCGTAGGTACACTGTGAGAAAAAAAAATGGAGCAGTTCTATTGGGCTGATTGTCAAAATTCAAATTGCATTTTCCATGTGTCCAAAGTGCGACTTAGGATATATATTAGATTTATGAATAGTATTGTTCTAACTTACGTATTTTGACACAAAATCAGACCTTTTTCTGAAATAGCATACCAATTTTTTTCCATATTTCACTTCTGCTACTCAAATTATGCCTAGATATTAAATTTTGTAATTTTTTTAGAGAAATTTATTGATAAATTTTAAAATTTATAGTTGTGCATTTATTTCAGTTTGCGCCAAGAATAATTCACTTGGCAAACTTCTTAATTTATAGCAAACTATTTTCCTTTTTTTCATTGTCCACGAGTGGAAAAAAAGTCATCATTCATAATTTCAAATAATTTTAACAAAGTGCTAAACCACATTTTCATTATTATCGCTTATAATAATTACGCCAAATTTCAAAAACCGCCAAGATGTAAATTCACGTATATCTTAGCAAATTTTGAATAAAAATATCTCATTTTTTGCAGGTATGTTTAGAAATACATCTACTTTATGATGATGATAAAAGGTTTATTGGTTATAATACAAAATTTTTTCAAAAAATTTATAAAAATTATTAAAAAATACAAATTTAAAAAATAAATCTTATAAATTTAATGAATTTTATTTGGAATGAACCTAAATTTTGAAATATGAAATGAAAGAATCAAATAAATGTAATTAACAAAAAGAGATATTAATAAATATATATCCAATTCAATTAACACTAAGGAGCTAAAATTTTGTGAGGTAATTTTTTAAAAATTACTTGTGTGATTTTTATAAAACTGGGCCGTTAGGCGTAATTTGAGTCGTAGAATCAAAATATGGAAAAAATTTATATATCATTTCAGAAAAAGTCTGATTTTGTGTCAAAATACTTATATTTGAACAATGCTATATATAAATCTAATACATGTCCTAAATCGCACTTTTGAGACATGAAAAACACAAGTTGAATTTCGTCAGTCAGCCCAGTAGAACAAGAGATATAGAACTGTGCCTCCCCTTTTTAATGTGCAGTGTGTATAGAATGTTGAATCCATTTTGAACTGCGAGAATTTAGATTACATAGAATGTTGATCCATAATGATTAGGAAACTGGCTGCTGGGGCCAATTAAATCTTAATTTTTATTTCAGTAAGCATGTTGCAGCAATAACCAGCTTGGCACACTACTTGTGCCTATTTCAAAATGGTGACATTTTTGATAGTTTTGCAGGAAGAAGAGAGCAGCAGGCAGCAGTCCAACTAGGTCGAAATGTAGAAAGCAGGTGTGAATAAAGTGTTATCTTGGCCCAACATCAGTACATCAATCAATGCATTGTTATTGGTCCTCAAGCTAACCTGCTAGTGTTTAAAAGTGACTTGCAAAAATTTAGTCCATTGAAAAATTACATTTATGGCATATTTATCTCCTTTTGTTATTATATTCTCCCTTCATAGACTAGGGAAGAATTTTTTCATTATTTATAACATATGAGTATTATTTACCTTATTTGTGACATATTTTGTTCACTTGAATAATTCCTTGTACAGAATATTAAATTATATGTGTTTTTCTTGCATTTCATTTAAACTTATGGGATTGAATTAAATTAATTTCGTCGATAGTTCATAAACCACAATAGAATAAATGCATTCTTTAAAATTCACTATATTTGTTTACCATAGCGACACTCTGGCCCTAGGTTCACTTAAAAGTGTTACATTTCATTCATTTTTTTAATTAAAAGTGCACAAAATTAATATCATCTTAATTATCTAATCCTTGCCACATGTTCTATTCAAATACTATAATAAATCTGAACCAATGTATAAAATTAAGCAAACAAACAAACATATAAAAAAAAAATAATAATAATAATTAAAAAAATAAATAAATAAATAAAACAGATTTTCACAAACAATTCAGTATTTTTCATTCAATTAATTCAGTTTTCACTTCGCAACAAGACAAAAATACATAAGAACTCAAAATATCTGTATTGAAAATTATGAAGTGAATCTTAAACACACTTATTTCCTCAAATAAATTTCAGAATGGATTAAGCATGATTTAGTTCGCAATATTAAAAGAAGGCATTATCTTTGTTGTTGCGAAGCTTAGTTTCTCTAAATTGGCAACAAATCTACTACTATTCTGCTGTTTCAAATGTAAACAAGAAATGGCTGCCATGGAAAAAATAATTAGGTTTAGTGGCACTTAAACAACTTTTAAATTAATTAAGACATTTTTTGCAGTTTTGCAGCTGAGGATGGAGGTTCGGTAAAACCATCGAAACTAGTCCTGTGAAAATTTTGAAAGTATAACGCTGATTTTTGTTGTTTCATTTCTGAATTAGTAACTTTTAAGTTCTTGATAATTCTAAAAATATTGCATGCATATTTACCAAAGGCATAAAAACCTTAACTGGAAGATAAGAACAACATAATTCAATCATTACAAGCAAAAAATGCCCAATTTACAAACTCATAAGACAATTTACAAATATATATATAACATATTTTTATATACTTTTGGTGCAGCCAATTGCAACCAAAATAGGGGTGCACATCTACATGTTATATCAATATTTTATACAAAATTTCAGTATTTTGAGGCTACTCATTTTTGAGTTATATGAGATATGTACGTACGCACAGATGCCATGAAAAGTTCTCTTTAGAATTAATTTTAAAACAGTTTTATAATTTTTTTGGGGGGAGGGAGTCCTTTATTCTGCCCTTACGTACGGATGCCATGCAAAAATATCGTTAAATGTCATTTTATAACGGTCAAAATGGATATTTTCATTGAAATATGATGCCTGAAGGTTTTCGCGATTACAATACTTCCGATCGAGAGGGAGCTGTCTGTGAGAGTGATTATGAATTTCAAAAGAGTATGATGTGGCAGAACAATTTGGAAGACATATTGCAGACATTATTTTTCATTTTTCTAAAAATAAAGTATTTTATTGGGTGTATTGAATCCTTTGCTTTTATTCAGACTTCTTTAAAATGAATTTAAAAATGTGCTTTTTGTATAAATGAATTCAAAAAGTCAGAAACGTATTATTAAAAATATATGAGACTTACTTACTCTTCTCATCTATTACAGACAACAGATAAACTGGAGCGAGACCGCTTAGTCATTTTTGTAGGAAAATTAATTTTAGATAAAGTAAGTATTTATTTCAATATTCATATCTCAGATATATGAGAATGAGATATGTATAATATTTTTCATGAGAAAGAGCAACACATATTTAAAATTGCTGTATGCAAATGAAATTTTATATAAATATATATATATATATATATATATATATTATATATTTACTTTAGTATTAATTATTATTGGAACTTTATTTGGTGCTGAGGCATTTTAGTAACTTGCCAGTAAATATTTTATGCCTCCTTGTTGTAACCATGGTCTCAACCTTTACCATCTTCTCTTAACCACGAGTTCAATCTTATTCTATTAACTCCAATGTTTGTGTATTTGTTAATTTTACAATGCATCAGTAGGGCTCACCTGATAATGAAATGGAAGATGCCTTTTTTTAGAGTGATCGAATATTAGTTGTGACTATTCTAATTCCTTTGGAATGAAATTATACGTTATCAAAAAAGCATTAAAAAGAGCTGAGACGTAGTAAGAGTGAGTATAGAAAATTGATACTAAGATTTAAGTTGAATACACATAAACTACAATTAAGATTGAAGGTATTACTTAAATTAACATATATATTTTTCAGAACTTAAGCTTCAATGTCTGCTACTCATTTCTGAGAAGTGCAAGTTCTACTTTCATGTTTACTTTATTTCCTATAATTATGTAGATTTTATTTGAACTTGGTAAGTGTAAGGTTTGTGCCTTTTTGTTGATTTTTCCCCAAACTTTGGGATGTGTAGACCATTTACTTTCCTTCTAGAAAATCTGTGATATAAAGAGCATATATATATATAATAATTTATTTCCTAAACAGTATTGATTAATTGATTATATTATCTCCAAAGTTTAATTAAAGTAGAATTATTTTAAAAGTGTGAATCCATACTGGTAAGTTATATTTTGAAAGATGTTTTGAAGTAATTTGAAAGCAAAATGTTAATAATGTTTTAACGGGGACTGGAGTTAAATCATCATGAAGAATAAAATTTCAATTGTAAAAGGAAAAATTAAAACATGTAATCATTGTCATTGATCGGAAATTAGTTGACTTTTCAAGGGGAACAAACCAACTCCCGTTCAATGAACAATAATTGATAAAAATACATAAATACGAAAGTGTTTCGTCTTTACTCGAGTTATAAGTTAATGCCAAACCGGCAATTCTAGTCAGGCCAAATATTTCCACGAATAGAAGGAATTATGAACCAATGCTGATATTCAAAGAACTTATTCTTATGAAGCATTTTAGTCAATTCAATTTGGAGTAAAAATTAATTACTGTAGAGAAATCCTATTTAACTCGAGTAATCGTCCCCGACACTTTCATGTTTATGCATTTGAGTACTATATTATTTGTAGAAATTAAACATTGGAAATTGTCATTATGAAATCGAATTCAAAGTAAAGTTGAAATAAACATAGAAGATTATAAAAAAAGATAAATAATGCAAACTTTGTAAAAACAAATCAAAGACAATATAAAAATAATATAGAAAATATATAATAAGATCAGTGAATGTACATGAAGATATAATAGAATATATATATATATATATATATATATGAAGTTGGCTTACATGCAAGCCTTTCTTTCTGTTAAAATACAATCAAAAATAAATGCAGGGCTGTCTTGTTTTACAGTCAAGCCAATATGAAATGAATTAATTGCTCTTTTGAATTAATAAATTAAGATTTTTATGCAATAGCTTTTTTTTTTTTTTTTTTTTTTTTTTTTTTTTTTTTTTTTTTTTTAATTTGAGGCTTTAACTAGAATATACACTCAAGAGCCAAAACATTATGACCACCTGTCAATAATGAGTTGGGCCACATTTGACGCGCAACATAGGTTCAACCCGTCTTGGCATGGATGCCACAAGTCCTTGATAGATGGCCGGAGACAGATTGTACCAGATATTGTAGCAACGGTCACACAATCCGAGATATTGCAAATTGGTGGTCTTTGACCTCCGAGCTGCCGTCCCATGACATCCCCAAATGTGTTCTATCGGATTGAGATCCGATGAGTTAGGTTAGGTTAGGTTAGGTTATTTAATTACGGCAAAGCCTTGAGGGCTATCTGCCTAAGGGGGGATGCCTTCATGGAGTACTTTCTAAGGGTAACTGGCTCATATACATGTTACACATGGGAAAAACCACGAAAACACCCATGCAGCCAGCCCGTTCGCAGGATTCGAACCTTGGACCGAACTACCAGTGTTCAGCGATTTTAACGCTTGCAAATTAATTGCGATTTAATTGCAGCCTTGTGACACGGGGCATTGTCCTGTTGGAACATTCCATTTCCAGCTGGAAAAACAGAGGCCATGTAAGAGTGCAACTGGTCCTCAATGATGTTCAGATACCCTGTAGCATTCATGGTCTGCTGTACCACAACCATGGGTCCCAGAGACGCTCAAGAGAACGTCCCCCAGAGCATAATACCGCCACCACCGGCCTGTGTATGACCTACTGTGCACTGAAGGAGCAACTGTTCGCCTGAAAGACGGCGTATCCTGACACGGCCATCAGCGTTATGGATGACAAACCGTGATTCATCTGACCAGGCAACTCTCTCCCACTGATCTATGGACCAGTCGCGATGTTCCCGGGCCCAGCGCAGGCATAGTTAGCGATAACGCTTGGTCAGCAAAGGCACACGAGTGGGACGTTTGCTGCATAGCCCCATATCCAACAGTGTCCGCTGAACAGTGTGCTCTGATAATTTTCTACTTGGCCCTGCATTGTATTCGGCTGTGAGCTGAACCACTGTCTGGCTCCGTTTTTGCTTCACCATGCGAGACAGTCTCCTCCGACCTTTTTCTTTGATAGCATGTGGACGTCCAACACCATGTCGTCTACTGCTGGTTTCACCGTCATTCAACCACTTTTCATACGTACTAACAACTGTAGATCGCGAACAACCCACGAGTTGTGCAGTTTCGGAAATACTTGTTCCGAGCCTTCGAGCCATTACAATCTGCCTTCTATCAAAGTCACTTAGATCTGCAGCCTTTCCCATCACACACAGAAGTAAGTGAAAGAATGATTCTTCAGACTCTCCAGCAGCAGTTAAATACCACTTCCACTTGATCACGTGCATTCCACGTCATCCAGGTACGTTCATCGCAAAATGTAGGGCTGGTCATAATGTTTTGGCTCTTGAGTGTATATTTACTTCATTTAAGTTCAGAATCCTGTAATTGCCTCCCCCCCCCTGAAAAAAGTACTGTGTCTGATTAAATTATTTAATACACTGAAAAAACTTGTATGAAAAATTTTTCTAAGTGCCTGCAAAAAAATATTTATTTTTTAGAGAAATGTTAAAGAAATCATTGATGCTGGAGGTCTTAGAATATTAGTGGACCTTTTAACATTGGCTCATTTGCATACAAGTCGTGCTACTGTACCTACGCAGGTAATCTTTCAGAGTATTTAATTTGATTTATAAAATTTAATGTACTTTGTGCCAGGGCTGTGAAGTCAGTCACCCTGGCACCGCTCTGACTCCTGGAGTTTTAAACTTAGACTCCAACTCCCTCATATATATGTAAACATATACAAATGTTTTGCAGCTTATTTTTTTAATGTAAAAGACGTAATAGATGCTACAGAAAAAAAAAATTGATGGCATAGCAAATTATTAATTAATTAGCATTTATTATGAAATGGAAAAACTGGCTAGTAATTTCTAAGAAACAGTGTAGCTTCGGCAAGATCTTCTTTAGTAAAGGACCATAAATCCGATTTGATAAACTTCACAGCTGAGAAGTCTTTCCACACTAACTTGAGTAGGAGGAAGAGCTGTTACTGTTTAGACTACTTCTTTTAACTTTTCAGGATAGATTTTTTATAAGTTCTAGATGAGATGTCATGCAAGAGCTATCATATTTCTCTATTTCTTCAAAGGCTGTGTAGAAATCTTGCTTGTATTTTCTCATTTTTATATCTAAAGGCTCTTGATTCTTTATTTTCATTTGCTTTGCCTTAGCCTTTTCAATATCATTCAAATATTTCTCAAAATCTAATCCATCACTGCAAGAAGATGATAGAGACTAAGTTGCAGTGTCTGCAGTTTGACTGTCTTGATTTTAATACTCTAATTGTTCTGAGAATAATTTCATTCTTAATGAAAGTTCATAGATGGTTTTCTTTGCCTTTTAAATTTGTTCATCATCCAACAAAATTCGGTGTTTCAGATCTACATATATTTAGCCCAGTAAGATCTTGTTGTCAAGCAAACTAGTTTTTCTTTTCTTCATTGAAGAAATGAGTCTTTCTCAAATTTCCAATTCTGCAAGACCTTTCCACAGTCTTTCTGTTAGTGAAACATTAGGATTATCTACATTTTCTCAAAAAGTTCTTAATTCTAACAACCTCTGTATCATCAAATATGTACCTCCCCATTACATTGCTTGATCAGTAATTGCTTCTTTTCTGCTCGCTTTCTAAGAATGGCACCAATTTTGGGAGTTCTTGTTGCTGTTGCTGCTTACCTAAATTTACCAATGAGATTTGTAACTAAATGAATCAATTTAATCAATAATGTCAAATATCACATCCATCTTCCTCCCTTATATTTATTTATTATTATGTCAATGAAATAGAAAATAACAACTACTTCTTAATGTATATAGTCCATAACTGAAAATAATAACTCAGTTTGTCATTAGATGCTTTTTTTCAATTCACTTTAATTTTATTTCAAATTCAAACTGTCCAACAAACCGGAGTCGATGTATTTTAAGCAACTCCAGCTCCGACTCCTTTTACCCAAAAATCTGCCTGACTTCCAATTCCGACTCCAACTCCACAGCCCTGCTTTGTGCATATACAATCATTATTTGCAGCTTTATAAACCACAGTATTATTTTTATTTATTTGACGGTCTTTTTTTGTAAGTAGGCAAAGTAAATATTTCACGATCATAAATGTCGGATGTTAATACTGATAACTGAAATTGTTATTCTTGAAACTGAGCCCCTAAATGTAAATTTGGAATTTTGTATATTTTATCTATTTTTTGTAATCTATTAACATTTATTAAAAATAGAACTGATGTTTAAATAAATTTCTAAACTAGGCTCTACTTCTATAAACAAGCATCTACTATATTGTTCTTTCATAGCTGAAGTTTTCATGATTAACAAATTATCTGAAATAGTCTTAAGATGGTAAAATGCATTAGAATTCATGATTTTTTACATGTAAGCATGCTGCATCTCGTCATTTTTCTGAGATTTGCTGCCTATACATGACCGAAGATTCATCTTGTATTTTCTATTAAGATGGCTACATCAATATGCATGCACAGTGTAGATATGATGTGCAGTGCTTTTCTGGTTGATCTGGGTAATTTCATTATTGTCTTTGTTATAGTAAACATATAAATTTCCAACTTTAATTAAACCACAAACCCTCCAAAAAAGCTAAAATTTGTGATGAATGTTATATGTTTAATGAAGAATGCACAAATGTTTCTTTTTTAATACAGTGAATAAAGCAGTGTGTTTATTGTATCATGAAATGATAGCCGTGTTTAAGGAGTAAAATCTGAAACAACAACTTGAAACAGAACATAGCGAATTTTGCTGCAGGCTTTCCAAAGAAGAATGCAAAATAAAAGCATCAGAATGCAGGAAAAGACTGAAACAGCAGCAAACATTATTTATAAAGCAATCAACACTTCAAAATAGCGAATGCAGAAGCAAGTTTCATGGTAGCCTACGACGTTGCTCAGTGCAAGAAGCCTTCTTTGGATGGTGAGTTTAAGCTGTGTGTGGTAGAGTATGCAAGTATATTGTGTCCTGATATCAGAAGAAAATTTGAAAGCATATCATTATCAAGAAGGACTAGTGTGGCATATTGACTCAATTAGTGCCGAACTCGCAGAACAGTTGAAGACTGCGAGCAAAAATTTTATTTGGTTTTCTTTTCTTTGGATGACAGTACAGATAATGAAGACAACACATCATTACTCATCTTTATCCATGAAGTTAATGAAAATTTCATCATCACAGAGGAATAACATAGCCTAGAAGCAGTGATATAGAACTGCAGGTCAGGACTTGCTTGTGTGTGCTGTGAATTGTGAGGAGAAAAGTGACCTGTCCTGGAACAAGAATGCAAGCATTATAACAGATGGAGCAAGAACTTTCATTGGAAAAATTGTATGTATTTTTAAGCTTTTAAAAAACAATTAACAAGCACAAAACACAAACAGTCATATCTCATCTTTTGATTGCATTTTGCAACAGAACAGCCTTTGTAAAGCTGTACTCAACGCATGCGGTTGCTAGTATGGTGAACACATTCAGAGCGAGGGCACTCCACCATCAATAGTTCAGATCTTTTCTCGAGAATGTGGAGGCAGAGTATGAAGACATAATTTACCACAACAGTGGAGATGATTGAGCCTGAACAAAGTAATAAAAAGAGTCTGGGCATTGCAGAATGAAATTTTCTTGTTTCTAGATAAGAAGAAATTTTGTCCTGATTTTATTGCAAAAACAGGATGTGAAGATGTGAGGTGATGTTTGCAGCTGAAGAAATTGAATGAATCGAATGTGTCACTACAGGGAAAGAGGGTGTCCTTTGCATGTGAAATGTGGAAGCATGTAAAATCATTCAAAGCAAAACTAGATCTATTTGCAAGGCAAGCAGGTAAAGACAGTTTTTGTCCATTTCCTTTTATTAGGAAAATAAAAAAATACCTGAAAGTGTTTATACTAAGATTAGGAATCATCTTCAGTATTTGGAAGATAAGGTCACAAGAAAATTTCAAGATTTTAAGAAAGTTGAGCCTAAATGTAGTACACTTTCTTATCCCATCATTGTTGATATTGACACAGCACCTCAGGAGCTGCAGCTTGAACGTAATGGCATGCAGTCAGATCACACTGTGAAAGAAATGTTTAATGCTGTGGCATTATTTGACTTTTACAAGTCTTTGTCAGCTGAAAAATTTCCATGTATGAAGAAATTTGTTGGGAAAATATTCTCTATATTTGGGTCTACATATTTGTGAGAAAGTTTTTGTTGCTTAAAGATCAACAAGAATAAATATCAATGTTTGACAGATATTAACTTGCAGGCTGTGATGAGAATCTCAACAAGCAATTTCACTCCTGATTTCGAAAAAATTGTGAAATGTGTTATAGGGTGCATTTGTCTCATTAAACTGATTTTAAAATTAAATATGCTTGCAACTGTAGAGGATATGAAATTAGCATAATAAATAAATTGAATGAAATTGCTACTATATGTAATTTATATTTATTGATTTTTATGGTACAATTTATACCTTTTCTGAAATGCAAAGTTAACTAATGAATGCAATCATTTTGAAAAGTGTGTCTCCACTAACCTTCGAATCCCCAAAGTGGTCCCGAAACCAAAACAATTGCCCACCCATGTCTTAAAGGGTAGTTTTTCTCCACCTTAAAAAAGAAGACTTTTTATGCCAGTTGCCCGTGTCTTAAAGGGTAGTTTTTCTCCACCTTAAAAAAGAAGCACTTTTTATGCCAGTTATCTATTCGTTCAAACTTTTGGAACAATTCGTTGCTTGGCTGTATTGGATTATCATATAGGACTCTGCCTAAAGAATATATCATCTTCATGGAGGACTTTCTGAAAGAAACTGGTTTGTATTCATGCTAAATATGGAGAAAAACCATCAGAACTCTAATGTAGCAAGCCCACTTGCTGGGATATGAATGCAAGTTAAACAATTTGTTAAATGTTACCCATATCATACATTAATACTGTTAGTGAATTTGCTGTTTGTTATTTTCCTAGCATGAAAACATGCACTTGTTGATATTTCCGTGGTGCTCAATAGACAGTGTTTTGGATGATGAGATAGCTAAATAACCAGTGGGTTTGGCCATAATTCACAATGAATCAATAAGTGGCCATCAGAACAAAGTAATAACAATAATATTTATTCCTTTGAGTTTTTAAAGCCCTTAGTTATCATTTAAAATCACAGAATAATATCTATTCAGCAAATGATGAAATTATTTCTAGTTAGATTAGATGATTTAGATGATGAGTCTTTTTGTCAAGTTGTTAGGTATATTAATTTTTATTATAAATTTTTAATTTTTGAAAAATTTTATGTATTTGATTTTGATTTTAAGATTTTGTATCTTAAATGCTAATATTTATCCTTAGCTGAATATTCTGGCTGAAAGTTCTTCCTTTTCATAATAATTTTTTTAATTTAACTTACATGTTGATGTGTACTCAGTCAGGTGATTTAAGTAATTGTGTAGTTTCCTGAAAGTTCATAATTCTCTCAAGCCATAAAACCATTATTTTCTACAGTAATAAATTTATTATAATTTGTATCTGTTATAGCTTATTGGTTTTAGTTAAATGTAAAATGTGTAGTTTCTATTTTGCCTAGACAAATGTTATAGAAGCTTCTCCTGATATGATGCTGATGACCGAGAAGGAATGGTATTACAGGAATGCTGAAAAAGAACGCCATGGCCCCTTTGGCTTTTCAGAAGTATATTTTTATTCTTTTGTTATATTCTGAATGAGAATAATATGTTATTACTTTTAAATTATATTTAAAAAATTTTAACTTGAATGAATGTCGTGTTATTCTAAGTTAATGGTCCTAAGCATTTGTTTGGATTTTTTTAATTGTTTGCAAGCAAACTTTGTTAATTTTTTTATGATTATTTCCCCCTTCCCTAAAAGTAATTGTTTTGAATAAAGATTCATTTGCATAATCATTTTTCTAAAAATAATCGAAATCTGTTCTTTCAAGAAATAGTAAATTTGTCATAAAAACTATTCATTCCTCCCCCTTATTTTATGTGAAAGGTGTATTTTCAAATTGTAGTGTACTAGTCATATAGTGTTTGAACCATAATTAACTAATCAGTATTTCAGTTGCTCAAGTAGAAATTAAATATGGGGGCGGAAATGCTCCTCGCTTGCCTTGCCGATACTAATTTTCACCCGGGACATGACATTTTGTGATTTTTTGCTAGTTTGGCGACTTTTAAGTTTTTCTGGCATTTTTGAAGCTATAGAGGTGATTTTTCCTAAAGCTTTCCGAAAATACCAGAAAAATATAGCTTTATTTATCTGACAATACCAAGAAAAATATAACTTTATTTATCAGTTTTCCAAAGTAGCTAGCTGCCTTCGGCTCACTCATTGTGAGTATGGTGTGGCAGTCTTGAAGTACCCTAGCCCTTCAAGGGATCACCGCCTTGGTGAGACAGGGTCACATTCCTGAAGCCCTAGTGATCTTTCCTCCTATGCTTTCAACTAGCCTTATCTCTTCCTTTTTCATTTCTTCCTTGCTTGTGGTTTCCTTTTTTGGAGGTTGAGGCCCTAAGTGAGATGGTGTTACATCCCTTTGTTTCTAGTTTCTCATGGAGAGGAAACTGCCGCCTGTGCATTTGCTGTCCATGATGACCTGTATGGCTGGAAAGGAAAGTCCGAGCAGTTGAGGGGTGAGGTACTGTGTCCAACACACTTCTTTGACCTAGGACTTAGAAGAGAAGGACTAGCTAATAGAGCTTTTCCTCCTGAAACAGGAAGGGAGAAGTGATGACATAGTCATGTTGACACTGACCGCAGAGATGCAATTCACGACATAGAAATTAGCATTTTTAATTTGAAGAACCAGCATTTAAAATTATCTGCTTTTGAAAGATAGCTATAATTTGCAAGAGATGGTGTTATTGCTGTGTCCATTTTACTCTGAACATTAAAAAGTTAATAATACTTCCTTATTAATTTTAAAATAATCGATAAAATGCACTCTTCTTTTAACATAAGGTTCTATAGTTTTAAAACTTGCAGTTTTTTTTAATGTGCATTTATTTAATCAGTTGGAGAATTCTACTGCTGCTTCTAAGATAACTATAACAGCGTTTTTTAAGAACTTATGTTTGGTTGCCCTTGAAATTGATAGTTTTATTCAAAACTTTTGCTAATCTAAGATTGCCTAGTTAGTTATAAATTTTTTGTTGACGTGGTTTTCTTCCAATTCAATATAATAACATACATTTTTGAAATTTTTTCTAACTTATCACATACAAATAAATATAATATGTTAGATATTTGTCTTATATTTGACAAAACACCTCTACTCACAGTATCTAAGGAGAATATTTAACTTTGCATAAGAGGGGGCTAAAGAGGAATTCCCTTTTTCATGCGAAATTAGTTTGATGTTTTAAATGATTATAGATTACCTAAAACTGCTCCGCTATCTATGTTTTTTAAGTTTTTCCATTTTAATATTTAAATTCTAATACAAGTTTTTTTTTTTTTTTCCCTAGATTTCGCTTACCTTTTTTGTTGCTGAGCAAACATTCTAAAATTTTCTCTTCCTTTTTTTTCATTTTTCCATGTTGTAGTATAATTTTATATAAATATTAAAGCTTTTAAAAAGAAAAAGCTTTAAAGTCTCTAAAATTTCAGGAGCACTTCTCCAGAAGTTCAATTTTCGAGTCATTTTTCTCATTTATCAATGAAATCCATTGTTTAATTCTTTAAGAGTCCCTTTTGGACTTTAATTCTTGGGGAATTTATAGCATATCATGTCAGTGTGGTTTGAGATATATTAGCCAAATTAACAGAGTGTTAAAGTTTCGTATCAAGGAACATGGATCTTACGTCCGAAAAGGCGAGATTAATAAGTCTTCAGTAGTTAATCTTAGTTGAAATTTAATCACAATTTTGAGTCTTCAAAAATTATTCAAAAAGCTTCTTTGGTTTTTGAATTGGATTTTCTCTAAGCTTTTCACATACACAAAATTTATCTTGTTTAGTTAATGACTTTATGTCCAATCTAGTCCTTCCTATTACTTCATTTTTCAATTTCATTACTCTTTTTGGCGACAGATGGTGCTACCTTTTTGTTTGCTTTACTGCTGTAGGGTGTACAGTTGTGCTTGCTGCTTTCCAGTCTTGCAGATTTCTTTGTTCCTGATGAAGAGGGACCTGTCCTGTCTCTTCCCAAGGGTTGACTGGAAGCAACCCTTGGCATTCTGGCTAGGACATGCACCTAGACAGACTCGACTTCTGGGGTAAATAATCACAGTCTTCATAGTGACTAGAACCACTGTTTATTCAGTGGTATAGTCAGGTTCAGCAGGGTTTTACTGGTACTGTCTTATCTGCCCATTGGTTGTGGAAACGTTACATGGTTTGATATCCAAGGTTGTCTTTGGGGTTTGGCTCCCATTGGTCAACACTTGGGGATGGCCTACAATGTACTTTGTTCTTTTCTTTGTTGGTGGATGCTTGCGACCTGCCACCTCTGACTTGAGTACTTATTCCCAGACTGTGTATATTATAAAAGTTCTCCTTGGCTGACTGGGGGTTATGCCTCCTTTAATTGCCTCTAGGGTTTGGAGCATTATAATTGTGTGAGGCATGTAATAAGCCATGTCTGGGAGCCCCTTCTCCATAGTGTACTGTGTACTACTGTACCTGTCTGTCCTTGAAATCGTTTAAGATCTTGACTAAATGCCAAACACAAGGTTGTTGTTTTGCTAATTTTATAGCTATTTGTTTTATAAATTTGTGGTTCAAGATAAGTTGTGTTGGTATGGAAGCTGTCTCAGTGTAACTAACCATGTGTTTGGCTCATGTAATATTTCTGGTTATATACCAGGAACTGCAATACCGCCGCCACCACCACCACTTTCAGAGTAGTCAGCTCTGAAGATTGCTCTTTAAAGAGTTGCTACACTTTGTTTTAAGGACTACTATGTGAGTAATATTGGCGATTTACAATATTTCTTGTTGCTGAGGAGGATTTTCATAATATCTGCATTCTCCTTGCGTTATTTATGACTATTAGTTTTTGTTGTGCAGTGTTATTTTCCAAATAAATTGCTAATTTCTTTCTGCTTATCTGGAATGAATATTTAAAGAAACATCCCTGAATCCGTAGCTTGCAACAGTATTTTCTTTGTAATAATGTGTATAGATATTATTATTGCTTTTCTTTTCTGCAGGTTAAAGATCTTTGGAATGAAGGAATAATAAATCCCAAAACAAAATGTTGGGCACAAGGAATGGATGGTTGGAAACCTATACATAGCATACCCCAACTCAAATGGTGCCTGATGGCTACAGGAAACGCTTTGATGAATGAGAGTGATTTAGCGAATGAAATTCTTAGAATGCTAATTAAAATTTGTGAATATTTTCCTAGTCGGTAAGTAAAGTTTGTGGAATCAAAGATTTTAAAAAAGCTGGGAATATCAAATTTTAAATATATGCTTTATTTATTTATTTTATTTTTATTTTGCATAATTTTTCAGTGGTCTTTAAGAACATATATGTAGGAGCATAAAACATAAGTTAGGCCTGAGATTAAAAATAACATCCTTTTTTAAATTTGGATATATTTTTTAAATACCTCAAAAGAAACCTGTTTGAGATCTTTGTTGTTTCAGTTTTCATATTTTGTGCTTTGCAGAAATACAAAGTATTTTTATTTGAAAGAAATTTTGTGCTAGCCTCATATACACACATGATCCATTGAATTAAATGCATAGCTATGAATAGTTACGTATTTTTTTCTTTTTAATTTTATTTTTTATTCTGAGAAATATTCTAATATGGTGGGAATTAGTTATAGTCTGCCAGTGGTATTAATAAACAGTGAAGTAATATCACCGCATCTATTTTTCTTATCATTTGGCTTTTCTATTTTGAATAATTAATTTTAAATGCAAGATTTTTATGTTCTATATCTATAATTTCAGTGTTACTAATCCTTATAGTAGGTTCCTGCTTTGCTTAAAATTGTTTCAAGTATTAAACTGAAAAGTGTATACTAAAATTAGATTACAATTTCTTTTTTTAACTGATATATATTTGTATAGTTTTTAATTTTAATTCACTTTACAGTAATTTCTAAAATGTTACACTGGTATCTGAAGTTTTCAGTTGCACTAAAAAAGGAGGGAGGGAATTGCAATTGTTAGTGTGAATTGATTCAGAATAACTTACTAAATTCTTAATTTGCTATAGATTATAGCTGACCATTTTTAAATATGCACTGGTAGTCTCTGTAGACATGCTAAAAATAGCTTATTTATAACTTTATTCGTAATGCTATTATTTTTTCTAATAAAATATCTCGCTGAAAATCAGTAATTTTTAGAAACAAATGGCAGAAAGTATCGTTTCAGTCCATAAAATTTTAACAAATCAACAGAAAATTTAGATTCATTTAACTAAAGTGGAAAAAATGTAACATATGTATATTTAAATTTGCATAGTGCTAAATTTTAATTTTCCAAAAATTTAGACAAAAAGAATCTTTTTGTAAAAACAGTAATTGTTGATATCATGTCAAACAATACAAATAAATGAATGAAAATTGTTTGAAATTCCCAGATAAATATCCTTGAAGAATATTGATTATGTTTATCATTATTTCTATGCATCTGTAAACTATCTGAATTTCATTCATTATACTGATTTTTTATATATTATAATAGACACTTCCTCTTCATTACTATATATGTAGTTTTGTCGAAAGAACTATTAATTAAAAAAAAAATGTTGTATTTGATCTTTTCCATTTATCTTTCTATTCAGAGATAAAAGTTTCATTTTGAAATAATTATCAGTAAACTAGAGAACAATTGAAAGCTTGGAGAACTGCATCCATGTGCGAAAATTTTTGTTTGGACTAACTGATCAAGGATTTTCCCTTTAAAATATTTGTAGTGAAAATTTATGCCTTTTTGTAACGGTTGAAGAATTAAAATAAATAAAAATAGAATATGCATTCTACATTTTTCAGCTTTGTGTGTGCCATACTGTAATTACCATTAATGTGGTTTTATTAAACTGTTTACAATTTTAAAATCTTAGTTACTTTTTAAGGTTCCATATATAATGTGTCATTGTATGTTGCAGTTACATAGTGTGTGAATTTGGTATAATCAGTGTAGCAGTAGTAACATCTCTTGTATCAATATTTTGATAAATATTTCTTATAGGAACTAAAAACGTTAAGTGTAAAAAAATTGTGAATAACTTGCTGATATGTCTGCTTCCTATTCACACTGTATTCATCACCAACCATATGTATTAACTTTGAAATGCTTTGTTATTTGTACACAAATAAAATCTAAATTATTTTCACTTATTGATTTTTCATGAGTATTATTTTTGATCAGTGTCATTTGTGTTTTGGAGAAAATATTTGTTGATCAATGTTATTCTGAACATGAATTTTGCCTCCTTTTAGTGAAATAGTTTGTATTTTTTTGTATTATTTGTATTATAACACATAAAAAGCAAGTTTTTTTCCCTCCGCTTAAATTTCTAGTGATTCAGATGGCTCAATCATTCGTCCTTTACCTAGAGCTAAACGACAGTTATCAGATTCTACATGTTTGCCACATATTGTTCAAGTAAGTATTTTTTTAAGCAATTTGGATTTCAAAATTTTTACAGTGTTTGAAATGTAAAGTAAAATTGATTTTTTTAAAACTTTTAAAGTTATAAAGGAAATTGCAAATAAGTAAAAGCATTCTTTAGTCTATCCAATATGTAAAACATTCATAATATTCTAAAATATGCTATAATCGATAACTCTTATGCTGTGTTTAGTATTCTAAATTTGATATACATTAACTCCTAATATATTTCTTATTATTATAGCTCCTTCTTACTTTTGATCCTGTATTGGTGGAAAAAGTGGCTATATTATTGACACATATAATGGTGGATAACCCAGCAATTTCAAGGCTCTATCTTACTGGTTTCTTCTTCTTTATTCTAATGTATACTGGATCTAATTTGTTACCAATTGGTAACTTGTTGCAAATATCTCATTCTTGTCAAGCCTTTAGATGTGAAGAGGTAAAATAATTGGTCTCTCTTGTATATATATATATTTCTTCTTGTGTATATATAATTTCATATAAATGATGAATTAATGAAATGTTCATTGTTTCTTACTCCCTTAAGATATATGTTATTTTAATAGAACCCTTTTGTTAAAAAAGTTCAAGGACTGTAGGACAGTTCTACTTAAATTGTGAAAATTATTATCTAATCACATTCAAAGTTAATATTCATTCAGAAGAGATATGTATGCTTTTGAGATATTTCTGAAAGCATTAGGAGAATGCTTCTTTCTGTATGTGTCATAGACTGCCTTTCTCATAATTTCAGATAGCTTGAATTACATGAAAATATTGACCCCATAGAACCATGTATGGCATTAACCACTTATGGCATCAAAGGCATCAGTATCTGATCAAGGAAATCCTAATTTTCTTTGCTCAAAATTTTGAGAATCGAAATGGTCATCAAATGATCAACAGATGCTTTCATCATTTTGTCTGCATTATGTATACGTATAATACAGACTAAACTGTTCAGTATGGTGTTACTTTTCTTCTGTAGAGTGTATACTGACACCCTCTAACAATGAAAATCAAGTATAGCAAATGTCATGCCTGTTGTATAATGTTTCATAATTTTTTCCTTAATGCAGTAGTAAAAATATTAATTACAAACTAAATTTGTGCATAATTTCGGACAAAATTAAGAATGATGAATTAATGAAATGTTCATTGTTTATTACGAAGATGAGAAATGCACAATGTTTGAAATAATGTTGTAAAAAGCTGTTCTTTTGTTCAGAATTGTTCACAATTGTTAGATTGTGGTCAATTTTAACATGGGATGCAAAAATAAACATTTTTGGCATATTTTGCCTTTTTTTTTTTTTTTTTTTTTTTTTCCTAAAGGCAAGAATGCAGCTGAGGTTGACAAAGAGATATGTGAAATTTATGGTTTTGATTGCCTAACAGAATGCATGTGTCAGAAGTGGTTAAAAAATTTTCATTCTGTCAATTTTTCATTTGAAGGTGATGAACATTTTTGCCAACTTTCTGAAGTTGATGATATCAAAGCCATAACTGAATCAAAATATTATATGACTGTTTGAGAATTGTGAAAAAGAATTAATGTGTCACAAACAGCAATTGAAAATCACACAAGATGCCTTGGATTCCTTATGTGGCTCGATATTTGGGTTCCGCATGAATTGAAAAAGATAATCACTTAATGGAGGAATCAGTGTTTGGAATATAATGATAATGTTATACAATTGACATTTTCTTGAAACAAATTACCACAGGTGATGAAAAATAGATCATATACAATAGCATTACTTGAAGAAAATCATGTTCCAAGCATGATGAATCAGCACAAATGACATCAAACGCTAAATTGTATCATAAAAAGATCATGCTGTCAGTTTGATGGGATTACAGAGGTGTTGTGTAGCTGTGTCCAGGCAATGTAATTATCAGTTCAGATATTTACTGTCAACAACTTATGAAATTGGAGGAAGCAGTCGAAGAGAAAAGGCCAGAATTGTCAAATGCAAAGGAATCATGCTCCACCATTACAGTGCAAGGTCTCACACATCTTTAGCAAACACGTACAAATTTATTGGAGCTTGGTTTGGGAAGTAGTGTCACATCTTCCCCCATATAGTTCCTGGCCTTGCACCATTGACCATTATTATTTATTTCTAAGTTTGCACAACTTCTAAACAGCAATTTAGATTTAATCTGAATTTTTTTTTATATATATATGTTGTAATTTAATTTTAGAATTTTTTTTTTTCCCTTACACATACCTTGTCCAAAATACAAAATTCTTGTGAGTAAAAGTTTACACTTGATTAAAACATAAACAAAATGCACTGTTAAATTGTTACAACAGGAAGGTAAATCCAGTTAAAAATAAAGTTGCATTGCAAACCGAAGAAATCTTTTGAAACTCTGCGACAAGTTTTAAGAAGTTATTAGGTGAAGCCGCATGAAAGTCTTAAAAAACAAGTTTGTTTGTGTTGTTGTAGCAGTATAGGCCCAATCGCAAAAATCTCACTGCAAACATGTGCATGTTTTCATCATAATTACTGATACCATGGTATGATGGTCTACTCTCTAGTCTAGGCCTAGGTCTTGGTCCTCAAAGCTGTGTGAAAAGACCAATACAGTCTGTGGGCTAAAACCCTTGATCTAAACCTATCATTTGTTACCTTAATATTTTCAGTACAGATGTTTAAGTACCTGAAGTATCACTGAGGTTTAGATCCTTAATGTTTAAAATTGATATCAGCTGTTTATTTGGAATGATGCTGCAAAACTGCCAACCCTTCCAATAAAATCAGTAGATTCTCAATTTTTCATTGCATTTACTGGTTATTCTTATCTTGATTTTTAGTTTATCTAAATTTATATCATCCTTCTTAAACAGAGTTCTAGAAAAACTGATCACTAAATTTTGAAGTAAAAAGAAAAGCATTTTTCTTTTCCATTTTATTGTTTCTATGGCACAACTCTAAGGAATAATTTTTAACATAATTTCTTTTGAGTTCGATTTTTGAACTGTTTTAGAGTTAAATAGGCATATAGATTTCAAAACTGTAGTTAGTTTTGTTCTATCACATCAGGTTTTTCTTCTATACCTTATGTGAATGTGACCACTCATAAAAAAACAAATGACTAATGTATAATGAAACTGCTGTTCTCCAGTGTAATCTAAGTTCAGTAATAAATAGTTTCTTTTTTTAATTTAAAACTTTCTTTGTATTTGCATATAGTCTTTTGTATCATGCATAACCTAATTTTTTAATCCATGAATTTTCATATGTATTCTTAAAAGTACTTAATATATTTTAGCTCTGTTTATCACTCATAATGAATATTCAAGATATATTTTAATATTTTTCAGTAATTTCAGCTTAAACGCAAATTACTATAAGTGGCTTTGTTTTAACAGTTTATTTTGTATTGATTTCTGTACTTATTTTTTTATAGATTCAAGCTTCTTCAATTATGCAACGCAGTATTCTAGGTCAGTTGCTTCCTGAAGCTATGGTATGTTACCTGGAAAACCATGGAGCTGAGAAATTTGCTCAAATATTTTTAGGTGAATTTGATACACCTGAAGCTATATGGAGTAATGAAATGAGGTAAGGGCCTTGGAATATTAAATTAAATTGAAATTTTTTAAAATTTGAGTTCAATGTCAAAATGTAGAATTCAAAATAAATGTTAACTTTTCTCAGTATGTGTAATTTTCAGTTACTTGAATTTTTTTAAAACACTTTCTCAAGCAGTATGTCATAAATATTTTTAAAAAATATTTTTTGACATACTGCGATGTATACTAAACAAGTATAGTTTATTTTTAAAACAGGTGTTTTTTATTTATATTCAGATAAATCTGATTGATATGTGGTGTGTAAAGGTGACTTTTTTTTAATATAATGAATTAGTATTTAATGTTTTGTTCCTATGTAATCAAAACTGTCTAAAAAACACTGATCAAAACTGTCTAAAAAACACTGGTGTATGTGTGTGTATATATATATCTGTTATGAAGCTGCAAACAAGGGAGATTAATTTTTGCAAAATTTCTTTCTTTATTAATTTCTTGATTCAGATCAATGTCTTAGTATCTTAGTTTTTGCTTTAATGTAGTTCATGTATTAATTTACTTAATAAAATTCATGTCTTCTTGCTGATGTGTTGGGTCAAACATTATTTTTAAACTTAAATTAAAATTTAGCAGCACTTTGCACTAATTTGTTACTTTTAGTACTAGCGTACTTTCTTCTTACCTTGTTGACTACTTCTTTTCTACACTCACGTTTGTGAAAATTGCAACACCATGAAGGACTTACGCGAGTGAGCTGAAATTTTCAGGAAATGCAAAGTAGTGCATGATATGCAAATGATTAGAATTGCAAATCCATAGCGCATGCGTATGCTGAGCAGCGCCCTCTGAACGGCTGATGGATCCGAATAAATAGACGGCTGTAGCGAGGCGTGTATGGTTATCGGTGGTTATCTGCTAGTGGTAAACGTTAACTCAATCTGTACTTATGCCTCGTCGACGAAAGAGAGCGAGATTTGAACAACTTACAGAGTTTTGAACGAGGGAGAATCATCGGCCTTCGTGAAGCTGGATTGTCGTATCGTGCAGTAGCCTCTCGTGTGCAGCGTAACAGCAGCACAGTGATGCGCGTTTGGAAGCAGTGGACGGACGAGTGTCGAACAACTCGGAAATCCGGGAGTGGACCCCGAAATGTGACGTCAGCTCACGATGATAGACACCTGGTCCGCATGGCGCGGACGGACCGTACAGCTTCCTCTAGACAATTGGCAGCACTGTGGTCAATAGCTACATGTGTTTCATTGTGTGCTTCATCAATTCGTAGACGTCTGCTGCAGTGTGGACTGCGTGCACGGACTCCTTTATACAGGATCCCCCTAACGCACGACCATCGCCGCCTGTGGCTACAATGGGCCAATCAGCATAGAGACTGGCGTGCTGATTGGCAGCATGTCGTGTTTTCTGACGAATCCCGCTTTAATTTGTGGTACCATGATGGCCGCATTCGTGTCAGACGCTATGCCGGTGAACGCCACCTTCCGGAGTGCATTATCGAACGCCACAGTGGACGAACACCTGGAGTTATGGTCTGGGGCGCCATAGCATATCATAGACGATCTCAATTGCTACGAATTGTGGGCAGTCTGAACAGCAACCGGTATATCCGTGAAGTTCTACAGCCCGAAGCTGTTTCCTTCCTTCAAAGCTTGCCAGGCGCTGTATTTCAACAGGACAATGCCCGCCCTCATACTGCTCGGATTGTTAAATCCTTCTTTGCAGCGCAGCAGGTACAGCTTCTTCCTTGGCCTGCGTGTTCCCCGGATATGTCGCCAATTGAACATGTGTGGGATGTCATTGGTCGGCGTCTTGCTCGTGATCCTCGTTCTGTTGCGTCTGCAGACGAACTTTGGGTACGCGTACAAACGATATGGAATGCTCTTCCTCAGTCAGACATTCAAACTTTGTTTGACTGCATGCCACGTCGTGTAGCAGCACTTATTGCGGCGCGTGGTGGCCACATAAAATACTGATTCTGATCTCTTGTTCTTGTTTGTTTGCTTTGAACATTTAATCATTTATTTGTACCACTACCACTCAACTGTGTATTAAATTGCATTCAATTATGACGATTCCTTCTTGGTGTTGCAATTTTCACAAACGTGAGTGTATATATATCAAATTCAGAAAATTAGTCTGTTTTATTATGAGTAAATACTTCAAATAGTCATTTCAAATACCTGTATTTCAGCATTAATATATATTTGTTGAATATATTTGCTTTAATTTTCATTCGGTAAGAAATTAAAAAATTGTAAATATAAAAATTCTGTCTTAAAAACCATTTATAAACTCTTGACTTTGAATGGCTTGACTCTTGACTTGTTTTTATAACTATTGTTGTTAATCTGTATGAAACATACCCCATACCTGTCAACAAAGTTCATTTAAAGAATTGCCTCAGTACAATTGGAAAAGAACTTGGAGTGAAAAATCAAAAAGGGAATTTATTGTTAAAATTAGCTATTAATCTTCCTACGATAATTCTTTTTAGAATGGAAAGCTCCTGTTTTCAACGATATCAAAAATAAACTTACTTAGTATCATAAATTACCTTTTTTCCGTAACAGACTGATATTTAAAAAAAAAAAAAAAAAAAAAATCGTGACCTTAAGCAGAATTTTACTATTACCAAAGTTGGCAAGCTAGTAACAATATCAGCATCATTTGAAAAACATTTTATGGTTCACTTATTGAAAAATAACTTCAGCAGCCTATTACCTGTTACATATATGTGGCAACATACTAGTTTAGTTGCTTGTTGAACTGAAGTGAAGTAATCACCAGTTGATGTTGGTTGGTAATAAACAATGTGCTATGTGATCCTGTAGTAATGTCACTTATTTATTGATCAAGTAATATTAACATGAATATAACATAATGTAGTGTAACAAATAATTGCCAGGCAATCCTTTGGTGTTTTTCCTCTCAGCAGACGTAAGATGGAATTTTGTAGCCCACAGCAAAGCCTAAAAACTGGCACAGATTCAAACATCTGTTCCACATTTATATGAAAGCTTCAGGAAATGCTTCAAAAGATTTAGATGTGAAAGTTGCTTTATTTTTAAATGCCGCTGGTGAGGAAGCAGTTGAAGTGTTTAACATGCTCAATCCTTCAACTAGAGATCAGGGCAACTATGAAAAAGTGCTTGAAAGGTTTGAAGCTTTCACGATGCCTAAAACAAATGTCGTGGTGGAGAGATTTTTATTCAATAAGAGAAAACAAGAAGAAATGATATTTTTTTATTGTTTCATGACTGACCTGAAAAAATGGTAAAATCTTGCAAATTTGGTGAGCAGAGTGACTCTGTCGTACGTGATCGTATTGCCCTTGGGGTATTAGATGCCAGTTTACAGGAGAGGATGCTGCGAGAAAATAATCTGAGTTTGGAGAAAGCAATTGATTTAGGGAAAGCAGCTGAATTGAGCAAAGCTCATGCTCAAACGTTAAGAGAACAAACACAATGTTGACAGCGTAACTAGAGGGAAAGTGAAGCAACATCAGGCAGGAGGAGCCAATGCAGCTGTAGCAGTAAGGAAGCACAGAGGATGGCATGATGACGCTTCAGATATTGAGATGTTTGTGTAAAAAATGCAACAGGCATCACATTAATGGACAATGTCTGGCACATGGAAAAAAATGCTTTAATTGTGGCAAACTAAATCACTTTTCAACTATGTGCAGACTGAAACACATCCAAAATGTTTCTCAACATAATAACACAGATGTATATTGTGAATTCCATAAATGTCCAGAAAACTGAAAGTGTATGCTCAACATCGTCTACAAAAGAGTGGACTAAAACCATAATTGTTGAAGGGACAAGTGTGACCTTTAAGTTTTTCACAGGGTCTGAATTGAATGTTTTGACTGTGAAAATTTATGAAACACTGAATGAGTGCTAAGTACTCTAATCTTATTGTAAACAAGTGTAATATTGTATTAGAAGCATTTGGGGGGGAGAGGTCCAAGGTTAAACCTGATGGGTCGTTAATGTTATAGTGTTCCTCAGATGGTGAGGGTTGTACTCTTACAGTTTTTAATTGTTTCTAGCAAGCATATGTGTCCATTATTAGGATTTGATGCATGTGTTTAACTTAATTTGATTCATTTTATAAATAAGTTTGGAATATCAAATAAAGGTAAGTTGGATCAATATACAAATATTTTACCTCTATCTAAAGATCAGTTTATTATTAATAATTCAGACGTGTTTGAAGGTGGGGGAAAATTTAATGGATTTTGTAAAATCACAGTAGATGATCGGATCTCCTGTGGTCTCCTGTAGTGAGACCACCACGTAGAATACCACTTAGTTTAAAATCTAAAGTTGAATTAAAATTAAATGAATTAGAGAGACATGGCATTATTGCAAAAGTTGATCAACCTTTGAACTGGGTTAGCAATCTAGCAATAATTGAAAAAGCTAATGGATCCTTAAGAATATGCTTTGATCCTAAAGATCTTAACAAAGCTATAAAAAGAGAACGTGTCAATTCCAATAATTGAGGAGATTTTACCAAAGCTATGTAATAAATCAGTTTACTCTGTTTTAGACTTAAAGGATGGGATTTTTCAAATAACGTTAGATGGGAATAGTAGTGATCTTTTTACTTTTAGCATACCATTTGAATGCTATAAATTAAGGCTTCCAATGGGTATTTCCTGTGCACCTGAAAATTTTCAGAAATGCAATCTTGAAAATTTTTAAGCAATAAATATTTTGTTATTTCACCAAAATTTTAGTTTCTTTTCTGAGCTTTTTCATTTTGGCAACCCTATTTTCACTACTCAAACAATAAACTTGTTTCTGAGATTTCTCACCATCTTCTATTTTAATGCCAAATTTCTAGCCTATGCCAATTTTTCAAAACCTTTGCATAATTCAATTATTAGAAAAGCAGTTTCAAAGATATTATTAGAAAACCAAAGTCCTGTAGATTTTCACTTTAAGGAATGATTTAAACCAGAAATGCTAGTCTAGATGCTACCACACTTGCAGTTTGAATACTAAAATAGCTGCACCACTTTTTTCAGAAAAGTTCTGAGTTTTTTATCACCTGTTACTTTCAAGAAATTCTTATGTTTTTCTTTTTGTTTCATTTTAAATTTTGGAGAGTTTTACCAACTGTTTTACTCTTTCAGAAACAAAAAATTTGTAAATTGAAGTTTTATGGGGAAATTGGCCGTTATATTTTTATTGTATAAAGCATGTTATTTTTATCTAGAATTTTCATGTTTTACAATGTTTGACATTTTTAGGTGTTCTAAATTGTTTTGTAACTCTCCTTAAGAAAGACTGTAAATATCTTTGTACAGGCCATTAGGTTTTATTTGTTGTTTTATTTAAATTTTTATGCTCAGACAGACAAGAGGAATGAAACTATTTTCAGTACTATCTGTTCAGGTTTTAATGTTTTAAATTATTACCCCTGACGAGTCGATATGAAGCATTCAAATATAAGTGATTAATATGCATTTCCATAATTTAAAGAAAAAATTTAATATCATTTTACTAATTCAGTTTGCTTAATACTTCATTCTAAAGTTTAATAATATTCTGCCTTTTCTTTATGTTAAATTTCTAATTAAATGTTTCTAAAAAAATTTTTCCAAGGTAGTATATTCGATATTCCTCTAATTTTTTAAAATTAATATTTTGTTAAGTTAAATTAAGCAGCTTTAGTTCTTGATTTTAAAATTATTTTTTTAGTTCCTTTTAGATCTGAATTCTTTGCTATTAAATTGCTTGGATAAATTTCATGTTTAGATTTAAAATGCTGTTCTTTTTACTTTTGAAATGAGTGTCTGAACTGAAATTCAGTGAGAATGTTTATTATGTGTTACTGAATTTAAAATTTCTGATTGGATATTGTTTCAACTTTCCCAGGCGTATGATGATCGAAAAAATAGCTTCCCACATCGCAGATTTCACTCCACGCTTGCGTTCTAATACAAGAGCATTATATCAGTATTGTCCAATTCCTGTCATACAATATCCTCAGCTGGAAAATGAACTTTTTTGCAACATATATTATCTTCGACATTTGTGTGATACTCTCCGTTTTCCAGATTGGCCTATAAAGGATCCTGTATGTATGTTCTAAAATTTGTATTTGTTCCTGTATATTTTTTCATCCCGAAATATGAAGTTTCACATGGCCAGTAATATGTGAAATGAATGTATTAGGTTACTTCTAATTTCTAGAATTTTTTAAATTGAGTTCTTGAATATGTAAATGCACAAGATCAAAGAGATATTCATTATTTTATTATTATGTTTTATTTGTGCTTATTATATTTTTCTTTATAAATTTTCATAATTTGAAAGTATCACATTGAAAAATTATTATAATTTTTATGTATATAGGCTGTGCTACGAGAATTTTGGCCTTAGATATTGATAAAAATAAGCTGACAAAAGTTATATGGAATGAAAAGAATTACTTAAAAATTTACAGTGTTTCCTTCACATTTCAGATATGTTATGTTAGTTGTATATATTCCTTATAGTATCTAAATTCTTTATGAAAAATACCATTGCACACATTTTATGCTTTCAATGAGTTAATTTGATATTAATATTGTAGTATTCTTTCTATTTAATTCTGTAAAACAAATAATTTTTATTATTTTATTTTTCTCATGTTAAGAAAATCATCCAAAAAAGAGTACCTTAAAGATATTCTATGGGGATTAAGTGAAAGCATTTCCATAATATTCCTGAGAAATGCCATGCTATGTGAAACTGGTTATGGATAACAGATTTAAATTATATTAAAGTGGGCTGCATTTATCTGAACTTTTATAGTTTTAACATAAGCTGTTTTCTAAAAAATTTATAATTTTATATATTTTGGAAAATATAGTTTATATGTTATGCTAATTTTATATGTTTTTGTTTTGTTCAATTGTATGAAAAGTAGTCTAGGTTACAAAAAAAAAAAAGATAATATCTTAATCTGCCCAACCATCCTGCAACGTCACCATTTGTCGGCAACTAATTTTTTTGGCAGTCTAATTCATGAAAAAAGGGTTGCCATTTCAAAATATGGCAGCTGAAAATTACATAAAAAGTCAATGAATTAATGAAATAAAAAAAAGAGTACCTGAAAACTGAAGAAACATGCATAATGAAATAGTTGAAATTACATAAGGAATTCATATTAAAACACTCAAAATTTCATAAAACTGTAACAAATTAACGAAATTAAAAACACAACAAATAATAAAACCTTTATCTTTCTGTATTTTTCATCTCCTACCAGTGTGTATAGCAATCTGTTTTAACTTAAAAAAAAATCAGAGAATTGCAGAGCATTTTGGCACTTCTCTCCATGTGCATATTGATCTATATACTAATTTAAAAAAAAAAAAAAACTGCATTTTTTCAGAGAAAATTATTACCACAATCAACTAAGAACAATTCGCAAACTGCTTTCAAACTGCAAGATTTTTGTAATAATGTAACATCGGAGGTAAATAAAAGCTAGCCAAACAAATATTTTTTTTTTCATTTTATTACTTAATAATGAAAATCAGCATGGACAATATTTATTACAGCCAGTGAATACTGGTCAGCTATTTGCTTCAAAATCTCTTCAAAGTAATCCTTCCTTTCCAGGTCTTATTTTCAAATGAATTACCAGGATAGCTGGGACAATTAGATCATTTGTAAAATACACCTTCATGAGATGTACATTTCTACACTCTATTACTATTAGACAAAACACAATATTTCTGCAAAAATGCGACACTTTTTTGTTAGCAGGCAAATTCTACAGTTGCATTATGCTTCATTATATGGGGAAAAATCTGCAGATGAATTGCAAGTAGAAACTACAATCAAATTCCAAACTCACATGCAGAACGGTTGCCAGATAAAATCATAAAATTCTGAGTTGCGTACTTTGGTGACATAGTGCTTTGCTCTGTTGTTTCTTGTCATGTTTGGTAATGCGATAGTACCCAAAATAATTACATTGTTTATGTGCACTTTTATAGCTTGATATATATGATTACAAATCATTTGTATTTTTATAGTAAAATTTGTTTTAACCCTCTGACCATTATGGGTTTTGACCGAAATTTTAGAGGTTCCCAAAATGTCATGAATAAGCTGTATTTCCTTGATTATAACTCCAAATTGACCCCACTCACTTCGGACTATAATTCTTTTTTTTTTTTTTTTTTTTTTTTTTTTTTTTTTTTTTTTTAGTATACATCTAGTGAGAAATCAGAATAAAGATCTGGGAGAAATTTTCATGTGTAACAAATGGGAAAGCCATCCTTCGATACAGAATTCTATGTCCATAATCTTTGGAGAGTAAACACCTTAAAAAGATATTTGACTGATTAACAGATGCGTGTGGCATGCACCATATCAGTTTAGAGTTTGTTACATAATTGCCACATGAAGTGGTCAACATACAGCAACATCTAAAGGTTGTTTTTAGTATGCAGATCTGATGTTGTGGTAGAATAAGATATAGTGCCAAGTGAGAGAAAACCTTGTTGCAGTCCTTGTTTAACCCCTTCAGAACGAGCGTCCCATATACGCATTTCCTAAGAGAACGTCTGTTACAGCCGGGTGTTCCATCCACGCATCACTAGAGATTGCATTCAGAGGACGGATGCTGCATATACACATTTTAAGCTGGAATGTTTTTCTGAAGACCACTAGATGGCATCCTATGACCATTACTTTTGAAATGAACACAGTTTTAGGTTCCTGACCTTGAGTTTGAATGGTTCTGCCTGACTTTAGTATTTTACTCCTCAACTGTTGTGAGGATGGGGGGGGGGAGAAAGCATAAACATAAATGGGCTCTTTAAATCCCCACATGCTAATATAAACATTCATGTGTCTAATTTATATCCAGTTCTTATTTTCATTCTATTTTTCCTCTGCTTTGTATGGGTTTTAGGGTTACTATGTGGAGTTCTGTTACGTTTTGCATTGCCTTCAGATATATTTCTGTTTCTTTTCTTTTTATTTCAGAAAGCCTCACCTTCCGTCTATTATGGCGGGAAAGCACTGTTTATCAGAGAAAAAATATCCTTGTATGGTTAATGAACCATGTACTAACACAGATGAGAGTGATGATTCATTTTCTAAAGAGTTCGAAAGTGATACTTTTTCTAAGAGTTAGAAAGTGATACTTTTTCTAAGAGTTAGAAAATGATACTTCTCAGTGCTTCAAGATTTACCACACTCAATCTTCATTTTAAATTTTGTTGCTGTTTACTGTAAATAGTCTTTATTGTGTTGTTTTATTAATTTTAGACTTTGTTGATAGATTTTTATCAATTAAAATTTTGGAATAATTTGAATAGCGTTTCCAAAAATTATTTTATAAGATAAGCAGATAAATTAGGTTAAGATAAGAGATTAGATTAATTATTTGTTATCTTAAATAAAATTATCCTGTAAATTTGTAAATGGGAAATAAATTATGGAATGTCTGGTATTGTTATATTATGCAATTTGCTGCTTTTGTGATAATATCCTACAATCATCAAACTGTAAACTATCAATAAACTTTGTCAATCCTGCAGACACTCAGACAATTGAATCATATTAGGGGTTCTGAAGCTGAAAATTCTGCACAAAATACAGAGTACCACATTGCAGATATTTTCAAGTTATGAGAAGCATGATGGAGATTTGTTAATGATGACTATTTTTTGGTCATGCTGCATTATATTCATAGCATATGCAGCTGAGCATTGCCTCTTTTAAGAGTCATTCCTGCTCTGTCTCTCTCTCTCCCCCCCCTTTTTTTTTGTGTGTGTGTGTGTAAAATTGGAAGCAATTTGAATTTAATGGAAAAAAATTTAATAGGTTATTAACCCTTTCACATCAACTTTTTGATTTATAAAAAGTTTTTCTTTTTTTGAATTAAATTATTATTTAAATGACAACACAAATATGCAAGAACATTTCTTTTTTTTTACATTTTTATAAAATTTGCATTTGACATAAATGCCCTTTTAGGTTTCCTTATGTGCCGTCATCAACTTCTGGTTCAGTATTTTCTTGATCACAACTTGAGCTCTCCAAATTCTCCTGAAGGTAGTTACTTTCATCCATGTTAGATTCTGAAGTCATATGAGGGGAGTATTCAAAACCACTATCTTGAAATGGATCCACATCTTCAGACTCATCCCAAAAACGATCAGCAAGCTGTTGTAATTCTCTGTTGTCTACCTTCCTCTGTTTGAGGGGGAAAAAAGATATATGCATATGTATATTTTTGAGCTCGCTTAAATAGCAAAAACCAACTGGGATGCATTCATCCCCAGTGAGAATTTGAGAGGGACATTTATGTCCGATGTTGAAATTTTCAGCAAAAAAAGGAAATAAAAAAAAGGGCAAAAAAAGAGATAATAAAAAAAAATTTCAGCAAAAAAGGAGATAAAGTATGTTAGCAACACCATAACAGTAATTGTCACCAATTTACAGTAAAAAACGAATAAAAAACAACAAACAGACTCACAGGTATAAGTTAGGGCATGTTTGCTTTGTCTCTGGATGAAGACTGACTTGAGAGCATGGTGAAATTGGTAAGAAACCTTTAGTCAATGTCCAGTACTCAAATAGGGCACACACTTGTGTGTTTGTAATAGACGTGCTTCTCTCTTGATTTTTTTTTATTTTGCTATGGGACATATATAACCTATTAGACTTGAAAAGTTAAAGAAATTAGTGAAATAATTTTTGTTTATGTATTCTTAAATATGTGTATTTATTTTCATATTTAACAATAGCATTTTAGTTTCATCATGTAAGAAATTAGTAACTAACTAAAAGCATCAGATTGCATAGTAAATCAATACCAAATGTTTTTACATCAGTGAAATTTTAAAAGATGCAACTAAAATGTTGACTGCTTATTTTCAGGTAAAGTTATTAAAAGATGTTTTAGATGCTTGGAAGCAAGAAGTAGAAAAGAAACCACCAGTTTTATCTTTAGATGAAGCATATGAAACTCTTGGACTAAAACGAGAAAATCAGTAAGTAATTATGGCTGTATGAATTTTTAAAATACAAAATGTGTAAGAAAACACTTTGAGAATTCCTCTTGTGTTGATTGCTTGATCAACAGAAATATATAATGGTGCCAGAAAATTTCAAAATAGTAGTATGAAGGAGTAAGTTTCTATTCTGCATACAAGTAAAGAATGTTAAATGTCATTAAACATTATTACTGAAAATCATTTTGTTGTTGTTGGTTTGTACGGTTAGTCTTCATCAGTCTTGTTTATTTATTTAATGTTATTTTTCTTTATAAAGACTTTGCTGAACTTGACATTTATATTCTTGGTATCTTTACTTTTATTGCTACTGGGAGTAGCTTTAGCCTGGGAATCCCATCCATTTGTGTTTGCTACTATAGAAAACTGAGTTTTATACACTTGTCAGGAGGTTTTTACTTCATAAGTGAACACTTTTAGAGCAGGTTGAGAAGGCACGGGTAAAAAATTAAGACTGTCAGAATTATTTTCTGCTGTCAATGTGAATTTCTTTAAGCTGCCAACTTCTTTAGCGACAGCAGAAATTCTGTAATTGATTTGTTATTTGACAGCAGAAACTGTCTTTTATTTGCTGTTTGACAGAAGAAACTTTGTCTCTGATTTGTTGTTCGATAACAATAACTTTTTTTGTGATAACTTTTTGTTGTTCAGCAGCAGAAACTCTTTCTTCACTTTCTCCAACTTTATTTTCAGCCATGTTAATTCTGCATTCCATAGTCTCAAATTTGACTTCTATCACAAAGGTAATTTCTCTTTTCATTTCTTCTTGACCTGCTACAATCTTTTCTTGAACTGATTTGATAGCATTTTGCATCTTTTCTTGAACAGCTTTCATCTACTTCTTAACAGATTCTTTGCTCACTTTCGTCCTTTACTGCTTTGCTTGCATCTTTCTTGAACGGCTTTCATTTCATGTTTAATGGAGTTGACGACCCCTTCTATCTTTTCTTGGTCACCAGCTGCCTTAGTAGTTCCTTCATCACTTTTGTCACTAAAAATTGTTTTGTATGTAAGGGTTCATAATGAGTTGAGGAACACAGAACTGATGATAGCGTGATAAAATTTATTTTTACTAAAAGGAACATTTTATAGTTCTGGAACTTTCCACGTAAAATATTCGTAAACCTCTTCTCACCATCACAGAGTGCAATCAGTGGTTACACTTCAGATTACTAAGAACATTAAACACAGCACAATACTAAGCATATCTAAAGATCAAAGTTCACATGTATATCTCAGTTCTCCAAAGTCTAATATGAACTAAAAAAATGAGAACCTCTCTCCTGTGTTATATAGTTTTCCCTCAGCTGCCAAGAAATCTGCAGTACCTTCCACTTTTCGAACTTACTGGAAAGTATATAAGGGCCAGATACGGTTACAGTTACATATAGAGATCAGTTACAGTTATTCAGTTACAATATCACAGTTATCTAAGGACAAGACCAAAATTTTGGTAAATATTTACCAAGTTCAGAGACTTTTGGTAATTTCTTGTCAAATTTTGCAACAAAAATTAGTCGCCTAAACCATCACTCGCTTGACAATATCGTACCAGTTCAGTGCGATAGCCGGTTGCCCCAATGTTAAATAGACTTGCCTCTGTAATCTGATTTTCCCAGTAGAGCTTTGCCTCTTTAAATTTTCGTGTTACATTATATAACAGAATACTATAATTTCACTTAAATTATTTATATGTATACAAAATTCGTAACAATGTGGTTTCAGACGTATTTTGTGCTTCATTGTGTTTAATAATGCCCATAAAGCATTTATAAATTAAAAAATATAATTTAAAGAAATTATGTCTAAACATATAAATAACGCTTCAGTGTACTCATTTAGCATATCATATCAAAAATTTTGAACTGCTTGTACTAAGTGATTTATTTTGTTATATAGTATCCATAATTTGTTGGATATCCATAATTTTGTTGAAATTATAAATGCATAAATATATATATTTACTTTATAGTGTAAAATTTTTAGTTAAATTGCTTGTGTTTTAAAATAAATTTTTATATGAGGTGTCTGCGTAAGTGAAATACATTTTTGAAAGTGTTAGTGGACATAAAATTTAAGAATAATTATTCTATGTTTTAAAAATATCCATTATGACTTACAAACTTTGATCATGTATTATTTTTAAGTTTAGATTATATAATTACACTTAAAGCAGAAACTGATTTATGTATTTCATATTTTAAAATATGGCACTGTCATCTTTTGGATCTTTCTGTAATAAGTTTAGTTAAGTACTCCATAGTACTCTGGTTCAGTACAACAGAGCGATAGTCAATATTGTCAATATTGTTTCTTCAGGTGTCAAATAGCTTAGATGACATGCTGTTCTTTTTGTTGTTGTGTTGTAGTAAAACAAGAGCTGAAATAGAGCAAATAATTATTAATAATAAAAATATTATTCACATGAAACAACTAAATTTAATTCTAAGATGGAAAGTAGAGGGAAAATTTTATAAAAATCATATTTCTGTATAATCTTGTAAATTTATATTGATTTGTTGTGTAACATAAATTAAGCAAAATCTCAGACATTAAATCTAGAATTAAATTTATAATTAGAATGTAAAACAAATGATTAAATTAACACATTTGATATTAATTTCCTTATATATATATATATATATATATAATTTATCAAGCAAAGTAGTAATTATAATTTTTAAAAAAAAAACCAATTTGGTCTAGAAAACAAGTCTTGCGGCAATATGCTGCAAAATAAGTAAAATATAAAAAATTGTAGTAAGCTCGCCTAAAAGTTACCAAGAGCTGCTGCTCCAAAAGGTTCAACACGTTTTTAAAAAAATTAATCTATATGAAATCAACCATTAGACTGTAAAACATTAAAAAAACAGAAAAAGATAAAAAGTAAGCGGAAAATGGTAATTAGCCCAATTCGACTTCCAAACTGGCTTTTCAAGGGAAATTTCATTTATTTGAACGTCGAATCAAGCTAACCCCATTACGCGTTTCGCCAAAACAGACAATTGGAACTTTTTCGCTAAAAATTTTTTTTAATTTAGACAAAGTGTCTTGGAAGAGAATTGAGACTATTAAAATTACCTAGACACTTTGTCTAAATTTAAAAAAATTTTTAGCGAAAAAGTTTCAATTGTCTGTTTCGGCGAAACGCGTAATGGGGTTAGCTTGATTCGACGTTCAAATAAATGAAATTTCCCTTGAAAAGCCAGTTTGGAAGTCGAATTGGGCTAATTTACCATTTTTCGCTTACTTTTTATCTTTTTCTGTTTTTTTAATGTTTTACATGTCTAATGGTTTGATTTTCATATGTATTAATTTTTTTAAAACGTGTTGAACCTTTTGGAGCAGCAGCTCTTGGTAACTTTTAGGCGAGCTTACTACAATTCATATATATATTGTAATTTTATACTTAATTTTCAATCTTAATTTCATTAAATAACAAACCACTGTCAAAGAGATCAAAATTCAATTTATTCTCTTTTATTAGCATCCATTTCCAACAGTTTGTCTTATTTCAAACAGTTTTTATTAGATATAAAAAACTAACAGTGACACTTTTTTTCATATTTTTCTTTATCTTTTGTGTGTTTTGCATCTTAGGCCTGAGGAAAATGTAATTAGGAAGTCATATTTCAAGCTTGCTCAAAAGTATCATCCAGACAAAAACCCAGATGGTCGAGTATGTATACTTATCCATTAAACATTTATTTGGAAAAGAGATTTTCTTTTTGGCAAAGTATTTAAACATTCAGAACTAAATGCATGTCTAATAAATAATACATGTCATGAACTGAATATGTTTTGTTTCTTTTCCTTCAAGGAAATGTTTGAAAATGTCAACAAAGCGTATGAATTCCTGTGTAGTAAATCATCAAGACAGTGCGAAGGACCTGATCCACATAATGTTGTCCTTATTTTGAAAACCCAGACTATTCTCTTTAGTCATTATAAAGATGGTAAATATGTTTTTCTTATTTGATTTTGGTATTAATTAATGTATTAGCACTAAGGGAAAAAATGCAGTACTATATGAGAAGAAAAGAGCTTGACCACAGCTTTCAATAGTTAGCCATTAAATTAATATGAATTTTTAAGAATAAGCTAAAATGTTATCAAAGATGCAGCCTTTTATATTAATGATAGATTACTTATAATTTCTGTTTATGGCTAATTAATAACCTTTCTTGTGATTTGTGTAGTAAGAATGCATATGTAATTTTTCAAAACTAGCATAATATGGTCCATACTTGTAGACAGCTGAAAACTTAAATTTCTTAAAAAATAAAGTGCATTGTCTTTTTTGCCATTTTATTCATATTGTCATAAAAATTGCCTTATAAAATTTTTATTACATGATTAAGAATTATTTTAGATTATTTTTTTTGGTAACAATTAAATTTGAAGATCATTGTTTCCCAAACTTGAAAGATTTTTCCTGCGTCTTTGAGATGGAGGTATGCTTGCATACTCCTCAATGATATATACATGTGACAGCTAGTTCGTATATTTTGCATGAAATATGTAGAATGTTTTTTCCCTGCTTTTGTAATTTGCATTTGTTCGTTTTTAATATTGGATTTTGTTATATGAATTGGCTGTTAGTTAAAGTAATCTTATTTTGTGCACTGTTTTGAAAATTATTGAAAAAGTATCTAAAATTAATTCAAAGGTTATCTGTCTGCAGTTAGCAATTAGTCGAAAATATAAAATTCTAATTTATGCATTTGAATTTTATTATTTTTAAAGAAATGAAAATATATACCATGTAAACACTTTTGATCACTTTATTATGAAATTTCTTTTATACAATAGCCATCTTATGAAGTTGATATTTTTGTTGATTGAATTTTGTTGTGAGAAATGTTATTTTCAGTATGAAAGAATGCATGAGTTGTTCAAGAAATTATATTCTGCCATTCACTTTCATATTTATTTTAAATTTTATAAATTAATATGCCATTTTCATATTTCTTTTACAGTTTTACATCCATATAAATACTCAGGTTATCCTATGCTAGTGAAGACAATAAGATTAGAAACCAATGATTCTCAGCTTTTTTCCAAAACTGCCCCATTACTGGCTGCTGCAGCAGAAACTGCGTACCATACAGTCAATTGCTCGGCATTGAATGCTGAAGAAATGCGAAGAGAAGGTGGTCTTGAGGTATAAATTTCGTATGAATGATTCTTCTATGGAGGATGACTATGTGTTATTTTAAATATATTTAATATGTGAACTTTTTATCTTAACACATTGAATAATTAAATTTAAACATTTAAAGTGTAATGAAATAAATTAACAAATATATATTTTTTTAAAGTGTAGTAGTGTGTTTTCATCATGTTATACAGATTTTTTTCAACAAAATTCCATCCCTATCTTATGGCATGTAGGCATTACAAGAAGCATTTTCTCGTTGTGTTGGAGTATTAAGCCATTCATCTAAAATGGAGGACCTATCTACGCAAGTTTGTATCCATATATCTCGTTGCTTTGCTGTTGCTGCACAATTTAGAGGCTGTAGAGAACGCATGATTGAAATGCCTGACATGATTAAAGATTTGTGTAGAATATTATACTTTAATGTGAGTATATGCTTTTTTATTAATATCATGTAGATCTGTAAAATGAAACTGCCCATAAAATCGAAATTTTAAAATGAGTAGGGCCGGGTCACACTGCCAATAGATTTAAGTACTATCACCTTATATTACAGGAATAAATAATAGGCAAATATTGAAACAGTGCAGTAAAATAATGTGCTAACGTTTTACAATAGTTTATTATATAGAGAGATTGTATAAATATATGCAGTGAGTGGTCTTTTTAACCTTAATTTTCAAGTCTTCTACATAGTTTCTTTTATTTCAAAATAATATATAAAACTTGGATAGGCTTTCATGTTGTCTTCATGTCTTTCTAAATTGAATTCTGATTTTATTTCAACTATGTGTATTTTGATGAAATACAAACCTAATTTATAAGCTGAAGGAATTTTTAGATAATTTCAGCAAAAAGAAAATATTGTCAATTTAGAGCCAACAGTGATAAATTTTAGATTTATTAATATGCAAATGATTCATGTTCCATAAAGTAAAATTTTATTTTCATATTGTAATGAAAGTAAGAACCATAATATAAGAAAATTAAAATTTTGCTTTTTTAAAAATATCAATTCATATGTATTATATAAATTAAACAAGAAATATAATGAAAATGTTGATAAATACAAAAGCTGGAATAAAAGTAGTTTTTCATATTCATAAATTAAAACTAAATTTCAGACAGGTAACTAAAAGACTGACCCCTGAAACTATAAAATCCCCTGCCCCTATTGAGAACTCCTGGTTTAGAGTGTTAAGACCTTATTTCAGATCATCTTTTTGAGAATTTCATAACAATAATACATGCTACCAGATGGTTTCTGCCATAAAACTCGGCCATACTTTAATTGTTACACTATCCCAGTAAACGGTATACTTTGGTGGGAGGAGAGACTGTGTAAATTATTGGAGAAGATGCTATCGGTGAAAGGGAAATGAAGTTTTAAATTGTTAGTTTCATAAAACATGCAACAGATTCACAATTAATATAGATATAGAGCTAATCTAATTCATATATATAGGGTGCATAGTTAATATATATAGTTAACGGCACTTAACACACAATGCGTGATGGCTGACCATATTCAGTTCACATGCATTATACACTGCATGTTGATATATAATGTACTTAGCACAATTTGCATTTTAAGTAAAACAACAAAATATATTAAACAGAACATTTGCAGCTTACTTTACGTCCTTGGAAGTAGCAAATACTTGTAATATATTCTACAGTTTAAGTAGGTGCATATGAAATGTAGGAAACAGCATATGTTCAGCCTAGGTTCACTTCATTTAATAATACAGAGGAATGCATCATAATTTGCATGGAATAAAGTAGCCACAATAATACATAAATAAGCTGTGAATAGTGTTGTTTTTAGCCTGTGAAAAGAAACATGGTATATTAGTGCATAATTTAAATTTCAATGGCATTTTACTTGTGTCATTAACATCAAAATTATTATGATGGCATAATTTAAATTTCAATGGCATTTTGCTTGTGTCATTAACATCAAAATTATTATGACGGCATAATTTATTCCTAATGTAGGGTCACACCACAAACCAATAAATTTTGTAAAAAACTTTTGCAGTTTTTACACCAGGTAATTTGAATTATGCAAGCTTTACTAAGTGTAACAATGTATTAAACTGTTACATATTTCATTTTTAAAGTTGACTTTGACTGACCAGTCATTTATTTCCAGTTTCATTATACCTAAATTGATTTCATTTCAGTTACTAAACTTCAATCTTTATTTTCTAGAAATTTTAAGAACGAGCACTTAAAAGATTATAACTTTGTTATTGTAAAAGTATTTTAGTGTGAGCTTAAAATTCGCAAAAATTTTTAAAGTATATAAAAAGGGAAAATTCGTCATATTGCTCATCATCATCGCATTGTAGTTTGCTTTTAAACAGTGGTATTCAAACTATGGGTTACACCCAAAAAAGCACAAAATTCATACTGGAGTCACAAGGTGGATAAAAATCCTACAAAGTCTGAAATGATGGTATATAACTAAGGATTAATGATCTTATTGGTTACATGAAATCATTTTTAGGTCGTTTGCATTTTTATGAGGTCACACTGTCATAAAGTTTGAGTACCATTGATGTAAGATAATGCCCCCCCCCAAACTCACAGACAGATGTTACTGAAGACAATGAAAACAAGCTCTAAAATCTCTTGTTTTATATGTTTAGAAGTAGGCTTAAATACTTTTCATTTAGATCAATGCAACTGAATGAAATTAAAAAATGCTTTTGGAAGGAATGGATGATTAAAACTAATGTATAATTTGCTGTAATGTGCATACTTAAAATGTATGTTTTTTAAACCTTTGGATGTGCTATTTTAGTCATGCTGGTGTGTAAAAGACACACCACACACTGTTTTTCATTATTTGAGAAACAATTCATTTGTAAGCTAGAAGTAAATTTTCTGTAATTAGTGTAAATGCATCTTTCCAAAACTGTAAAGTTAGCCTCAAGCAACTATATGGACTAAAGTACAAGGAAAACATAAAATAACCAACCAATCAATCAAAGTAATTACTATTGAGAATAATTGTTGTAAACTGGTTGTTTCAACATATATGACATACAGGATAAGTTAATTTCAGTGATGTATATCGAAGAATATAATCATTCAGGTTTAAGTGTAATTTTCTATTTTAATCCAAAAATGATAAAAATTTTTAATAGAAATTGCTGTAATATAAGAAAGCATTCAGAACTTTAGTTTCTAAAATCAAGCAGTAATTCCTTCTGTAAGTTTAAAAATGAAACTAGAAGAATTTTGTGCATAGAAGGTAAACCCAGAAAAACTATTGAAAGTTTCTGTTCAAATGATAGGAAGCAAAATCGCCTTTGCCAGGTATTGTTGGGAAAATGAATGAGAAGCAATTAAATCAAGTTATTTAAAGGCTAAAGGTAGGTAGGTACAAGTCTGAACTAATATCATCAACTAAATCAGAAGTTTTTTTATCAGTGTTAGAAGTAGAATTCAGAAAATCTTATTGTCAACTGAAGCCTTTACATTTTTAGGTAAAGGGGAGTAATTTGATTGGCTGAAACTGAGAAAAGGGAGTTTTCAACATGGGTGCCAAATGCCTGATTTATAATTCCCCCCCCCCCCCCCCAATCATAAGATCATGCGCAAAATTTCAAAACTTTCCTTATTTGATTAATTTATATTAAGGCAGATACCCAGGAGTTCCGATTTTATATAGGCTATTAAAAGATATCTCTTTTTTTTTTTTTTTAAAGTTGAATTATATTATATATGAAACTGTAAGATGGCTGTAGCTTTCCTCGCCTGTGACTTAATATGCATTGTTCAAAAAGGAATGCTTTGAAAGTTCACATTAAGGGGAGGGAAAGAATTCTTAAATCATTGATTGCACATTTTCATCAGTCACAAAACTACATTTTTCAGTTGTCTTTCTCCAAATATCAAAGAATAACATAATAGGCCAGTTAGAATTCTTGGAGGCCTTTTAGCATATATAAGAATTTTTATGTATAAGAAATATATAAAAATATAATCTTTATTTATCTTTAGTGATCCATATTTTAATCTTTGTTTACTTTTATCTTTCTTAGAACATTTTTTCTTACTTGCTTCATATTCAGATTTTTAACAAGAAAAGGTTTTAGGAGTTTTGTTTCCTATTAGTACGCTTGAAATTTCTAATTAGTTATGTGTTCTTACACTGAGTACATGTTTTTGTTCTTATTTTTTTTTGTATTTGCTGCTATAGAGGGAAATATTGCTTTACCTTTTGAAGTATAGTATTTAAGATTTTATTGTATATCAGTTCTGATGCTAAGTTTTATCTTTTTAAAATTAATTTCTTTTGATATGTCCAATTGGCAGTGATTTTGGGCTTTTTTCCTTTTCATAGCATCTAACAAAATTGTGTGCTGTCGTTGTGGAATGTATCAGTGCTTTGGCCATAAATGATGTTCTCCAGACTCATTTATATCAAGCAGGTGTTTTGTTTCATTTACTTAAATTCCTTTTCAATTATGATTACACTTTAGAAGAAGGTGGTGTTGAGAGAGCAGAGGAATCAAACAAGCAGGTATTATTTTTATGTCAGGATTACTGTTCATATCTATAGTAGCAGTAGTTTCAAGAATTTTAAATATTAACATTTATTTTACATTTTCAGGAGATTGCAAATCAACTAGCCAAACTTAGCATTAATGCCTTAAGTAGAATAGGAGGTTATGGTTCTGGAGAAGATGAAACACCAAAAAATGATGCAGTGCATATGTCTCTGACTGCTATGTTAACACCTTATTTAGTAAATCAACTTGGGCATGGTGATGTTGCTGAAGTAAGTACTGTGATATTTATGTGGTGTAATTTAATCTGCAATTAAAAATTACTTTTAATTTAATTAATGATGACAAGTTTTAATGACTTGCATTAGTGTCTATCTGATTTTTAGAATGAATTCTCAGAACAGCTGCCCAAATTCTTTTTCATTTAAAAGCAACTCTTTGTGATTATGAAGTTTGAATATTATTAGAAGAAATCATTTGATTATTCGATTTTGTTTTGAAATACTGAATATTTCTAATTTAAAATAACTGTATTTTAACAAAAGCCTTTAATTGCATCCATGTGTATTCCTATTAGTTATAAAGAATAAAGTACTTATTACATGATGGTTTAAATTTTTATTATAAGTACTACAACTTTTCATGGCAATTATCGTATTCTTTTTTGTTGTAACTAATTACTTTATTGAATCAGCTTGGGCATGCAATGAAAAAATATCCTGATACAATGAAAATTGAAATGAAAAAATATCTTGATTTATTGTGTATTATTAGATGGGAAGTATACGAAACAACATTCGTGAGCTAAACTTGTTGAAAGAAAATCTTTTGCTTGTAGTTAATTCCATAGCTAGTGGCACATATTACTTTTTGTTAAAAATAATGTTTATATCAGTCAGATTCTACTTATTTTGAATTACCAGTTGGTTTCCATTGGTTGTCTGTACTCATTGTCTTGGTTGATCAGCAAGCTTGCTTTGATAAAATTGAATAATATTGTAGTTTTTTATATTATGAAGCAAGCCATCCATATGGTACAGTGATTAGGGGAGCCTACTGCTATACGAAAGGGCCTGGATTCGAATCCTAGAGAAGGCATCATTGTATCTGTCTGCACCTGTTAGGTATTTCCATAACAAAGTGACCACCACTTAAGCCCTTAGCTGTGGCCAAGCTGAAGTCAGCTGAGGGCCTACCATTGGGGGCGATATTACGAAGCAGTGTTAAAAGAACATGTATATCATGGTGCTGGGAGAAGTTTGGACAACAGCCCTGATAAATTATTAATCCAGCAGCATAGATTTAATCAAGAATAAAAATTAGAGGAGGTGATCCAAACTGTAAATGGCTTGCAATCCAGCTGCATCTTTCAAATTATATCAGATTACTTGCCTTCTTGGAGTAATCTCAAACTCAGATTGTCTGCAGGCCCAGTGCATGATATGAAAATAGCCAATGGGCCCACAAAGGAAAATATTACAATTTATATTTATTTTCTCTTCAAAATCTAAAGGTTGAGATCTGTTAGAAATTTCTGCTAGTTATATGGGTACAGTTCAAATATGTTGGTACAACTTAAATACGTTGATAACTAAATATGAAAATTTCAGATTGAGATTTCTTTTAAATAATTCTAATATGTTGAATTAACCACTAAATAACTTGTTTTGAACATTTTCCAAATGACATAAAACATAAGAATAAATAGTGGCAACCTGTTATCGTTCATTTATTTATTAAATTTTTCTTTGCTGCATATAGAAACAATGCATATATTTGTATGTAAATAATCATAAACTTTATTTGTTACTTCAGCATTCAGCCGCAACAATAACTCTTGTCATTTAGTTTTTGATAGTATGACCTAGGAGAAAAATTTCAAAGAATTATCACAAGTTGTATAAATACATCAGTCATTCGGATTGACTTGTTTAATTTTGATCTGCATAAAAAAACTGTTTGCGTATAAATGTATTCCAAAACAAAGCAATCATTATTATTACCAAAATTTGTAATTGAGGGTATTTGTCTTTTGACAACTATGAAAAAAAGGTTAATCAAATTTACAATTCTAAACCTTTGAGTAAGATTTACACTGGCCGTTAAAATTAAAGGATAATGAGAAAAAATATGCTCATTAAGTTTATGTTATAACCAGTGCTCATTGCTGTAATTAATGTTAATTAAATAGAATTGAATGCAAAATTGTTCTTTCGCGCATACGTTAGTGCTGGAAATATGTAAATTCGAGGATTTGCAATGTGATGCAATGGACACGCGTAGCAATTCTGGTCTGTAGTGTTGTTTAATATGAATATGGTTTTTGAGAGTGATCAGTATTCAGTACTTATGGCTCAAAGGCAGCATTTAAGTGAAAGTCAAAAGTGGCAGATAATTAGTAGATTCAGCAGAGGTCAAACACAAATAGAGTTTGCCCAAGATTTGAATATCCTTAAGTATGTCATATAAAATTTGGAGCTGCTTTTTAAGCGCTGGATCACTTGATAGACAGCCTGGTCAAGGGGGACTTGGCTTGAAGAAACCGTAAAGCTACTACAGTCAAAAGTCGTTAATTCGGACACCCATAATCAGGAATGATCTATAATCCGGACCTCAAAGCTACAAACTTTCTGCGCATGCGTTGAGTTGACGCATGCGTGTAAGACGTTTATGCTGCGGATATGCGCGTGCGCGCATAATATGTTTACGCATGCGCGTTTAATGTATAACGGAACGGTATAAGCTAAGGCTAAAATTATCTAATTATCTATTTCAGTTAATGTCGCAGATTGCATTGTTCCTTAATCTTCGAATTGGATCCGGCTTATTATTTTTTGCAGACTGTTAGAGCAATTTTATAAAAGTAAGCTTGAACTTTCGATTATTTCAAATAGAATTTCCGATATATATTTACTAATATGTAAAGGATATACAAAGCAAAAGCATCTTTCAGAGTCCATTAAACAAAAAGTGGAATTGCTGCAAAAGGAATTGCTGCAAAAAATGGATAAAGGCATATCTTTTGTTTATCTAAACTTTAACGTTTGTTTATCTAAACTTTGTTTATCTTTATCCCCAGGGAGCGGAGTGCAATGAATTGGAAGTTGATCTGTCAACACTATCCTTATCTTAAGGGCAGATGTTTTTATTTTATTTGGCTTATAATTGCTTACTAAATGTGGTATTTCCTCTCGATGTACTCCGTCTTTGATATTATTTAAATCAAATGCCTCGTCATTATAATTCGCTTCCGATAGCGAAGAAAGTAACAGAGGTTATTGAAAACGAAAAAATTTCGATTGACAAATTAGTCGGTATTCTCGACACAGCAATTATAGGACTTGAACAATGCGGAACTAACTGAACAAGAAATTATGTCTGTTTATAGAATTAAAGAGAATGTATTATCACATAAAAAACGAAGCAACTTAAACAACTTACATTGAAAAGAATGTTAATAAAGTAACAAATAAATATTAAGCTGTTTTTTTTTTTTTTTTTTATAATTTTGATACCCTTTAGATCATAATTGTTCTTTATTTCAAATTATGGTTTCATATTTTTAATTTTATAATTTCTGCGTGCCATTTTACCAGATTTAAACTGATGATCTATAATCCAGAAAAATCAATAATCCGGAATCGCCGAAGTCCCGACGAGTCCGGATTAACGACTTTTGACTGTATAAGAGATTTGGTTATAGATCCTCAGGCTGGCACAGGAAGTCAAATTAGCCACTCTATCACTGCACAAAGGCTTAATCGTATTTAACCTAAATTTGCAATTGAAGTTAAATGTTCCTTTATCTTGAAAACTTTTATTTTCTGGAAAATATATAAACTGTTTTATCTCATTTAGTTACTTTTTCCTAGGTGTTAAAAATATTGAATAGTAATACAGAAAATCCATATCTTATTTGGAATAATGCAACTCGAGCAGAACTGAATGAATATCTGGAAATCCAATGTAAAAATAAAATACGTTCTGTAAGTATTCATTTTTAGTGTAAAGTAACTCCATCTCATTATGAAATAAAATTAAAAGGTTATATATGTGTATTTATAAATTCTTCTTCTTCTTTTTTTTTTTGTGTGTGTGTGTGTTTTAATAAAAGACTCTTTTCAGGGTGAATGTGATCCTACTTATGGAAGTGACTTTAAATTTTCTGCTCATAGTTCAGAGCTCATAATTGGAGGAGTATTTGTCCGGATTTATAACGAGCAACCTACATTTCCACTTGAAGTAAGTTTTAACGAATTTCTTGTCTATCTCACAATAAATAATTATAAATATGTTCTTTTAATATAACACATTGCTAGTTAGTATCCTGTTTGCTGCAGAAAAGTATTTTGCGACAGAGGCTTTATTGAATTTGTTGGTGAGCTACTGGCTGGCTAACAGAAGTGCCAGATTGAGTCAAAAGCTCATTATTTAATTTGTGTAGATTGTTTACCTGCTGAAGTAGAAATTATCGAAGAGCTTCTTAGTATTAAAATCTAGTGGTAACCATATTGTAGCATTTAATTCCACATGTGTGAATTTTTTAAAATTTTTATAAAATAATTTATTTACCTGTCTATAATATATCATCAGATATTTTGTGAATTTTCCTTTTAATTTGTGTTATTAATATGTATCATTAGGGTTATTACAAAAGGTCTAAAATCAGTCAGTGGGATTGACATGAGAAGTTTAAAACAGTTAGGATTCTTAGATGTTTTTGATGTTCTTGCTCTAATGTAATAAGACTAGGCATAAAATTTAATTTATGAAAAGAACACCTGCAGGATGAGAAAATAAAGGTTAAAAAAACTGTTGTGTCAGATTGAATATGCCAGATTTGCGAAACATTTTGCATTAGAACTGAAAGTTAAAGCACAAAAAATTATATCTTTTTATTTCAGAAACTTCATTTTGAACTTCTTATAAAAATTATTAAAAACTAAAATTATTTTTAATTGTTAAAATTTATTCTGTAGACAAAATTAGTGCTCCTGTGTGCATATAATAAATTTTATTCTTATTTTTCAGAATCCTAAACATTTCAATTTAGAATTATTAGACTTTTTATGTTCCCAAGCTCAGTATCTTTATTCTCTAATGTCTTTACAATCATCTGGAGTTAAAGCTGAGACAAATCAGACTAGATTAAAAAATGTGGAGATGGCATTAGAAGCTTTGCGAAATGTTATTCGAAACAATCCTGGTAAATTATTTTAATTTATCTGACTATATATATTTTTATACATTACTGATGTTTTATCTTATTTAAAAGTAAAACTCATTTATAACATTTTTTTAAGGTGTTGAAATGCAATGCATTGGACATTTCAAACTTCTTTTCAGTCTTCTCAGGCTAGATAATTGTCCTCATGTGCAGGCCCTTGCTATTGACGTAAGTATTAATGTTTTTTAACACTAAGTTTTCTAGTTTTACTTGTAAAGCAGTAATCTATGGAATTTGACAAATACTGCTGGTAGAAAGTGATATTTGCTCTGTACTTGTCACTAGCTTTGTACGTAGTAAAGTATGCCTGCCAGTGCTTGCTAACCCCTAAAAACACATTTCATATATAAAAATATAAAAAATCACTGTGTAGCCTGCACAGAGAGATAATTTTTTATTGAAACGTCTGCTTAAAAAATATATACTACCAAAACGTAATAAAAGCAAATATAAGAAAATGTTACATTATTTGCAAATTGTATTGGTATTGAAATTTTATTATTTTAAAAAATTTCACTGTGTAAGCAGAGCTTGAATTATGCTTAAAGGGCATATTTATTGGAAAATAGCTTACTTTCCCTGTTTGTGATCATGTGGTTTAGGAAAGGGCCTTTAAAAAATAAGACTTAAAGGAAAATTTTCAGAACCTTATGGGAAATTTATTTGCTTCATCACAGTTAAAATTACACTGAGTGGTTCACTGCCATTCAAATATTTCTATTTTTTGCTTTGAAATATGTTACTTCAATAGGACCATCAGCTGTGCATCACTGTGTTGATTTAACTGTATACTCTGTCTCTAACACACACAAAAAAAAGTCTGAAAGCTTTCAGATTTGACATTACACCCAAAGTTTTTTTTTTTTTTTTTTTTTTAACATTTTGTGTGTTACCTTTATTTATTGAATAATTGAATATCATGTTCTTTGCGGCTTAACCTCGACTTTCATGTGTTGACCGAATCGCTCAATTTTTTCACCCATATTTTGTATATTTTAAATGAAAAATGCACCTTTCTAGAAATTTTTTTTTAATAGATTTTATCATGAGAAACTAAGTGCCTGAAAACCAATCTCAGATGTTATACAAAAAAAAATCTTTTTTAATAAATTCAGTAGAATACGTTGATTCTATTTATTGCATAATATAAAAAATAAAATTTAAGAAAATATAAAGCTGAGGGAAAAATACCTTAGAATGCAGTTTAGTATGATAGAGTTTCAAAACAGGGTTCAAGGCAAAGTCCAACTTCACAGTTTTTGCACCAAATTCAATAAATCTAATTATTAATCTGATCAATAAATCTAATTAATAATTCAATTATTTAATTAAATAATCAAGATAATCACTGAATGTTTTCTAGCAGTCAGTTCTGTAAGAAAAAAGCAGCAAATAGTGGAATGTGAGCGGTATTACCCACGTGCCTTCAAACGCCACAATTTAGTGGACAACTAACAATATCTGTTGGCCAAAACATAAACTAAACATCTAATACTGTATATAACGTATTTCAGTGGTTAAACTTGGAAAAAATGGGATGGGCTCCTCAATAAAGGAAGAAAAGCGCATGCCCGCGGAAATCGCAGGATGATCAACTAGAGAGTTAAACCATAAAATTCAATTCAGCAGCAATATTGCAAAATAATTCTCAAATGAGCATACCTGTAGAATTTCCGATACACAATCTCATGCGCTGGAGATAAAAATGTCTTTTTTTTCTGTTCAGTGTTGTCATTGCTCACTTTGAAATCGTTGAGTTTCTCAATTGTGGTATAAATGCAGAAGACTTTCATTTACATAATAAAGCCACTAATAAGTTTTTTTTAATGTCACATGAAAGCAGTTTTATAAAAGTGAGTATCTTAGCTTGTAAATGTTTTTGTTTTAAAACATATTAATTTTATAAGGAAAAATAAAGTGAAGCAATTCTCAACCACAGTTAAATTAAATGCCAGAGGAAATCTTTGTATTATTGTTTTTACAAAGAGAGAAATACAGGATGGTCAGCAAATAAGCCCTGAATTAATTCTTTTTCTTGAGGAGAGGGAGTCATTAATTTTTACCTGAAAAGTCCTGTTTTTTAAGAAGCTTTTCAAAGCTTATAACTGATGGCAGATAACATGTGTATCTATTCTATCGATCTTTGTTGTAGAGATATTTAATTTTGAAATCAGTGCTTATTCGCTGATCACCCTGTATGTTCGGTTGTAGAAAGCTTGGACAGTGTCACATGAACTTTGGATATCTCCTCATTGGTTGACTGTTGATCAGATAAACAAAATTTGATGTTATAGAGAGATACAAAGTTGTACAAAATTATCAGAACACTTTATAGCATTTTTAGGATATATATTAAGAATAATTAAGAATTTATACTATCATATTTAAAAACAAATTAATCATTTTATTTAAACATACGAGAAACAAAGAGTATTAGACAAAATTGTTTTTTCTAATACTCCTTCACAATAATGCATGAACAAAATAATGTAAATCGTTTGTTCCTGATGTTGTTTTTCAAATCCTAGCATATACTACTTTGATGCTTTCAGACTTAATAAATAATTTATAATTAGAATTTTATTCTAAACAATATGTACTTGAAAAAACAGAATCTAAATCTCAAAGTTCACATTAAACTTTTTAAAAATACTTTTAATAGAAATATTATTTACTGAAAAAACAAAAAAAAAATGCTAGAATAATCCATAAGCACGTAAAAATCTAGCAACATATTTTTACAAATGTATTCACAAGGATTATAGGTCCCTCTGAAGGCAATATTTAGTTTTAATTTTTTACTGTTATACATATAATACAATGCCTTTCATGGGCACATAATGGCATCTAGTGTAGTGTTAAAAATTGTTTAGCGCAGGAAAAATATTGCAAAAGTAATTATTATTATTAAAGTATATTTTGCAAAAGTAATTATTTGGTGTATTTGTCAGCAGAAGAGCTATTCAGTTCCATTTCTGGTATTGTTTTGATTGTAGTTATTATTTTTTAGATGTTTTAATACTTTTTATCAATGAAAGCTTGAATTAAATATTTCCTTTTTGGTTGTAAAAAAGTATCCTTGTCATTACTCCATTTTCCTTCAAATTGCAATCTGCTGTACTATTTGTTCAATTTTTTATATTTTTTAAAATGTTGTGGCGTTAGGACTACCATGTATACCATTTAAATGGTAGGTATAAAAATTAAATGTTTATACTTGCTAGGTCATTGCTGGTGTTACTGGAAACCAGGAATGTGTGAATGATATTGCTGCTAGTGATGTCCTTGTTTATCTTCTCCTTGTTTTACATTCCTTTCAGCTCTCAGCTAGTAAGTTAAAATGAAATTATCTTCTTTTGCATTAAATATGCTTATTTGTTAGCAAGTTGTATTAAAGTTTTATTTGTTTTTAAGGTCAAATAACTGTCTTGGAAATTCTTTTGCCGTTAATGTCCAATGGAAAACTAGTCAAAGATGCAATGGCTAAAGGTGGAGTAATTTTTAAACGCTTTCTGAATTTTTTCATGTTTAACTTTGCATAAAAAGAAATAAGTCTTTTCAGCTAATAATGTATAATAAGCAGTGCCCTCGTTGTTTAATGAAAGTGTAATTTTTAACAAATTAAGTGAATTGCAATGAATAAAAAAAAAATGTGATTTTTCTTTTTTTATTTGGAAGTTAGTTTTTCCTATATTAGAGGATGCTTTATCTGCCATTATGTGGCTCTAAACTGGTTTGTTGAAGAATAATTTTGTTTAGTCTTCCAGCAGCTAAGCTTTAAATTTTTTGCCTGTTAACTTGTTAATTTATTCCCTGTCTTAATTAAAGTATATATAGATATTTAGATAAAGAGTTTTCATTTTGAGTAATTCTATTTTATGTGTCAGACCAGTACTTGCATATTATCCCATCTATCATAAAATTGTTGCCAATCAGTATGATTTAGCACCAATTATGTATAATTCTGACATAATAAGGCACTTGTAACATCTGCACTTTTGTTTGATGTAACTCCAGTTGATTCTCGATAAGCCACTATCTGATGTGTACACCACATGACTTCCTTGTATGGAGTATTAAATTATATGCATTTTTTGCTACATTTGGTTTAAACCTAATTCCTTGAATTTCATTAGAGATATATTTCTCATTCAATTAATTCAGTTCTCTTTTCCCAACAAAGCAAAAACACATACCTCAAAATAGCTTACTTAAAAATTAAAAAATATAAAAAGAAAAAAACTGAGAGTTTTCACATTTTATATTACGCTCAAAGGGGCTTTTTTAACGTTTTGTGTGTTACCTTTATTTATTAAA